GGAACCCTCTTACACTGTTGGCGGGAATGCAAACTAGTACAGCCACTATGGAGAACAGTGTGGAGATTCCTTAAAAAACTGGAAATAGAACTGCCATATGACCCAGCAATCCCACTCCTAGGCATACACACCGAGGAAACCAGATCTGAAAGAGACACGTGTACCCCAATGTTCATCACAGCACTGTTTATAATAGCCAGGACATGGAAGCAACCTAGATGCCCATCAGCAGACGAATGGATAAGGAAGCTCTGGTACATATACACCATGGAATATTACTCAGCCTTTAAAAAGAATTCATTTGAATCAGTTCTAATGATGTGGATGAAACTGGAGCCCATTATACAGACTGAAGTAAGCCAGAAAGAAAAACACCAATACAGTATACTAATGCACATATATGGAATTTAGAAAGATGGTAATGATAACCCTATATGCAAGACAGAAAAAGAGACACAGATGTATAGAACAGACTTTTGGACTCTATGGGAGAAGGCGAGGGTGGGATGTTCAGAGAGAACAGCATTGAAACAAGTATACTATCAAGTGTGAAACAGATCACCAGCCCAGGTTGGATGCATGAGACAAGTGCTCGGGGCTGGTGCATTGGGATGACCCAGAGGGATGGGATGGGGAGGGAGGTGGGAGGGGGGTTCAGGATGGGGAACACATGTAAATCCATGGCTGATTCATGTCAATGTATGGCAAAAACCACTACAATATTGTAAAGTAATTAGCCTCCAACTAGTAAAAATAGTTGGGAAAAAAATAAAATTTTGCTTTGAAATAGTTTAAAACTTACAGGCATGTTGAAAATATAGTATAAGAAGTTCCTGTACATGGTTCATCCAGATTCTTCAATTGTAACATTTTTAATACATTTTGCTGATTTTCTCTGTCTCTGTTTTTCTCATACATACACACATAAATTATATTCTGAGCCATTTTAGAGTAAGTTAGAGCTATGGGGGCCCATTACCCTTTAACATTCAAGACTTCCATGTGTTTCCTAAAACAAGGAAATTCTTCTATATAACCATAGTGCAATTTTAAAAATTAGGAAGATTACCATGTAATCAAAATATCCCATCAAATTTTCCCAACTGTCCTAGTAATGTCCCTTATAGTTCCAGGATAGAACACATTTGGTGTCATGTCTCTTTATTTCCTCCTTCAATCTGAAACAGTTCCTCACTTTGCAGAGTATAGGATGGTACCTCAAATTCTGGTTTATTATTTACTTAAATGAAGTCACTCAGTAGACATTTTATCCAAAACATACTTACTTCTGTGTTGATATATATAGGTTGTTATTTTAATGGTTGCATAACACGCCACTGTATGAAAGAGTTATATTTAACCAATCTCCTGTTAAAGGACATTCAGTTTATTTCTGGTTTTCAACAGTATAAACCACACTGCAATTCGTAGCTCTGAGCAATTTATCTGATTTATCTGAAGTGGAATTGTTGGGTTAAAGTATGTAAATTAAAAATTTTGATGCTATTGCCAGATTGCCATCCTGAAAGATTATACTTATTCTCATTCTTCCAATGATGCATGAGAATGCCTAGCTCCTATGCCAATATCAGTATTGGACATTTTCATTTTAATCTTGGCCAATCAGGCACCCCTTATTGAATTTCTTTAAATATTAATAGGGTTGAGCATATTTCATACTTGCTTTGCCTGTTTCAATTTCTTCTGTGTATTACCTTTGCCCATATTGCTTCTGAGCAGTTTCTATTTTTAAACTGATTTGTCAGCTCATTTCGGGGCATTTAAGTCTTAAAGGAAAGACATATGATACACTCATTTTAGAGTATTGTTTGAATCACTGCTGAAATGATTCTACTTTATTACATAAAATCCAGTTTCCTGAAAAAGCACATCCAGAATTAGCCACAACAAGGTAACTGAACACTGTAGATCGACTTGGCCCCAAGTTGATCCAAGCTCTCTGGACCTTAGCATCAGAAAAAGGAGGTGGGGAAAGTGTGACAAGCGTTAAGAGCAGAGAACATTAGAGAACATCCAGGCTGTATTTTTCTTCATTCAATGTGTCTAGTTAAACCTTGTTGCATAGTTCTGGGTCAAGACAGGGAAGTTCCTCACTAACTTACTCTACAGTTCTTGTTACATTCCTTGTTCTCAAAATATTTTAAATGAATAGACATGCAATATATATTGATCTGAAGATAGGTTTTAATTACTCAGCTTTAAATGCTATTAAAAACCATCATTTATATTAGATAAGAACATTCAGCTTTCAAGTTCAGTTCAGTTGCTCAGTTGTGTCCAACTCTTTACAACCTCATGGACTGCAGCACACCAGGCTTCCCTATCCATCACCAACTCCTGGAACTTGCTCTAACTCATGTCCATAGAGTCAGTGATGCCATCCAACCATCTCATCCTCTGTCATCTCCTTCTCCTCTGCCTTCAATCTTGCCCAGAATCAAGGTCTTCTCCAATTAGGTTGGCAGGGAAATCTGAAGTTGGGAAATAAAACTTCAGCCAATGGAGATTTCTTCCTTTCTTCTTAATTGTAAAACTTGTAGAAACAGGAACAAAGAATCTGCATATGTCTATGTGTACTTACACATAGTGCAAAGCTCAACTGATATAATGAAATGAGTCCACTGGGAAATGCACAACATTTACTATAACTGGAGGGAAGAGTCCTATGTCATAAAAGTAAAACAGAAACAAGTATATTCAATTCTCAATTTTTAATCAATCCATCAGTCAGCCAATCATTACTAAAAGTCAAGTATAATGGTGCTCTGGCAGATATAAGAGAAATGTAACATGATCTTGGAGAACAGGCCATCTATAGGGGAACAAGACAGATGAACCTGAAACACTGAGGTACCATCCCTGAGAATGTTCATCAGACTGCATATTATGTAGAAGTGGGGCCGCCTGTCACTTACCACTGCTTGTGGTAAAGAGGAGTTGTGGGAGTTAGGGAGTTAGAAAGGCTCTATGGGGAAGTGGGTTTGAGTTGGGCCTGGACAGATGGTAGGATCTGCAGACATAGAGTGCAGGCAGTGGATATTGGGTCCAGGTAACAGAAGGCACTGGGGTGGCAGTTGGCAAGTTGCTAAGTGGAGGATGCCTGATAAGCAAGTGTGCATGTTGAGGAGGGCTGAGGATACGAGGCTGCCCCAGCAGATGCTGTGGCTGCAGGGAGTCCCTGGGGACCTCCCAAGGGGCTGCTGTGGTGTAGTGCTCCAGCCCATGCTGAGCTGTGCTGGGATCTGAGTCAAACGTAAAATGTGGTATATTGATCCTATCCTTATTTAAAATCGTGATATTTATTCATCATGGATTTTTTTCTTTTAGTGTTGATTTTTAAAATATTGCATTACAGTATTATTTATTTTGATTACTGTGAATTTGGGCATCCCCGTAAATTTTCTGTCCCAGGCAAGTGTCTCAATTACTTCACCCTCAGTCTGGTCCTATGTTCTTATTCTGAAGTTTGAGGGTGAGTATTTATGTTATTAATTTAAATTATAGCTTACTCATGTTACAAATAATCTTTGGGTAGTAGACAGTATTTAATAAAACCAAGATTAAGAGATTAGAATTTTAAGGAGATTAATTTGGAACTTTGGATACCCAAAAAACATGACAAATAAAAGAATCCCTTTGTGCTCTTGATTCAGTCTCTCACTTTTATTCAGTCACTCAGTCATGTCTGATTCTTTGCGACCCCATGGACTGCAGCACGCCAGGCTTCCTGTTCATTGCCAACTCCTGGAGCTTGCTCAAACTCATGTCCATAAAGTCGGTGATGCCATCCAACCATCTCATCCTCTGTCATCCCCTTCTCTTCCTGCCTTCAATCTTTCCCAACATCAGGGTCTTTCCAGTGAGTCAGTTCTTTGCATTAGGTGGCCGAAGTATTGGAGCTTCAGCATCAGACCTTCCAATGAATATTCAGGACTGATTTCCTTTAGGATTGACTGGTTTGATCTTCTTGCAGTCCAAGGAACTCTCAAGAGTCTTCTTCAACACCACAGTTCAAAAGCATCAATTCTTCAATGCTCAGCTTTCTTTGTGATCCAACTCTCCCCACTTGTGGTCCAAGTCATCCATACATGACTACTGGAAAAACCATGGCTTTGACTAGACGGATCTTTGTTGGCAAAGTAATGTCTCTGCTTTTTAATATGCTGTCTAGGTTGGTCATAGCTTTTCTTCCAAGAAACAAGCATCTTTTAATTGCATGGTTGCAGTCACCATCTGCAGTTATTTTGGAGCCCAAGAAAATAAAGTCTATGACCGTTTCCATTGTTTTTTCATCTATTTGCCATGAAATAATGGGACCAGATGCCATGATCTTAGTTTTCTGAATATTGAGTTTTAAGCCAGCTTTTCAGTCTCTAAGGTAGAGAAAACTCCCTGTTGCTACAGTACATTCAGTGCAAGTAGAAAAGGGTTGCCTTGCCTATGTCTAAGTGGGTAAAAGATATCTGGGGAGGGGGGGTGGTTACCAGAGTCCACTGTCCACTTCAACAGAGACCTTGAGCAGCTCAACTGCTGGAGCTGGAGTGGCTCAGCCACATGGACTGAGACAAGCTTCCACAAGTGGGCCACACAAGATGGGCTTGGCCCACCTGTCACTTGAAACAAACTCACCCAGCTGTGCTCAAAGAGAAGCTCTCCACTGGGCCACAGCACATACCTCAGGCCATGGCCCAAGGAGCAACGCGAGGTCTGTGAATGCTATAAATGTTTCTGGGCCACTTGCATGTAGAAGTGGCGTGTGACACCAAGAGTATGATTCCCAGCACATCTAAGCATGTAACATCTGAAAAATCTGAAATCTACTGTTCACTAACAAACTGTGGCTAATGAAAAATGACTTTAAGCCAGAGAAGAAAATTAGCATGTGGCACGAATCGCACAAGAGGCCCCGGGGAAGGCAGAGAGGCACAGCTGCTCCTGGCTTTGTCACCAGGTGCACTGCTCTGTCACTGGATGTGCACCTTCCAGTCAGCACCAATCTTCAGCGAGAGCGTCTCCAGGTTTAGGGTGGACGTTGCGGCATAGTATGTAAAAGCCACGGGCTGAGCGCTGCCATCTAGAGAGTCAAACAGTAAAAGGGAAAGTCTGGTGACTATCCAGGAATGAAATGTCTTTTCTTTGAATTTAAAAATGCTTCTGTTTCTATCACAAAATTTTATATTCCATATAGGAGAATCCAAATTAATACCACCTGTACCCCTGGACTTCCATGAATTTTTAAAACAAGAAGCACTCCAGTGTTTTGAGTAAAAGACTGAATGAAAAGAAACTGTAAGGAGCAAAGTGATTTGCCCAGCAAATTCAGTAGGTTAAAAAAAGATATATCCTGTCCCAGGTCATTTAAGAAACTCAATAAATATCAGTAGGATTCCCTACGACTTCAGATACCTACAGTTTAAAAAAAATATTCAGAGAAGCTACAATATTATTTCAAACCCCAAATGATTTCCCTCAGGAAAATATTAACAGCTTACAATAAGCAGAAAGGCAGTTGATGAAGAGAGAAGCAGGATGGCCTCATCCCCTCTAGATACTAGTATATTTGACTCCTGCACTTGGCTAAGCACATTATATCAGCTTTAGACTAACCACCTCTTCACGGCAAATACTTCTATGCTTATAGAACCAAGTGGACTGTTTCCTCACCAGCTGAGTGGGCAGTCACAGAAGATGGCTGCTTCTTGAGGCCTAGGACCAAGATCTGCTCCACCACACACTTGCTGGGATAATGACCCCTCTCGTCAGCACAACTGGAATAGATACAACAAATGACATTAGGAAAAGGAGAGGAACAGGAATTTGGACTGGCTACCAGATCACCATCCCCTCCCATCTTTCAAGCCTATGGAGGCATGAAACATATAGCTGTCACATTTACTAGGATGAAGAGATGGAAAAAGATGACTCTATATGCCGAAGACAAGCTAACCAGTGCACACGTGCTCAGTCGTGTCTCTTTGCGACTCCATGAACTGTAGCCCACCAGGCTCCTCTGTCCATGGAATTTTCCAGACAAGAACACTGAAACAGGTTGCCATTTCCTACTCCAGGAGATCTTCATGATCCAGGGATCAAACCCGCATCTCCTGTGTCTCCTGTTATGGCAGGCGGTTTACCACTGAGTCATCTGGAAAGCCCAAGCTAACCAGTAGTCTTCCTCTAACAAGCCATTAGGAGGGACATCACTTAAGGACACTGAAGTCCCAAATGTGACTTGGATGCTGCAATCAAATTGCAAGAAATCAGATCCTTAATGAATGTTTGAATAGATGAATAAATGGGATTAATAGGAATTTATACTGAATTCTTTTTCATTTTTCAGAAAAGGAAGGAAAGGAAGATGAAGACAATAGGAAGGGATGTTCATAGAGTGATTGAAAACTACTCCCAGGGGCTCCAGACCAAAGTGGCAACGTAAGAGGCTCCTGAATTTCCCTTTTCCTACAGATGCACTGAATATAAAGCTACACATGGAACAATTCTCTTTGAGAGAAACCAGAAAACTAGTTGAGTGACTCCTGCACATTGGGTGACTGAGAAAATACCTACATCAAAACAAGCAGGAAAGGCTGAGACACACTTCCATATAACTCCCACCCCTGGCATGTTTGTGTGCTAAGTCACTTCAGTTGTATCCGACTCTTTGTGACGCTATGGGCTGTAGGCTCCAGGCTCCTCTGTCCATGGGGATTCTCCAGGCAAGAAAATAGGAGTGAGTTGCCATGCCCTCCTCCAGGGAATCTTTTCAACCCAGTGAATGAACCTGTGTCTCCTGTGACTCCTGCATTGCAGGTGGATTCTTTACCTCTGAGCTACCAGGGAATCCCCACCTCTGGCATAGTCTCATACAATTGGGAAGGAATGTGCAATCCTAGCTTCTCCAGAAAAAGTAAAAGGTTTGGATCATACTTCCAGTGTCCCTCCTTTCAAGGGTCCCACCTGGAGAGATATAGGCCCTCAAATCACCTTGCTCTGACAGCCAACAGAGTTAATTACAGCAAATTAAGAAGCAGTTGTTAATAGGCAGCATGGCTATCCCCCCAGGGCTCAGTGCAGAGGGAGCTGGCGAAAATATCCATCTCCCAGGTTCTTCCTGGAAAGGATCTAACTGCATACTTTCGCTACTGCCTGAAGGTTCTAATCAGCCTGTATCTAAGTGATGACTAAAATGTGCCCCTTTGGGATATGGATGGGTCTCAGCATATCCTTCACTACTGGCAGTCACTAAGAACAAACATGGCAGTGTGGATAATCCCAAAGGTCTGGAAGCTATAAGGAGCTCACGACAGGCTGATCAATGAGGATCATCTCCTACATGAGGCCAGTATGTAAGGACTGGAAGACATGGCTGTCTTATCTAATGTGAGAAACAACACCAGGAGTCAAGGCAGACGAAACAGGAGAACATGTTCCTAACAAAAGAACATGATTAATCTACAGAAACTGACCTTAAATGAAATAGAGATAAATTGCTTACCTGATAGATAGTTCAAACCAATGGTCATAAGGATGCTCACCAAGTTCAAAGAGCAATGCATGAACAAAATGAGAATTTCAATACATATGGAAAATATTAAAAAGTACCTAACAAAACACAGACCTGAACAGTACAAGAAGTGAACTGAAATATTCAACAAAGTGATGAATGGCATCACTTACATGTGGAATGCGAAAAAAAAAAAGAAAAAAAGGAAAAAAGAGTTGAACTCATAGAAACAGAGTAAAATGGTGGTTGCTAGGGGCTCACGGGTGGGAGATGTAGGGAGAGGCTGGTAGAAGAGTACAGACTTTCAGTTATAAGATGAATAAGGTTTGAGAATCAAATATATAACATGGCAAATACAGTTGATAATCCTGTATTGCATAATGGAAATTTGCTAAGAGAGTAGAACTTGTGTTCTCATCAAAAGGCGGAAAAAAAGGTTAAACATGTGAGGTGATGGACGTGTTAATTAACTTGATGAGGGGAATACTTCCACAATGTATACATATATCAAGTCATCACACTGTATACTTTAAATATACTACAATTGTATTTGTATACTAGTATATATTAAAATTTTATTTCTAAATCATACATTACTGAATCTGGAAGAAAAGAAGAAAAATACAAATGGCCTTCATCATTAACTTTTAAAAATAGTACCTTAAAACATCAGCTTTGCATTTAAGGATAACAAATGGATAGCATAATTTATTTATGAAAGCACACGGCTCTTTTAGCTGCCATTACCTGTTGGTCAAAACACCTGAGGAAAACGAAAACTTCCTATGCAAGAATTGCTTCTGGTGGAGGTATTGGAAAGAATGGCCATCATCAAGATAGAATTCACCTATGGCAGAACCCTGGAGAGTGAATCACAGAGAGTATGCTCATGTAATAGCTTTCTTAGAAAAGACTGTCACTCCTTAAGGGAAATAACTGATTACAAAATCTGTGAAAAATTATGTTGAACAACTGCTTAATATTAAAGCTGTACAAAGTAGTCATAAAATATATAAACACTCAATACCCATTTGTGAAATAATATGAATAAGGAAGTCACACAAGAGAAGGCACAGAGAGTTAGGTTTTGTTGAAAGAGATTTAAACTCTGAAGTATGGTCAGTGGCATAGGTGACTTCAAAAATACTACCCTAAAATGTGACAACAGGTCAAGAAACATTCACCCAATGGAACTGAAGTTAAAAGGAAAAAGTATATAATGGACGAGATCAGCTATCTTTAGAAGAACCTCCATTTGGAGAATGGTGCCTAGTTCCTACTGTCTTTGGTAGGAGGATCCCTTTTGCATGTCAGACAATGTCACAGCACTCCATATGGCAGTTCCTTGTTACTGACAATGCTTCATGAGCTATGGACCTCAAGTCTCTTGTAGTTTATTCCATGGCCTCCCACGGGCCCAAGGCCCACAGTTTGATCCAAGAAGACATTCTTAAAAGAAATGGATGGAAAAGAAAGACGTAAGAAAAAGGAAGTGAATTATAACATTTGCTTAAGAGTGAGGATTGGTGTTTGGCATTGTATTTTGGCAAATGGTCAAGAGAGGAATCTGCTATAGGCCTCATTCAGCTCAAAAGATCTCTTCAAAAGAAGAGATCAATTCTGGATCCTTCCAGACCTTACCCTAGGAGATTGTAGTTGTTTGAGCCATCCAATGAGAATGGAAGTTGTGTGTGGGGCTGCGTCCCTGGAATGTTGCATAGACACAGGACCCTTTTACTGGAGACTGAGTCAGGGCTAATCCACATGGCAGGCTGCCTTTGGCCCGGTGAGCTTTCAGTCCAGTGGTAATCAATGCCAAGCTGCAGAGCACCGAGGGTCACAGTGCCCTAGAGGAAATTTTTAGCATTTCTAGTTCTCAGAGTTCCCTGAAGAACAATTTCAGGAAAGTTAGATAAGTTGGACAATGATGCAGAAATGATTCAAAACTTTGATTTCTAGACAAACATCAGAAGCACCTATCCCATAGATGGGCTTCACCACTTTTATACACTCAAGGCTACCACTGTAAAGAGAGTCATAACAAACAAGGGGTGTAAAAGTAATATTTTTCAAGTACCTTAGTGCTCAGGGCCACTCGAAGTCCATATGGGGAATCAGTCATGCAGCCTGTGGATCTTCCTATAGTGGTCTTTACTGGTACCACACTTCCACCACGTTGAAACACTGGTATCTACAATAGGACAATACTCTCAGAGGAGGATTCATATAAGGCAATTTCAAAGTAGGCTTTTAAAATATTTCATTATACATTCTTTTCAAAAAATTTTTATTTAGTTAAGTTTTGGCTGTGCTGGGCCTTTGTTGCTGCGCTTGGGCTCTCTCTAGTTGCACTGAACACAGACCACTCTCTAGTTGTGGTGCGCATGCTTCTCATTGAGGTGGCTTCTCTTGTTGTGGATCACAGGCTCCGGAGTGCACAGGTTCAGTAGCTGGGGTGCATAGGCTTAGTCGCCCTGTGACATGTGGAATCTTCCCAGAGCAGGGATGGAACCCATGCCTTCTGAATTGGCAGGTGAATTCTTAACCACTGGACTGCCAGGGAAGTCCCATTATACATTCTTCATAAATGTAGGCTCAAAAGCAAAATAAATTTGTGAACACAAATTCATTAGTATAGGGGAAAATATCTTTATATAGGGTTCTGTACTCTCCTCGGTTTTAGGCATCCATTTGGGGTCTTGGAACATATACTCCATGGGGAAGGGGGTCTACTGTATTCTTACTTTTCTCCCAGCTTGTAGCTTACTACAGGCCCTGGCATTAAAAGGAAGAGAGTTCAAATATTAAAAATGGTTCACTTAAAAAATTATTAGGGAAAACTCACCTCCATCAATTTATTATCTCTTCTAACTATCCTATAGGTAGCTTTTCCTGCTTTGTATTTTAAATTTGCCTGTCAGTATAGCAAACAAGTTTATTTTTAGGACCCTACTAAAGAGGGGATTTTTATGTCTATGCAAGCAGGCCCAGATATACATGTGTATATGTTCATAAAAGATGGTGGTTTCTTGGTTTGGGATACATAACTGTTGTCCCTACTTTAGCTTATATACCCCTTGCTCCCTGCTTCCCTGCATCACTTGGATGACTGGCTCAATTCTGAGGGTGAATCTGTGAAATTTCTGTTATAGAAGCTGCCAAGGGCACTTGACGTGACTCTGACAACAGGGCTGTAGGCATAGGTCTTCTGGAATAGCACTTCCAGCAAGGACAGCCCAGTAGGTTCCGTGTCTCCCAGTATAGTCCTCTCTTAGGAAGCTCCCTGGATCATGTGAGGGCTTACACTTTGCTCTGAGTAAGCTACAAGTGGGGAGAAGAATTAGAATACAGTAGGCACCCCCTCCCCCCATGGGGGATATGTTCCCAGACTCCCAGTGGATGCCTGAGACCGAGGAGAGTACTGAACCCTATATAATGATACCTTCCCCTATACTAATGGGTGGGTAGCATACACAGCTTGGATCTGCTGGACAGAGAGATGAGTCACATCCTGGGCAGGATGGAGCAGGATGGCACAAGATTTCATCATGCTCCTCAAGGCAGCATGCAGTTTAAAACTTATTATTTCTGGAATCTTCCATTTAGTGTTTCTGGACCACAGTTAATATTTTTGGGCCACAATTGACTGAAGGTAACTGAAACTGAGGAACATGAAGCCTCAGATAAGGGGGACTGCTGTATATAGGAAGTTGGCAGTAAGGATGGCTAGTAGGCAAGATGTCCACTGTCTGCTTGACTCGCAGCAAGAAGTAAAAGCACATTTACTTCCCACCCTCATCAGTCAACTTCTTCTTCTTTTATTTTCTTTCAAAGAATGAGGCAGTAAGTTAATACAGATGGGCCCTGGAGTGGAAGTCCAATTGACCTGGGGTCTTATCTCAGTTCTGCCACAATTAAGCTGAAACCCTGGACAAGTAAGTTAACTTCTCTGAACCTCACTGTCTTCACCTGTAAGCATGAGGGATTCAAGTAGATGAATGTTAAGGTCTATTATAGATCTGAAAGTTGGCATCTGAAATCATTTTCTCTATGTGAACATGAACATGTTAGTCGCTCAGTCGTGTCTGACTCTTTTTGAACCCATGGACTACAGCCTGCCAGGCTGCTTTGTTCATGGGATTTTCCATACAGGAATACTGGAGTAGGTTGCCATTCCCTTCCCCAAGGGACCTTCCTGACCCAGGAATCGAACCCAGGTCTCTTGTTTTGTAGGTGGATTTTTTACCATGCGAGCTACCAGGGAAGCCCCATTTTCTCTATAATGGGGTTCATATTGCTGCTGAGAATTTAAAAAAATAACATACATCTACTTAAAAATTTTCACACTACTTCAGGCCTCTGGTAGTGGCTGTGATTCAGTTGCAGGAACAAACTTCCGTTCAGAAATGCAGCCTGGGGGACTTCCCTGGTGGTCCAGGTGTTAAAAATCCACCTTGCAATACAGGGGACTCAGGTTCCATCCCTGGTTGGGGAACTAAGGTCCCACATCACGCAGGACAAGTAAGCCTGCACACTACAACTAGAGAGTCTGTGCACCACAACTAAAGATCCCACATGACACAATGAAGACCCCGAGTGCTGCAACTAAGACCTGATGCACCCAAATAAGTGTAACAAATGAATTAATTAAAAAAAAAAAGATGCAGCCTGGATGGGCCACTCTGGGTCTGATATCATAACTCATAGCCTCCCCTTGGGCCTAGAGATCCAACTAGAAACTCAGGTCTCCTGACTTGGTCCTGTAGAAGGATATTCTGTATGGTATGTGTGCTACCACTGTGTTTACTCCCTGTTGTCAGCGTGATTATTCTTCTTAGACATACAAAGGTAAATAAATGGGGGAGAACTGTTTGTCTTCAGTGTTCCAAACTGAAATCAGGGTACACGTTATTTTTATACTCTTTTTTTTCCCCTCACATTTTGGCAGTTTTATTGATAAAAAATTCACATGTCACATAATTCATCCATTTACAGTATCCAATTAAATGGTTTTTAGTATATTCAGAGTCATGCAACCATCACCATAATCAATTAAAAATCACCCCCCAAAAGAAACCCTGTACCCATTAATGGTCACTCGCCATTGCTCCCCCAGTGTGACTATATTTGAAGACCTTTACAGAGGTAATTAAGATTAAGTGAAGTCATAGGAGTGGGGCCCTGATCCAAACGATTAGTGTCATAAGAGACACAAGAGCACACACTCCCTCTGCCATAAGAGGATGCAGCAAGAAGGTGTCTGTCTCCATGCCAGGAAGAAATCCCTCGTCAGGAATCGAACTGGTTGGCCCCTTGATCTGGGGCTTCAAGCCTCCAGAACCGTGAGAAAATAACTTTCTATTGTTGAAGCCAGTCAGTCTATGGTATTTTGTCATGGCAGCCTGAGTAGACTAATCAGCACAATAGGTAAAAATAACAGTCTGAAAATAGCTTACAGAGTCCAAGGTTACTGGGATCTTTACTATACACGCTCCTTTCCAGTGAGCAAATGTCTTAGAGTCATACCAAATCTGAAAAGAAACAGACCCTAGTGAAAAAATGTGCATAAGCACATTTTGCTCATGATTTCATTATTTAATAAAACATCCATTTATTTGGATTTCAAATAACCATAAAGCTAAAATAAGTATAATTTTAAAATTTTTGAATAGAAGTTAGAAAGAACATATGCTTTTAAGAAAATCCCAAAGGACTAACTAACCTAGTACTGTGATGGATTAAGCTGAGTAAAAGGCCATTGATTTTTCCATCCATCCATCCAAAAGTTATTTACTGAACAACCTACCATGTGCCCAGCATTGCTGGGTACACACAAGTGAACAGAAAGACATAGAATCTGCCCTCGTGGATTTTATAGTTCAGTTGGCTTATAAAAATGTAATGATCTTACAGTGAAAAAGATGATGGAAGGGAGAAAACAACAACAAAACAGAAGCACACTGCAAGCAAATAAATTACAAATGAGGCAGGAGAAAAGAGTGTCTGACAAGGAAACAGACCTTAGAGAAAAACAAACGGAAATCTGGATTACTAATACAGTGTCACTTTTTAAAAACAAGAGTACAATTCAGGGATGAGGTTCAAACTCTTATCTGAGATGCCCATCAAGGGGGTTTACTTGAGAAAGTGCCAAAAAGCTCCTGCCAAAGTAATCTGATGGGATAAATCCTTCTTAAGGATGAAAAGAAAACCTTTTTGTCTCTTCTAGTCCAATATAATTTCTGGCAGCCACAGTTCACCTCCTGGGATTACCAAAGCCTATATAAAGCTGGGATGTTGAATCAGTCACTGTCCTGCTGTGACTGTGAGAGGGCTGTGCCCTGACGATTGTCAGCTGCAGTGAACTCTTAATTCAACTGGATCAGTCCTACCTTGTCATGAAGTATTATCTTCGGCTGGATTCAGTTTCCTAATGCATTGTCAAGGATTTTTGTGTCTGCTTACAAGGGATAATCCCTTAGCTATCTTTCCTTGTACTGTCTTTCTTTGGTGAATTCTAGTAGCTCAAGATAAAGAGTTGGTGGGAGTGAAAGGTTAAAAAAAAAAAAAAGGATTTAAACAAGAGCTGGGGATTACCCATCAACCATTTCCAGTCTGACTGAAATGAGAGGTACAGGGTGTGTGGTACCATAATCAAAGATCCCCAGCCTAGGAAGGGTACAACTGGTACAAAACACCATGTAGATTAGATTACAACTGGTACAAAACACCATGTAGATTAGTGGCCATTAACAGATAAAAATCATGGCCCTTAAAAAGCTAACATTCTAATGGGAGAGATAAACAATAAACAAAACATAAAAGTAAATGTGTAGGCTGTTTAAAATGGCAAGTTCTACGGAGACAAAGGATGAAGGAGAACTAGACGGTACCAGGGGCAGTGGGAGTAGTCTGTGATCTTAAAGAGGATGTTAGAGAAGGCCTCCCCAAGAAAGAGACTTGTAGGAGAGGGAATGTGTGGTACAGAAACATGGGAAGGTGATAGCTAGGCTGTTAGATAGCTCTCTGCCCGTCGTGGTGCTATACTAGCTAACCAGCAAGGTAAAGTTCAGGCAAGAAGCAGCTTGGCTCTCCTACCCAGCCTTTGGGAAGATGTAGCAAGAGAAACAATCACAGAACACTCCTGGAAAGTGTTGAAAAAATAGGCTACATAGTCATAACAGTGTGATTAAAATAATAGGTCATTAATAGAAGTTGTGGCAAAGTCAGATAGGGAGCTAGTTCCTCTTAATGGGAGCCTATACTTAGAATTAATTTAAGAAATCTCAGCATAAATGCTTGGCAAGCCAATTCATTTAGCTGTTGTAATATTTAACCTTTTTCTCAGGTTTCTGCTTGGCAGGGGAACCTTTGTAAAGAGCCCACACCTTCAGAACTACAAATTACTAGAGAAACCAAGCAGAAAGAACATCATTCATGGGCTTTCTGTAGAAAAGCCTGGTTATTGTCATATCAATGATGACAGGTGTAGTGGGCTGAATGGTGGCCCTTCAAAAAGATGTATTTGCTTCCTAATCCCTGGAAGGAGTGAATATTACCTTTATGGGAAAAGATTTGACCAAATTGAGGATCTTAAGGAGATTATCTGGAATTATTTAAGTGAAAGTGAAAGTGAAGTCGCTCAATCGTGTCCGACTTTTTGCGATCCCGTGGACTGTAGCCGACCAGGCTCCTCCGTCCATGGGATTCTCCAGGCAAAAATACTGGAGTGGGTTGCCAGTTCCTTCTCCAGGGGATCTTCCGGACCCAGGGATCAAACCCAGGTCTCCTGCATTGCGTGCAGATGCTTTAACCTCTGAGCCACCAGGGAATGCAGTGGAATTATTTAGATAGGCCCTAAATATCATCACAAGTGTCTTGTAAGAGACAGATGGGAGAGGAGACACAGACACACACAGTGAAGATGGAGGCATAGACTGAAGTGAGGTGGGTACAAGCCAAGGAATGCCAAGAGCGCAGGCAGCCCCCAGAAGTGGGGAGCGTGGAGAGTGGCATGGCACAGACCCTCCCTCAGAACCACCAGGAGGAACCAACTCTGCCCATGCCGTGATTTTGGACTTCAAGCCTCCAGTGCTATGAGAGCATAAATTTTTGTCGTTTTAAGCCACCAAGTTCGAAAGGAAGAGATTCGACACACGTAAGGTATGCGGAGGTTTGTTGTTTACTGTTACCTCACTTGACCCTGGCAGAAACACATCAACCACAGTAGCTTTTGGTTCTGTGACTGGATGAACCAATAAAGCACTTCCTGAAAAGTGGAGAAGAGATAAAGTTGAATGTCATTATAAGAGGTCTGAAAACATCCCTTCTCTTTTTAAAAAAATTTTTTAAATTTAAATTTATTTATTTGTAATTGGAGGATAATTACTTCATGTTATTATGTTGGTCTCTGCCACATATCAACATGCATCAGCCTTAGGTATACATATGTCCCCTCCTTTTTGAACCTCTCTCCCCACCTCCTACCTTCCACCCCATCCCACCCCTCTAGGTTGTCACAGAGCATCGGATTTGAGCTTCCTGTGTCATACAGCAAACTTCCACTGGCTATGTAATTTTACATATGGTAATGTGTATGTTTCAGTGTTGCTCTCTTAATTGAGTGCTTTTGTGGTTTCAAAGACCACTCAACTGAACTTCTTAAAGGCAGAGATCCTGGTGAGTTGAACCAATGATTCTTCAGGGAGACGTATTGTTAGTTAGAAAGAGGACAGGTGACCAGAGGTGACTGTATCACTGCCATCATTAATCCACTTATGGTGTATTAGGATTTCAGGGAGGGACCCTGACATAGTCCAGCATGGTCTCACTTGGTGCCCAGCTGTAGTATGAAAGCACCATTTCACTTCTGCAAATGCTTCATTGTTTGCTATACGTGACTTTGAATGTGGTGAGTCTACAACTGTGACTCAGAAGTGTGGTCAGCATAGATATTCAGGCCCTCTTTCTTGGGCAGGTATCATCAGAAAAACTATAATTCTCTTAAAAGAAATCTGGATTATTAATTTTGTTTTGATCTTGGCACTGGCATATGTAAAATTCATCCAATTACAAATTCGCTACTTAATTCAACAAATATTCATTGAATTCTGCTGAGTACTAGGCACTGTGCTAGGCTCGAGGAATGTAGCTTCAAATTAGACAGACATGGTCCCTGCCCTCATCAAGTTTACAGCCAAAAACAGATATTCAACAAGTAATTACAAATTAATTAGAGCTAAGACAAATAGTAAACCGGCAAAAGTACAAAATGGAATGAAAATTATGTATTAAGAGGGACTGACTTTGATTAAGGCAGGTGGAATTAGATATTAGGAAGCAATTTTGGTCAGGAAAATTTTCTCTAAGGAAGTAGTAGCTTTTTAACTTGAGACCCAAGGATGAGTGGAGACCTAAAGGGATAGGTTTTTTACATTTTGGGGGTTCTACTGTTTAGAAACAGAATTCACCTTCTGGGCAACTCTCTGTCAAGCCTGGCCTCTTGAACATATTACCCAAATGATAAACTTCCCTGTTCCAAATTTGATTGCTGCTGCTGCTGCTGCTAAGTCGTTTCAGTTGTGTCCGACTCTGTGAGACCCCATAGACGGCAGCCCACCAGGCTCCACCGTCCCTGGGGTTCTCCAGGCAAGAACACTGGAGTGGGCTGCCATTTCCTTCTCCAATGCATGAAAGTGAAAAGTGAAAGTGAAGTCGCTCAGTCGTGTCTGACTCTTTGCAACCCCATGCACTGCAGCCCACCAGGCTCCTCTGCCCATGGGATTTTCCAGGCAAGATACTGGAGTGGGGTGCCATTGCCTTCTCCGTCCAAATTTGATTAACCCCTACTAAAGAGGACAACCAAAACCAAACAACCCCAGTCCTGTTCTGCATATGAAATAAGCTCTTCTGGGTCTTTACAAAGATAACTATCTGGTTTACTTTTTTCTACTTCCCTTCCCTGTGGTGGTATCTTAAGGCTTAGAGGTAAACCCTGAACAAGAATCCCAAATTGCATTCACAAACAGAATGGGTTTATATGATGTTAACATATTATGAGAAGCACTACATGACAAAAGAATAGAGTTGGGATCCCACGAATACACTAAAAATCTTGGTGATGAAAGTTCTTTTCTTTTTGGCTTTCTTGAGACTAGGGATTTTTTAGTGTTCCTATACTAGAAAATATAATAAGAAAAACATAATTATAGTATTTATCATAAGTAAAATTCATCCAGAAATGCTCACCCAGCATGTATTCATCTTCCACACTAAAACTCTCTAATTCATTAGGGAATTCTACCCACAGAGGCCTGGGGAAAAGAAAAAAGAAATTTCTTACTTCAACATCATTAGATTTTTTTTATAATTCAATCACTCATATTTTCAGTTTTATAACTATTCAAAGGAAATTGGAAAAAGTCAAGACTTTTTTCATATGAGTCAAGATTTTATGAGCACCGATTATGATTTTTGCTATTGTTTAGTTGCTAAGTCTTGTTCAACTCTTTGCAGCTCCATGGGCTATAGTCCACCATCAGGCTCCTCTGTCCATGGGATTTCTCAGGCAAGAATACTGGAGTGGGTTGCATTCCCTTCTTCAGGGGATCTTCTAGACCCAGGGATTGAACCCAGTCTCTTACATCTCCTGCATTGGCAGGTGGGTTCTTTATCACTAGCACCAACTGTGATCCCTTTGTTATGATTACTAAATAGTTTTCTTGTGTGAAAGAGCTGTTAGCTTAAATGGTTCAATTAAAGCTTGAGAATTCTAGTACCCAAAACTTCTCGTTCTCACTGTTGAGCACTAAATTACTCTGACAGGCATAATCGGAACTTTGTCCAAGTCCAAATGCCTAATATGTTTGGTGTAAAACAAACTAAATGTTTTTTTAAATTAATTTATTTTTAATTGAAAGATAATTGCTTAACTGTATTGTGTCCAGTTCAGTTCAGTTGCTCAGTCGTGTCCGAGTCCTCACGACTCCATGAACCACAGAACGCCAGGCCTCCCTGTCCATCACCAACTCCCAGAGTTAACTCAAACTCATGTTCATTGAGTCGGTGATGCCATCCGACTCATCCTCTGTCATCCCCTTCTCCTCCTGCCTTCAATCTTTCCCAGCATCAGGGTCTTTTCAAATGAGTCAGCTCTTCACATCAGGTGGCCAAAGTATTGGAGTTCCAAGTTTGACATCAGTCCTTCCAATGAATATTTAAGATTGATGTCCTTTAGGATGGACTGGTTGGATCTCCTTGCAGTCCAAGGGACTCTCAAGAGTCTTCTCCAACACTACAGTTCAAAAGCATCAATTTTTCGGTGCTCAGCTTTCTTTAGAGTCCAATTCTCACATCCCTACATGACTACTGGAAAAACCATAGCCTTGACTAGACAGACCTTTGTTGGCAAGTAATGTCTCTGCTTTTTAAAAAAATTATTTATTTATTTATTATTTATTTATTTTCATTTATTTTTATAAGTTGGAGGCTAATTACTTTACAATATTGTAGTGGTTTTTGCCATACATTGACATGAATCAGCCATGGATTTACATGTGTTCCCCATCCTGAACCCCCCTCCCATCTCCCTCCCCATCCCATCCCTCTGGGTCTTCCCAGTGCACCAGCCCTGAGCACTTGTCTCATGCATCCAACCTGGGCTGGTGATCTGTTTCACCCTTGATAGGATACTTGTTTCAGTGCTATTCTCTCAGAATATCCCACCCTCACCTTCTCCCACAGAGTCCCAAAGTCTGTTCTGTACATCTGTGTCTCTTTTTCTGTTTTGCATATAGGGTTATCGTTATCATCTTTTTAAATTCCATATATATGCGTTAGTATACTGTATTGGTCTTTATCTTTCTGGCTTACTTCACTCTGTATAATGGGCTCCAGTTTCATCCATCTCATTAGAACTGATTCAAATGAATTCTTTTTAACGGCTGAGTAATATTCCATTGTGTATATGTACCAGAGCTTCCTTATCCATTCGTCTGCTGATGGGCATCTAGGTTGCTTCCATGTCCTGGCTATTACAAACAGTGCTGTGATGAACATTGGGGTGCACATGTCTCTTTCAGATCTGGTTTCCTCGGTGTGTATGCCCAGGAGTGGCATTGCTAGGTCATATGGCAGTTCTATTTCCAGTTTTTTAAGGAATCTCCACACTGTTCTCCATAGTGGCTGTACTAGTTTGCATTCCCACCAACAGTGTAAGAGGGTTCCCTTTTCTCCACACCCTCTCCAGCATTTATTGCTTGTAGACTTTTGGATAGCAGCCATCCTGACTGGCGTGTAATGGTACCTCATTGTGGTTTTGATTTGCATTTCTCTGATAATGAGTGATGTTGAGCATCTTTTCATGTGTAAAAATATGGAACGCTTCACGAATTTGTGTATCATCCTTGCACAGGGGCCATGGTAATCTTCTCTGTATCGTTCCAATTTTAGTATATGTGCTGCCAAAGCGAGCACTGTCTCTGCTTTTTAATATGCTGTCTAGGTTGGTCATAACTTTCCTTCCAAGGAGTAAGCGTCTTTTAATTTCATGGCTGCAGTCACCATCTGCTGTGACTTTGGAGCCCCCCAAAATAAAGTCAGCCACTGTTTCCCCATGTATTTGCCATGAAGTAATGGGACCAGATGCCATGATCTTAGTTTTCTGACTGTTGAGCTTTTAAGCCAACTTTTTCACTCTTCTCTTTCACTTTCATCAAGAGGCTCTTTAGTTCTTCTTCACTTTCTGTATTGTGTTGGTTTCTACCAAACTTAAATGTTGGTAAAATTGAATTTTATAATGTAGAATCTGTGCCATTTTTTAATTGTCACTACTTTTCATGCATCCTTAATCATTATCTAAGTGAAAAGAATTGGTTTTCCTTGTTTTCAAGTTGGCAACATTTGTGGAGGTTTCAGAAACTGTGTGGTGTTTGGGTTTTGTTTTATTATTACTGTTGTACACAACTAAGCAGGAGGCATTTGGGCTTAGTAAATCATGAAACTTTCAATATCTCTGGATATTAACTTCATGGTTCTAATGTTGCTTTCAATTTCACGAGGGAAAGATACTTTTTAATAAGAGAAACATTTTCATTTTATTCACTAGCCTTTGTAATAATCTATTCCTTTGCTATTAAATAGTAACAAAGCATCTAAACTTGGCTGATGTCTAAAATTACCAGGAAAATTTCCAACAAACATAGATCTCTGGAACTTAACCAAGGGACTCATAATAGGTTTGGAGGTCTGGCCTGGGAATCTGTGTTTTATAAAAAGCTCCCCAGGTGATTCTGATCTGAGTCAGGCTGAGGAACTGCTGATCTAGAGGTCTTGATGTACTATGTGTGTCTCTGTGTGTACTGTTCTCTAACCCAGAAAGTTGGCATTCACATCTTGCCTTCAAAATAGAATCAGAATATAATTTACACACCAGGAAAAGCCCTAAGGGTAAGAGAGAGCTAAGGCTGGCAGAATAAGTTGTTCTTCATGAGAGAATGCTTGTGGGTGTGGGGGACGAAAAAGCTACTTTCCTCTATCCTGGGTTTTTCTGACTGGTCTAAGAATTAAGTTGACAAGACAGAGTTTAACAGTAGAAAATCAAATTTAATGATGTATAAACAGGAGCTCCATAAAAATATACTGCCTAAAGACAAGATAGGCAATTGAGGCTGATATAGCACCAGAGAGAAGTGAGTGAGGTTTGGAACTTCAAAGGGGAGAAAGGAAACTTCCCCTGGTAGTCCAGTGGTTAAGATTCTGTGTTTCCCCTGCAGGGGGCATGGGTTCTCTGGTCTGGGAACTAAGATCCCACATACCTCATGGTGCAGCCAAAAAAAAAAAAAAGATAAAAAACCAAAAGTGAGGCAAGATATTCACTTGGAGATGGGAAAACAAATGTTTGATAAACAAAACATTTGCTGGGCCAGGCAAAGACAATGCGACACAGAGAGGACTTTAGTTCCCACCTTCCCCCTACTATGCTTAGCTCATATTCCTTGTAGATATCTCTGGTGATAATGAACTTCCTGGACCAAGCTCTTTATCTAAATTCTTGTAGGCATTTAAGGAGGAAGTTAAAAAGAAAGATTCCTGAGCCTTTTGTATGTTTAAAAACAATCAGCTCTTAAGAATCCTCAAGCCGAAAAGACACATTTTGGGGTAGCATGTTTTGTTTCCCTACATGGGTTAAATACTAGATGAACTGAAGTACAATATCTTTTCTTTCTCTTCCTTCCTTCCTTCCTTTTTTTCCTTCCTTTCTTCTATTTCTATCCCCTACTAAATATTATGGGTTTCCCTGGTGGCTTGGATGGAGCAAGCCGGCAGTGTAGGAGGCTCAGGTTCAATCCCTGGGTCAGGAAGATCCCCTGGCGAAGGGAATGGCTACCCCACTCCAGTATTCTTGCCTGAAGAATTCCATGGACAGAAGCTACTATTCAAAGGTTACAAAGAGTTGGACACGCCTGAGCGACTAACACTAACCAAATATTAATGCTTGAATCACCAAATAGCAGGAGATCTAGTTTTTATACTCTGTGACCTCTAGTGCCTGACCCTGCTCACAGCTGGTGCTCAATAACCTGACTGACACTTGGTTAAACACCTGGCTTTTCTTCTGCAATCACTGTAATTACTTCATTGCCAGTGGCTGAGGGGATCTTCTGGAGAGACTGGTTACTGGAGTGGTGGTGAAGCCTGTTTACCTCATGACAGGCTGAGAAGCCACGTGTGCAGAGTAGAACAGAGAATACCAGTAGGGCAGGAGGGTGTAGCGCTCTCTGACGGCTTCTCGGATGAGCCGGGTGTGCTCCTCCCCAAAGAGCCAGGGTTCCCGTCGCTTGGTCTTCATGGTGGCATGGCCACGGAAGAAGGGCTGGTAAGCTCCCGCCTGGTACCACCGCACTAGCAGCTCTGCCTCTGGATCCCCAATGAAGCCACCTACATCCGCTGATTAGTCAGTAAAGAAAGGCTGAGTGAGACACCCGGGCGTCTGACAGATGATGCCCACAGGTAAGATAAGGCCTTGTAGACCAATAGGGCAAAGGTATGTATGTGCACTCAAAATAACAGCATCAAAGTGTGGCCTCAAATTAGGAAGCACATACTAAAAACCTCAGGTTGTTTAGGGATCTGACAGTATGCTCTTTGAATATGTTCTTTTCCTGTCAAAAGGCTTTATTGAAAGATCAACATTTCTGTTTGTCCTGAACCCTGGTAATTCAGAAACTGAAAAATATCTACCCGAGTTAATAAGCCTGTATTTAGTGATGGGGGTGGGTGGGGGTGGTTGGCAACTGATTTTGTTTGAAAGCAAGATAAAAACTATAGAAAGAACTAAAGAGAGAGACATAATCAGAATTAGAGGTTTAGGGAGAAAATTTCAGGTTTAGCCCTTAAGCAGGATACAAATTCTTTGTGTCGAATGTGAACTAGCGCCATTGAAAAACACAAATATCAAAATGTGATATTAAGTGCTTCCAGTCCCACAGAAAACCAGAAGCAGCTGGACCTGTAGCCAGGTTGAGCATCTCTGTACTGAGATCGCTCACCTGCAGGGAGTTACTAGGACTAGGGGAAAGCAGCCCATCAGAGAATTTTAACTAAATTTTATCTTTTCCAAGTGTGTGTGCGTATATATATAATGCCACAGGATTTCTGTAGAGCTGATTTCTGATTTGGTAAATTCTTTGTAGTTCTCTCCACTTTTTTCACTTTCAGATAGAAAAGCAGTATTTCAACAAGAGAAACTCAATTATCAAGAGTGTCTAAGAAAGGAACAGAGCAGTAAGAGAATGAGGAAAAGAACACTGTGGCTCTCTGATGACTTTACTTCATGTTTTCCGTTCAGACGAGAGATTCGTCTCCTTCATTCTCCTCTCTAGTCTGTTCTCCATTCTCCTCATTTTCTCTTCCCCCCATTTATTCTGTTGAAAACAACTCACAAGAAGGGATTTCTGACCAGCTTTAATGAAAACACCGCCCCCCCCCACCCCTGCTTTGATTTTTCTTTCACTTCAGGCCTGAGGCTATCATCTTACCTCCACAAAAAGAGATCCCAGTCACACTGAGGGTAAGTAACATAGGGATAGAAATTTTCAGGTAACTCCACTCTGCTGTGTTATCACCTGTCCACACAGCACCTTTGGTCATCAGTAAGAAGGTATTAAAAGAAAGAAAGAAAGAAAAAATCAGCCCATGTGTACTCAATTTCATATTTAGATTCCATATTTGTAATAGACAAATTAATATAAAGGAAAACATTTCTTTCTTTTAATTATTTAATTGTGAAAGCTCTTTATATATTCTGGATACAGGTTCTACGTGTATATATATACACACACATATATAAACATATATGTATATTGCAAATGTCTTCTCTCAGTCTATGACTTGACTTTCATTTTCTTAACAATGGGCTTCCCTGGTGGCTCAGCTGGTGAAGAATCTGCCTGCAATGCAGGAGACCTGGATTTGATTCCTGGGGTTGGAAAGTTCCCCTGGAGAAGGGAAAGGCTACCCACTCCAGTATTCTGGCCTGGAGAATTCCATGGACTGTATAGTCCATGGGGTCACAAAGAATCGGGTATGACTGAGTGACTTTCACTTTCATTTACTTAACAGTTTCTTTTTAAAATTTTGATGAAGTCCAATTTATCATTTTTTAATTTTATGTTTTGTGCTTTTTGTGTTCTAAGAAATTTTGCCACCTCAAAGTCATGAAGGTTTTCTACATTTTTTGTCTAGAAGCCTTTTGTTTGTTTTAACTTTTATAATATAAGTCTATATTCCATTTTGAGTTATTTTGTGTGTATGGTGTGAGGTGAGGGTTAAGGTTCTTCCCCTCTCCCCCATATGGATACCCCATGTTTCAATACTATTTATTGAAAAAAACTCCTTTCTCCATTGAATTGCCTTGGCAACTTTGCTGCTAAATATTTGACCATATATGTGTTGGACTCTTTCTGAACTCTCTATTCTGTTTCATTGATCTATATGCCTATGTGCCAACCTGCTTTCTGCAAAATCCTCTATAAGAGGTTTTAAGACCACATGAGGGAGACAAAATAAAGTAGCAATAACAATAGTTAACATTTATAGAGTCCTCACTGAGCCAGGAGGTATGCTACTTTGCTTGTATTGTTCCATTTAATCATCACAACAACTCAATCAGGTAAACACTAACTTTATTTTACAGCAGACGGAAATATGGCAAAGTATTTTGGTAGGTAGATATGGTAGGATTTGAGCTCAGGCAGTCTGACTCTAAAGCCAGTGCTCTTGAGCACTGAATAGTTGATAAGAACTTGTAAAGATATATAACACCAAAGAAATTCATAAAAGAAAATAACCTTATTTTATTAAGTCTATATTACTCCTGAAATACTTTGTCTCTCTTTTATTAAAATACTTTCGGTGGCTACTTTTGTTTTAATATTTTGTAGAAATTTTAGGCTGTCTTATGACTAGCAAAGGAAAATATTTTCAAGAGATTTTTCTTTTAAAACAGTACCTTCATAATTCCTCCTGGACTTCAAATGAGGTATGTATATTATCTACATAATGACTTTGAAACCCACAACATTCTTATAAAGTAACAAAGTTCATGTAAATATGCAGATGTTTTCAGGTCTCAAATGGCTGTTTAGATGGAAGTTCTCTCTGGCTGTTGGTCTCAGCACAGGACTTGATACACAGTGTTCTTTGTAATGCCTCACTTGGTAGCTTTGGGGGTGAGTCAATAGCTTCACACAGAGTATTGAAGACTAGGCAATGGGCCAATATATTTAAAAGATAAAAGATTACTTATATGCATATCTTCTGTTATTTTTTTAAGTATAGCTGATTTACAATTTTGTGCTAATTTCTGCTGCACAGTAGTGATCCAGTTATACATATATACATTTTTCATATTCTTTTTCATTACAGTTTATCTCAGGATACTGAATATAGTTCCTTGTGCTACACAGCAGGATCATGTTGTTTATCCATTCTATAAGTAATAGTTTGCATCTGCTAACCCCAAACCCCCAGCCCACCCCTCCACTACCTCCGGTTGTATCTTTTTTAAAACTTCTCCTTATAAACGTTTTCATTCAAAGACCTTACTTGTTTTAGTGATTAAAAAGGATACTTATAGAGAATTTGAAAAATAGAGATAAAAAAGAAGAAAATTAAAGTAACTCATAATCACCATGGTACTATATTCATTTAGATTACTGCGTGTGTGCTTGTTAAGTCGCCTCTTTCCTGTCCAACTCTTTGAGACCCTGTGAACTTGAGCTGGCCAGGCTTTTCTGTCCATGGGATTCTCTAGGCAAGAATACTGGAGTGGGTTGCCATGCCCTCCTCCAGGCGATCTTCCCAAGTCTCTTAGGTCTCCTGAACTGAGAGGTGGGTTCTTTGCCACTAGCACCATCTGGGTAGCCTCATTTAGATTACTACCTACATATACCTATATATATATATTTTTTTTTTTAAACAAAATCAGGATAATATATAAACATTTAGGTATCCTGCTTTTCCCCTCCCTCATCTACCATGCAATTAAGGCATATATTAAATATCCTTATGACAGTCTATCATATGGATATACCATAACTGAATAACTATTCCCTTATTGTTAGAATCTGGATTTTCTTTATTTCTTTTTATTTTAAGCACTAATGCTGTGTTGAGCATCTCTGTACATCTTTGCCTGCTGATAATATTTTGACCTTTTCCAGAGTATCACTGGGGCTGGTTTTCAGGAGTGGAGTAGGAGGCCTAATAATGTCTCCGGTAAAATAAAGGCTGGATTCCTCAAACTGGGACCTAAGCTTTAGGCTATTTATGCAAGGTCAGGGGACTTAAAATAGCCTTCCTTCCATGGGGTGGTTAGGCTGAACTAGATCTGCATTAGCTAGTAAACTGGATCCAGCTATAGATGACCCTGACCACAAGCAAAAAAGCTAGGTCTATTTTAAACCACATTGCTTAGTGGAACAGGTGATTGAAGGAATGTTAGAAGTATATTTTCTCTGGATTTGATAAATCAAAGAGACAGGGTCATAAATGGCCACCCCAGAAAATAGATTCTCTAAAGATATTCTCCCAACTAAGTGGCCAGTTCTTCCATGAAAAGTGAAAGTGAAAGTTGCTTAGTCATGTCTGACTCTGTGACCACAAGGACTATACAGTCCATGGAATTCTCCAGGCCAGAATACTGGAGTGGGTAGTCTTTCCCTTCTCCAGAGGATCTTCCCAACCCAGGGATCAAACCCAGGTCTCCCTGATTGCAGGAGGATTCTTTACCAGCTGAGCCACAAGGGAAGTTCTTCCATGGGAAACAAGTAACTAAACTTTATTAAAATTGGTTTACTCTGTCTCAGGACAAAATAAATATTTCAGGGCTCATCACTCTCTACAATCTAAGGGCTGATCTACTGAAAATGAAAGTATCAACAGAGTTGCACCATATACCATATATGGTCAAAAGAGACAGGCTGCTAGTTTGTGTTTTTAAGTATGGCATTATGAGCCAGCCCTTACCATATTTTTGTGATCCAGCAAAGAATGAACGTGTAAGAACAAAGGGTCTCTCCTTTCCTTTAGATCGCTGGATCAGTCCTTCTGTAGTGGCCATTTGCTATGATGTCAAAGAAGAAAAATTTCAAATAGACGACTGAATTATGGCATTGCACAGACATCACCAATAAGCTATTTCATGTGCAAAAAGTAAATAATAGGTGGGAACATGCAATAGAAAATATTTAAAAAATCTTCCAAATAATTTTCATGATGTAATGAAACTGCTCTAAATTTCCCTATTAAAAGAGTGAAACAATTTCTTTGATTAAAATAGCAATGAAACAGGGGCTTCCCTCGTGGCTCAGAGGTAAAGACTCTGCCTGCCAACGCAGGAGACACAGGTTAGATCTCTGGTCTGGGAAGATCCCACATGCTGCGGAGCAACTAAGCCTCTGCACCACAACTCCTGAGTCTGTACTCTAGAGCCCGGGAGCCGCAACCACTGAGTTCGCGTGGCCTAGAGCCCAGGTTCCACAAGAGGAGCAGCTTCAACAAGAAGCCTGCACACTGCAACGACAGAGCAGCTCCTGCTTGCCGCAACTAGAGAAAAGCCTGAGCAGCAACTAAGACTCAGCACAGTCAAAAAGATAAATAAATAAAAATTTAAAAATAGCAATGAAATAGTGGTAAATAATAAAAGGGAATTTATTTGGTGCGTATTATTATAGGCATTTTTATAAGATTTTTCTCTTATAACTTATACAACAACCTCTGAGTTAAGTTTTCGTTAATGGAAAAAACAGCTTCAGAGAGGTTAAGTGACTGGCTCTGGCCTACATAAGAAAATTCTCCAACTATAACGTAGTTTACAGTTATAGCAAGAGGCTGTGTAGAGAAGTAAACTGATACTATCTGGAAACCATGCCATATGTAGCCAACAGCTCCCACTGGAAAATAGCAATTGGTGGGTCACAGCAACACTGTTACATTCTGAAGATAACAAAGAACCACAAATATAAATTAGGGCAAGTGACTGCAAAGGTTTTTGAATGTGACTGGCAAATGGAAGGCAATTCTACCACCTTCCATTGAGAAGGCTAAGTACTTAAGGAAGGCCTTCTACATTTAGAAAGTATACATACTGAAATTGTGCCTCTGTGTTCTAAATTTTACTTCCCTGGTATGAACATAAGACTTGCTGTATTTAGACACTTGTGAAATTTTTTAAAATTTGTTTTGTCTTTGATGTATTTATGCACAGCCTACTTCAGTGAAAGGTTTAAGGGATTATCTAATGCTCCTTACTAATGACTACTGTCAAGGAAGATGTTTCTATGTTATCATTAATCTCACAGTATCTATAAATTAATCAATCGATCAGGTTCATTATAGTAGGAAAAGACGCAAAGGGAGAAATACTGTTTTATATTGGCTACAACCTGATAAGACCTATTACAGTTGACAGAAAAGACACACAAAGAGAAATGAACAGTATAGTATGGCTGTTACAAAGCAAATGACTTTCAGCCCCAAAGGTAGGGCCTGTGGATCCAGGCGGCTGCTTTTTAGATGTCTTACCTGATAAAAGCCATAGATGTTGTGAAGTTCCCGGTGCTCCCAGTTGCCATGATGAATGGCATTCTTCTGCATGGTTTGCTCCGGGCCTTTAAAGACAGAGGGCTCATTCATGTCGTTCCATATGTAGAGGATGTCAGTAGATCCCTAGGAAGTCAATCTTGATCATGATAAAACTCCTACAGAGACAAGGTTAATATGACAGCCAGCCCTATTCCTCTTTCCTACTCCATTTACCTTATTATTTATTATATTTATTATCTATGTTCTGTCATCTGCTAGAATAAAAGTTCCACAGGGAAAGGAATTTTGTCTGTTTTGTTCACTGATAAATCCCAATACCTAGAACAACCTGAATGGCAGAGGGTTCTCAATAAGTACTTGCTGATGAATGAAAGAGTGCTGTGCTGTATTCTCATGTCACCCACAAGTACATTCTGAGACCTCCTGGAGAACCCCTACAGGACAGGTTGTAAATGTTCACAATCAGGTTCTCCATCATCCCTCACCTGCTCCAACTCTTACTAGGGGCAGTTAGGGCTGTCTGTGAAGAGAATCTGCCTTCCCTCTAGTACTATGAAGGGTTTGACAGTTAAGATACCATTAGTCAGCAGGATCTAGAGTTTGTATCCTACAGAGAACTGTTTGACTTACAGTGGGAAGGGGCTGTTGAGTCATCCAGTTAACACGGTGCTGGAGTCCCATTATAAAAATCCCTGGTCTCTCAGCATTTGATTCAATAGTTACAATGACCAGGAGTCTCTCAGGCAGCTCATTCCAAGTCTTCTGAAAGTCTTGCTCCTTGTAACATTCTCTCACAGGGACTAGGCTGTCTTCTGGGATACCAGAAAATACATCTGCTGCCTTTCCCACATGGCAGTCTTTCAAATGCCTGGAGGAGTCTTACATGTTTTTTTCTGACTCCTTACTTCAAATTCTTTCTAATCATGTATATTTGAATGAACAAGGCTGTATAGGTTCCAAGTATTTAGCTGCTTTGACAGTTCTTTAACACCCTCTAAGGCAGCGGCTGGCAAACTTTTTCTGGAAGGGCCAGATTGTAAATATTTTCAACTTTGCAGGCCATAGGGCCTCTTTTTCAATAACCCAGTCCAGGTATAGTTATGTGCCAGCAGCCATAGACAATAGGGGAACAAGTGCGTATGACTGGATTGGCCCAATTATTATTTATCCCTGCTCTAAGTTCTCTTCTTTTTTTTTTTTAAATAACAAACATTTATTTATTTAGTTGGCTGCATCAGGTCTTAGTTGTGGCACATGGGATCTGCACTGCCTCATGTGAAATCTTTTGCTGTGGCGTGATGGTTTACAACTTGTGGGTCCCAACCAGGGACGGAACCCGCATCTCCTGCATTGCAAGGCAGATTCTTAACCTCAGGGAAGCTCCTATGTCTATATCCTAATACAGGATGCTCAGAAACTAGAGTTTAGTGGTTAAGAGCCAGGCTTGGGAGACAGTTGACCTAAGTTAAAATCTTGGATTTACCACTTATTAGGTGGGTGAATTTAGCAGATTTTTATAGTTGTCCATGCCTTGATTTTCTTGTCTGTGGGATTAGAGTTAATTACAATTCAACTTCAAAGAGTTATTGTGAAGATGAAATGGTATAATGCACACAAAGTGATTAGCATAGTGGCACATAGCATGTACTCAATTTATATTAGTCGTCATTCTTATCACTACCACCATTGGTTGAAAACAGTTGTCTAGATGTGGCCTCTCCAGTTTTCTCTGTGATTTTTAAAAGATTTTAAGAACTATTATTATACCTTACTTTTAATGTCATGTTATACTCTGCAAGATACTTTCACATATATCATTATCATTTTTAATAATACCACACAAAGTAAAAATTTCTACAATTTGAAAATATAATAAATCTATTATAAGTAATTTGATATATCATACAGTCTATCATAATGAAAGTCAAAATCACAGCTTTTGTGCATTTGGTAACTCCTACGGTGCCTCTCCTCATACGCCATTCATATGGCACCACCAAAGTCTGATATGTGGTTGACATCCCTGCCTCTTCATATAAGGATTATTTATCAGGAGCTACTCAGTGAAGCAGAGTACTTCTATTTAATCACTTCTTTCCTTACTTCATCCTTCCAGGTAACTAGGAAAGGGCAAAGGAATAAAAACAAACCTGATAAACAGAGAAAGCGAAAAGACTAGAATACCACTCTCTGACTTTGGGGTTGGTGAAATCCAGGTAAGAGGAGAGACCTGCAGAGGCAGAAGAGCAGACAGCTTGTTAGGAACAGTGGTCCTCATGGTAAGATGCAAGATGTGAAAGCTGGGTAATGAATGAGTGCCTTACATCAAACGTAAAAGATAGCTGATACAGAGGCACAGTCTGGTGAGAAGCTAATAAGAAGGCAATGTTGAACGCCAGTGACAATCACTAGTCCTCTCAGACCCAGAGGGCAAGGGAATGCCAACGAACAAGCATCAGGATGGAGCCTGTCCCTCACTGACGGCCTCAGACAGTCCCAGTAAGGATTATGGCGGATATCCTGGAGTGAACCTTTTGTTCTGAAGGAGGGCAAAGACGTGTTTATAAGTGGTACAGGGAGAAGAGGAATGTGTGGGCTTTCTCCACTGTGTGTGAATTTGTGATAGAGTGCTATCAGATGATAGACTGGTAATTCCCTTTTGTCTGTGAGGAGTTTCTACCAAGGCTTTAAATTAATGATTTCTGAAATGAAGGCTTCAGAGTTGTCAGGGGCAGCTGAGATCACCCATGAAAGGCTGGAAAGTCAACCTATGGGCTGTTGAGGCAAAGAAGCAGCACAGGGAGAGACACGCAGGACTCTTCTTTCTTCCTCTTCTCCTGTTCTAGTTCTCTGACTTTTAATTTTTATTTGCTAAGGGAAACAGCGTGTCACTGAGGTTTGCTTACTTATTTTTCAATCATTCACTGACATATAAATGTATACAAAGAACATCATACCAGGTGTTAGATGAAAGATATAAAAGATGATAATACCTTTAAGGAAAGGCACCTAAAATATAGCATGTGACATCTATAAGAAATTAATGCAGCCTTCATTAATTGGGGCTAAACAGTGGATATCAGGTGAAAAAAATGACATCTTACCAGGCCAGCATACACCTTCAAAGTCTCCTCCTTCATGATTCTTCACAAAAAAGCCCTGTTCTTTGGCCTTAGCATACACTGAGTAGTTGGGGTCAATCTTGATGTGGGGGTCACTAATGACCACAAGCTGTCAGAACATAAAAGTTTAAAGATCTCATCAGTTTCACATAAGTCATATGTTCATTTATATGTTTTCATCATAGTTTTGGAGTTCACATACTCAAAACAACTGTGCTGTGCTTAGTCACTCAGTCCTGTCTGACTCTTTGCAAAGCATTAGACTGTAGCCCACCAGGCTCCTCTGTCCATGGGATTTTTCAGACAAGAATACTGGAGTGGTTGCTATTCCCTTCTTCAGGGGATCTTCCTGACCCAGGGATTGAATCTGCGTCTCCTGTGTCTCCTGCATTCAGGTGGATTCTTTATCTGCCAAGCCATCGGGGAAGCCCATAACAACTACTATTACTGACACCAGTAAAATCCTATCACCTTTTATGTGCTCATGGGAATATAACTTGATATCAAAACCAGGTCTATTCTTTTTCACAGTAATTACTGTCCTTCTAATACATGTTCTAAAGATCACATTTATTAAGATTCTCTCTCTGTGGTGCTGAGTGCTTTACATAAGGATTAAGTAGGCAAGGTCTCTGCTCCCTGGATACCTAAGAGGCTAAGATAACACAAAAGCAAACATTAAAGAAAAGAGAATTATTAAAAAACAAACAAAACCCCCCAAAATCCAATGGTATAGCCATATTTAGGAAGTAGTGGAGTGTTAATTGCTCAATCATGTTCAACTCTTTGTGACCCCATGGACTGTAGCCCACCAGGCTCCTCTGTCCATGGGATTTTTCAGACAAGAATACTGGAATGGTTGTCATTCCCTTCTCCAGGGCATCTTCCTGATCCAGGTTTCCTGCATTGCAGGCAGATTCTTTACCATCTGAGCCACCAGGGAAGCATTTAGGAAGGAGGTTTGACAAGAGCTATGATCAGAGCCCCAGGTCTTTAGCATCTTTAGCATCTCTCCTTGCCCGTCTAATACCATCACTGTCACCCACTTGAGGGCCTGAAAACCATCTATCTGGCTAGAATAATCTTCTAATAATCATCCTTCATGTCTGTTAAAATCTACTCTATACACTGATGTTTAATTCTCCATTGCTAAAAAACTTTAAAAATATTAAAATGTGGTAAGATATACATAACATAAAATTCACTATCTTCACCAGTTTTAAGCATGCAGATAAAGAATCTGCCTGCAATGCAGGAGACATAGGAGACCTTGCAGTTCAATGGTGCATTCACAATGTTGTACAGTCAATGTCTACAACTCTTTTCATCTTGTAAAACTGAAACTCTATATCCATTAAAAACAACTTCCCATTGCCACCTCCTCTCTAGCCCTTGACAACTATCCTTTTCCTTTCTGTCGCTATGATTTTGACTGCTTTAGATATTACAGATTACTGAAATCATATAGTATTTGTCTTTTAGTGATGGGCTTATTTCACTCAGCATAATGTCCTCAAAGTTCATTCATGTTGTAGTAGCATGTATCCAAATGGCCTCCCTTTTAAAGGTTGAGAAATTTTGTATTATATGTATATACCACATTTCCTTTATCCATTCATCTGTCAGTTAGCTTTTGGGCTGCTTCCATAATAAACACCAATAAATGTTTATTAATTGGAAGATTAAGAGTTAACAGCATTGGCTTCGAACATTTGTAAAAGGCCTGGGGAACAATAGAATGGGTTAAAAAGGCAAATTGAATTTCACGGAGAGGGACTGAGGGATCTGTTCATGAGATACATATGGGATTCTTCCCTTTTTCCTCTGTTCTTTTTCTCATTCACTCTCTTCGTTATTGTCATGACCACCACCACCACCACACCTGCATTACATACTTTCCAGTGCCATCTCCTTGTCCTTGTTTTCTATTTTAGTTTTTTCCTTGGCCACAGGGACAGGTAAAGTCCATCAGGGAAGCATACAGGAAAAATAGTGTACTAAAGAATCTGACTCCATTTCTGACCGACTGTTAAGAGCTTCAAGCCCCACCACATCTTCAGGCCCCTTTACCCTTCTGCCCACATCTTGCATGCTGACAAAGCCCTGATGCTTCCTTCTTTGGGGCCAATAAGAAGTTCAAACCACACAAGCCTTAGTGCACGCACAGAAACCCTCACCCCAGTTCAACACTGTAACCACCTTAAAACCTGAGCCTGTCTCCTTTCCCAGCTCTCTTAGGCCATTTTCAGAGGCGCTTGGGAGCAGCTCTGCACCCCTAAAATGCCTCACTATGGGACTAATGAACATTTTCATACCCTTTTGGTGCTAGTGTGATATCATCAATCTTGACATCAAATTTTGTGTGAGGTGCACCCATCACATTAGTCACTGGTCACAGTGAATGGAACTGAATGGTAGGCCCCTTCATCCTTATGGGGACCTAGACCCAATAAGGCAGGGATAGATAGCATTATTACCTTTTCACCAAAGCTTTTCTATGATCACAATTACAGTTACACTTGAAAGTACTATTTTCCGGCCATTTTTTTTACAAGATGGTTCTCGTTCACTAATGTGCCAAGGCAACTTAAACATTTTTAAATGCTTTGCAATGAAAAGGTTCAGAATGCTGTCTTGTGCGTACATGCATGCTAAGTCACATCAGTTGTGTGCAGCTTTTTGCGACCCCATGGACTGTGTAGCCTGCTAGACTCCTCTGTCGATGGGATTCTCCAGGCAAGAATACTGGAGTGGATTGCCATGCCTTCCTCCAGGGGATCTTCCTAACCCAGGGAACAAACCTGCGTCTCTTACATCTCCTACGTTGGCAGGCGGGTTCTTTACCACTTGTGCCACCTGGGAAGCCCACTGGCTTATTTTACCTTACGTTTTTTGCTTCTGAGCAGATCTTGCATCCTTTTGGGGTTTGGGAATCTTTTCTTGTCCCAGGTGAAGTACCTCTTGCCCTCTGTGTGCTCTATGTCCAGCCACATGACATCATAAGGAATGTTATGTTCATCAAATCCTGCATCCACCGCCTTTACATCCTGCTCATCTTCGTAGTTCCAGCGGCACTGATGGTACCCCAGAGAAAAGAGAGGGGGCATGGCTTGTGTGCCTAAAAGGGGGAGATGACAACTGAGCCAGGTACCACCACAATGTTAACTGTACATTTGATAAGTGTTTCCTGAATATCTACAAGGTCTAAGCACTGAGTCTTGCACTTAGGGCATCAAGAATAAAGCATTTTGTTTATCCATTCATCTTTGTAAAAAATTAATTAGCTTAGTTTTGGTTGTGCTGGGTCTTCATTGCCGCACAAGGGCTTTCTCTAGTTGTGGTGAGTGGAGGCTACTCTTTGTTGCAGTGCATGGGCTTCTCATTGCGGTGGCTACCCTTGTTGCAGAGCACAGACTCTAGATGCACAGGTTTCAGTAGTTGTGGCATGCAGGCTTTAGTTGCTCTGCAGCATGTGGAGTCTTCCTGGACCAGAGATCGAATCCATGTCTGTTGCATTGGGAGGTGAATTCTTATCCACTGTACTACCAGGAAGACCATGTTTATCCATTCATTTTTTTTTTTTTTTACTTTATACATAGAAGTTTGTGTCTCTTAATCCTTTAACCCATCTTGTCTCTCTACTCCTCACCACTAGCAACTCCGTGTTTGTTCCTTATATCTGTGAGTATGTTTCTGTTTGATTACTTAGTGTTTCAGTTTTTATTGTTTTTTTTTTCCATTTATTTTTATTAGTTGGAGGCTAATTACTTTACAACATTGCAGTGGTTTTTGTCATACATTGAAATGAATTAGCCATGGATTTACATGTATTCCCCATCCCGGTCCCCCCTCCCACCTCCCTCTCCACCCCATCCCTCTGGGTCTTCCCAGTGCACCAGGCCCGAGCACTTGTCTCATGCATCCAACCTATCCATTCATTTTTGATGAGCACTTAGCATGTTTCCACTGGTAAATAATGCTGTAGAGATCTTTGGCATAAAAGTATCTGTTCAGTTTCCATTCAGTTCAAGTATATATCTAGGAGTAGAACTGCTGGATGAATTAGTTAGGGTTCTGTAGAGAAACAGAATCAAAAGGATATGTGTATATTATATATGTATTTATATATATACAGAGAAAGAAAATGACTGATTGATCTTAAGGAACTGGTCCATGTGATTGTAGGGGCTCGTAGCTTTGGATTCTGCACGTAGGCCAGCCTGGAGACCCAGGGAAGGGTTGAAGTTGCAGCTTGAGTACAAAGACAGTCTCAAGGCAGATTTCTTTTACTTTAGGGGATGTGTGTGCTCAGTCGCTCAGTTGTGCTCACGTCTTTGCGACCCTATGGACTGTAGCCTGCAAGGCTGCTCTCTCCATGGGATTCTCCAGGCAAGAATATTGGAGTGCGTTGCTATTTTCTCCTACAGGGTATCTTCCTAATCCAGGGATCGAACCTGTGTATCCTTTATTTCTTGCACTGCAGACAAATTCTTTAACTGCTGAGTCACCAGAGAAGCCCCTCTTTCAGGGGACATCTCAGTCCTTTTTTCTCAAGGTTTTCAACTGACTGGATGAAACCTACTCACATTACAGAGTGTGGGTCTGCTTTACTCATAGTCTACTGATTTAATTCTTAATCTCATCTAAAAAATAACTTCTTAGTGACATCTAGACTAGTGTTTAACCAAATATCTGGGCACCATGGCTTGACACACAAAATTAGTCATCGTGCTGGGTCATATGGTAATTCTATGTTTAGCTTTTTGAGGAACTGCCAAACGGTTTCCACAGCAGCTGAACCATATTATGTTCCAACCAGTAATGTATGAGTTTCTAATTTCTCCACATCCTCACCAGCACTTACTATTCTCTCTCTCTCTTTTCTTTTCTGATTTAGCCATCCCTATGGGTTTGAAGCAGTATCTCATTGCGCTTATAATTTACCTAATGCTGTTGAGCTTCTTTTCAGGTTCTCATTAATCCATTTGCACATCTTCTTTTGAGAAATGTCTATTTAAGCCCTTGGTTCATCTTAAGATTAGACTGTTCCTTTTTGCTGTTGAGTTATGAGTTCTTTATATATTCAGGATACTAGACCCTTATCATATATATGATTTGCAAATATTTTCTCCCATTCTATAGGTTGGCTTTTCACTTTCTTGATAATGTTCTTTGACTCACAAAAGTATTTAGTTTTAAAGAAGTCCAACTTGCAACTTCCCTGGTGGTCTGGCAGCTGATACTCCCTACCTGGTTAAGGAACGAAGACCCCACATGTCAAGTGGCACAGCTGGGGAAAAAAAAAAGGTCCAACTTATCTTTTTTTCTTCTGTTGTTCATGATTTTGGTGTCATAGCTAAGAATCTGTTGCCAAATCAAGGTCATGATTTACCTGTTTTCTTATAAGAGTTCTATGACTTAAGTTCTTATATTCAGTTCATCAATCCATTTTGAGTTAATTTTTTGTATATGGTGTGAGATAAGGGTCCACCTTCATTCTTTTGCATGTTGATATCCAGTTGTCCCAGTACCATGTGGTTAAGACATAATTATTTCTCCATTGAATGGTCTTGAACATTTATTGAAAATCAATAGGCCACAGATCTATGGGTTTATTTTTAGACTCTCACTTTTATTCTATTGGCTTATACGTCTATCCTTATGTCAGTAGTGCACTGTTTGGATTACTTTAACATTGTAATAAGTTTTGAAATTAGGAAATCCTTCAACGTTTTATTTCAGGATTTTTTTGGCTACTCAGGCTCTTTGAAATTCCATATGAATTTGAAGATCATATTTTCTATTACTTAAAAATGACATTGGATTTTGTCAGAGATTGTAGTAAACCTATAGATTGCTTTTAGTAGGATTGCCATCTTAATAATATTAAATCTTCCAATCCATGAACGTGGGATTTCTTCTTATGTATCTTGGCCTTCTTTAGTTCAGTTTTTTTTTTTTTTTTTTGTAGTTTTTGGCATACAAGTCTTTCACCTCCTTGGTTAAGTTTATTCCTGGGTATTTTATTCTTTTGGATGTTACTGTAAATGGAATTGTCTTCTCAATTTCATTTTTAAATTGTTCATTCCTGGTGTCTAGAAACACAACCAATTTTGTGTGTTGACCATGTACCATACAACTTAGGTTAAATGTGTGTGTGTGTGTGTGTGTGTATTCTTTGGGATTTTATATCATATAGTATCACATTGTCTGTGAATAGAGATAATCTTACATTTTCCTTTCAAAGTTGGATGGTTTTTATTTCTTTTTCTTGCCTAATTTCTCTGGCTGGAACTTCAACTACAATGTTCACTAGCAGTGGTGAAAGTGGGAAACCTCATCTTGTTTCTGAGCTTAGGGGAAACCTTGCAATCTTTCAGAATTGAGTATGAGGATAGCTATGAATTTTTCATAAATGCCTTTTATCATGTGGAAGAAGCTTCTTGTTACTCCTAGTCTTCTGAATGTTTTTTTTTTTATCATGAAATAGTGTTAGATTTTGTCAAATGCTTTTTCTGCATTAATCAAAATGATCTCATATCTTTTAAAGATAAAAATGCTTTAGTGCTAATCCCAGTGGTATATTTTAATGGAGAAGAGAACATATAAAAGTTCAGATTGGGATACTGGTTACTGAGATAAAGGTAGAGAAAGCCCAGAGATTAAAGGGGTTAAAGGTAAAGAAAGCCCAGGAACCTTTAAGGCTCCAAGGAAGGCAGATGGTTGAACATTAGTGGCTAGAGAGTGGAGATTACCAGCCCCAGTGGAATGTTTAACCATTCCACTGATTAAAGGGAATGGGATGAGATACTGAATGGGATGAAAGTGGAAGGATAAATGCTTGCTTCTTAAAAAGCTTGGGCAAGTTGTTTATCAATGCTATATCATGTGCAACAAATGTTAATTTACAGTGATTCTACATGGTTTAGAGGAAATACAATGGAACAAGCAACTGGCATTTCCACATGCAAGTACCTGTAAGGTATGAATACTGCTTGAAGACATCAGAAGGAGTAGGTCCTGTCAACAGAAAAACATCAATGATTCCACTCTCTGACATCCAGTGCACATCAGTTTGAGACCCAACCTTTTGTTTAGCAGCAACTGGGCCCATCTGGGTCAGTGTGTACTGAAAAAGGAATGGAATGAAAGTCTGAAAAATGTTCCTCTAACCCACAAGACCCACCCATATGTGTGTAACGGTCTGCTCCTTTGTATATACCAATAGCCCTCACTAGTTATACTGTAAAGACTCTAGCGGCAGAGGACTGCCACTAGAAACTGCTGAACTATGATTACTTTCATTAGTTTTGTCTCTTCTGTAAGTATGGTATGCAGTCATGATCCATAGCTCACCTTTACAGCAGGTTCTGTTTTGATCTCCACTAGTGTTTCTGAGGCATTTAGCCAAAAAATGCCTAGAGTTCTGCCCAGTTTGTGGGCCAGGAGATAAGGCACTGAACCATAAATGCCCATTTTGTCATGTATTTTATATCCATAGACATCTAGGTTATAAAGACGGTAAGCATCACCATCACTGAAACATACAAAGAAGGATTACAAATGACCATCATGTATATATTATTAATGAATATTATAGCTCCATTCTCCCCTGCAAAGCTTCCCTTGTAGCTTAGTCGGTAAAGAATCTGCCTGCAGTGCAGGAGACCCAGGTTTGATCCCTGGGTTGGAAAGATCCTCTGGAGAAGGAAATGGCGACCCACTTCAGTATCCTTGCCTGGAAAATCTCATGGGCAGAGGAGCCTGGTAGGCTGCAGTTCATGGGGTTGCAAAGAATCAGGCACGACTGAGTGACTTACACTTACTTACTTCCCCTGCAAAGACTTGGGTCCTATACACCTTTCAAAGCTCAACCCTTGACCACTTCTCTAAGTTTCCTGACTCATTCTGGCTGAATATGATTCTCCTCCTTTGATTCCTTTGGCATTTATTCATGCTACTATTGGCATGTGTATCTCATATCTTAGATATCTTTTCTGAGTATCTCTTAGGAGGTGAGGACCGTTTCCTATGAATCTTCCACAGTAGCATGCAAAAACTAAATTGACAGATTTGGTGAGTATTTCTCTGTCACTAAAACAAAATGATAGTGTCCTAACATACCCCCACAGTGCTGAATAAGGAAAGATTAGGAACTGAATTGAGGTAGGAAGCATGGTGCTCAGGTTGGTGTGAGAGCAACACAGTTTCTGATTCACTTGTCACTATGTCTACCTATCATCTAAACAGCATCTGAATCTGGCAAATTTGACCAGACTCTTTCAGTTCTGCTACCTCTTTGTCTGATACCTCTGGCATTTTTTGGTCAATGGTGTTAGTTGGAAATAATCCCCCCAAGGGAATCCAAAGTGATATGAGATGCCAAACTTTTCCACTCTAGCTCACTGTCATTTTTTAGTAAAAGCCTTTTTCAAGGTCACTGATCTTCACAGTATATTTCCCAGGGTTCCCCAGAAAGGAACTGAGAGACAAAAGCAAAACCCGGGAAGATGATGTAACAAAGATCTTCCTGCTACTTCAACCATGAGTGTGTGCATGCTCAGTCACTCAGCTCCATGTTTTTATGTCTTCTATACTATTAAGTTCAGCATTACAGTTTTTATAATTGTCTAACTTACGCTGAAAAACAAAAATGAAAACCATTGCTCTGAGTGATCGTTAAAGGGAAATTCTTAAAGATCTACAAGCAATATCAAAGAGGGAAGGGGCAGGCCCATATTAGCACTGACTGATATCACACATATTTTCTTTTCAAACTTTTCCAGTCCAGAAACCAGAGCTTCCTGTAAGAATTCTTTTTACTTTACCTTGTGTTTTTAAGTTGGTGTGATTCAGCATGTTGCGGGATTCCGTAGAGATGCTCAAAACCATGCAAAGAGAAATCCAAACCAATGGAGGCAGGACCTACAGGGACCAGGGGAGTGACTGAGTTTTGCTTCTCAATGGGACAGTCAATTGATGAGATTCAGTTAACTATAAGAATATCAAGATGACTAGACTATGGATCAAGAGACCTGAGCTGGCCCTGATCAATCACATATGCTGACTCTCTGTATTTTATTATATTCAGGTGTTGTGCACCTGAATGCAGAAATGCAGAAAGCAAAGTTCTGGTCACTTATTAGTTTTCTTAGCTGTGCACTACAATTCTGTGTTCCCACATTTACAGTGTATTTCTTTTCTATCTGTAAAATATGATTACAAAGTTTTAGATTTTTTTCCCTAAATTTTCCTGAACTATATTGCATACTTATTTGCTTTAGGAAGAAGAGGGTAGTGAGCACTTTTAATGCTTGCCAGATGAAAGACTGGGTGTCTTCTGCCTGATTGTTCATTCTTACTGCATACAGGAACTGTGAGGTCAAGGGCACCAGGAGTACCTTTCCTAGCTCCTCAATATACACCCCCTTCCCTGTGATTGTAGATATAAAAATTTCTTTTAACCAAAGACAAAGTCCTTCATTTAACAATTATTTTAGAGATATGGGAAAAATGAAAGTAACTAGGAGAGAGAACACTGATTTCAATTTACTCTTGGGTAAAAGTATTTGACATCAAATGGTCCTTATTTGGAGGAGTTTATGGAAAAGGGTTGCTATAGATAAGATACAGAAAGGATTATAATGCTACATAAAGGAGAGCCTTAGGGTTCCCCTATTTATAACTTTGGGCTACACTGTTGTCCTGATCATTATACTAGGCTATAGAAATAGATGCTAGATCAGAGATTCTCAAGGAGTTAAGAGAAGGTCTGTTACTCTACAGGGTAGGGAGGAAGAAGGAGAAAAGTGAGTATTTTTTCCCACTAGACAAGCCCCACGTATTTGAAAAGTTATCTCCTAAAGAGACAAATTCCCTCCCTGCCACCTACATTCCCTAAGTACCCCCTCATCACTAAGTGTAGTGAGAAATGTCATAGATGGTCACTTGACACTCACATGAATAGTGGGAAGGCCTGGAAAAGGCTGAGAACCACTGGCTTGAAATGTTGGAGCTAATGAGCTGGGTTTTTCATCACCTGACTCTCATAAAAACAGAATGTAGAATTTGCAATTGATTCACTGAAGAGTGCAAGCAATATACTGACCTAGGTCCCTCTACGAGACCAGAAGCTTCATGAGGCCTATATTTCTCTTACACTCCCCACAAGTCATACGCTATCTCTCTATTGCAATGCATTACTGAAGAATAGTGGTCCCAACTATGAGATTTCTGTTCATCTTACAGAAGTCAGGTATTTAGGGGCCAAAGCTCAAGGGACTTTTAGATAGAAACTTTTGGCTATTTTGGAAAGAACTGTTTTGGAAAGAACACCACACCAATTTTAATTGTACCATTAATTTTGACATCCACAAAATTTTCAAATTTCTCCTCCCACAGACCCAGTTCCTCTTGATTTTCCTGTTGGCACAAAAAAGAAAAGAGGTAGCAAACTAAGGCTATATATTGCAACACATGTGGTTACCACAATAGCACATTTATCTGATTAGAATATTAGACTGAGGAAATGAGTTCATCTTTTAAAAGACCAATTTGTGATATCAATATATTAAATTAGATCTGTGTTCTATATAAATGCCATTAATCATCCTTATGATCTACAGCTAACATGAATATATTTTTTATTGTGGTAAAATATATATAACTTAAAACTTACCATTTTAACCACTTTTAAGTGGCATTAAGTACATTTACATTATTGTGCAACCAACATCACAATCCGTCTCCAGAACTTTTACATCCTTCCAAACTGAACCACTTCAACTATTAACAGTAACGCCCCCATCTCCCCTCCCCCCAGCTCCTGACAACCACTTTTCTAGCTCCTGTCTTTATGAATTTGACAACTCTAGATAACCCGTATAAATAGAATCATACTGTATTTGTCCTTCTGTGACTGGCTTATTTCACTTAGTATAATGTCTTCAAGATTCATCCATTTTGTAGCATGTGTCAGAACTGCCTTCCTTTTTAAGGCTGAATAATATTCCACTGTGTGTACAGACCTCATTTTGTGTGTGCATTCATCAGTCAATGACTCTTGGATTGCTGGATTGCTTCTACCTTTGGGATACTGTGAATACTATTCTGCTATGAACATAGGTATACAAATATCTGAGTCCCACTTTTACTTTTGGATATATATACCTAAATGTAATTGCTGGATCATATGTTTAATTCTATGTTTAATTGTTTAGGAACTGCCACACCATTTGATGTGAATATCTTTACAAGAGCCAAAATGATGGGAAAGCACTTTGAAAAATGTAGTTTTTATATAGGTAAAACAAAACATTTAGAGTCAAATAACCTGGGTCTCTTTTGAGAGACTCTAAGCAAAGATTTTTTTGGCTGAGATGAGCACTTTCTCTCACCAGCTTCAATTAGCCAGACTACTGGTGGTGTTCCTATGCTGGGTGGAGAGGTCAACTGGGATGGTGATTGCTCAGGTTTGCAATCTTCTGACCTAGAGCTATGAATGTCCTAGCTTTACAGAAGTCTCTTTTTCTCTGGTAACATGAAAAGTTTTAAAAGAATTGTGTGTGTATATAAAAAGCACATTTCTTTTAAAAAAATGAGCTATTTTCCTGTTTCTAGGTTGTTTCTTTATAATGAAAGCCTCTGTAAAGTGAATCTGTGTGTTGTGTGTTGGGTTCTTTAAAATCATGCCTGAATTCTTGATGCAGGGATTATCATCCTGAGGTCAGATAGGTTTTAAAGTTTGTGAACTCCCTGAAATAGTATGAAAAAAAAGTTTTTTTCTACAGAGATGGTTCATAGCTTTCATTAGATTCTTGTAATGGGGTGTTTGACTCAAAACCACTACCTAAGCTATCTGACTAGAGGTCTCCCCAAAGCTGGTCTAGTGTATTAGTGCAAAGCTGTGTAAGGCACAATAACCATGTTAGTTGTTCTTAAGGGTCAGTATGGGTCAGTTCTCAAGAGGAAGAAGCATTTGTCTTATTAAACTGGAAATGTTTTTCACCTTCCTGATGACCATAGCTACTGTTAGAGACCCTTTGAAGATGCATGTGGCTTTGGATGAAGAGGTTTCCAGAATGTCCATTCTCCGGAACTCAGCCAAAATAATCTTTAGACACAGAAATCAGACCATGGATCTCTGCTGAAGACCTTTCCACAGTTTTTCCTTGTTCTTAAAGTCCAAAAAGGTTAATGTGACTTAGAAGAATGTAAGCTCCATGATAATGAGGGAATTAGATTAGTTCGATGATATACCACCAACTCCTTGAACGGTGCCTGGCCTACAGGAAGTCCCATTTATATATAGTAGAGCACTGACCAACTACCCATCTGTATAAGGGAAGAACAGACCCATTATATTTGTATAATGATGATAATAGTGGGAAAGATTTTAAAAAGATTAATTGCTCTATGTAGATTACCTGAGTAGTATCAATTGATGCATCCTCCTCATTTTTCTTGGTAGCTCTGTTGTAATGTAAAAAAGCTGTGTCACTCATGGCAGGACTGACAATTTGCCAATGATAAAAGATTTTCATTTCCAACTTTTGAGACCCCATATGTTATATCCTTTAACTTACTAAAAATAATATCATTATAAAAATAAATTTACAAAATTAAACATTTATGATGAACATTACCAAGAGCTTGATATCTTATACAAATGTAGACAGATTTGAATTTTCTTGTTAACTCTTGTAAAAATACATTAATCAGTTTTTTATTGTAATACATGCTCATAATACTAACATAAGCAAGATAAACACAGTTCCTCTGATGCAGTATTACCCTAGTATGGAGCAACATGATGCACCATCTTCCAGGATGATTGTGACAACTTATTCTAACATCTATTAGTTGTATTTGAGGGCTCATTTCTTCCGATTCTTAACAATACTAGACTATATGGATTTTTTTAAACTCTTTGACAATCTAAAATTTTAGAAAAGATAATGCATTTCAAATTGAATTTATACCATAAGTGAAGCAGACTACCTTTTTATACATTAAATGGTTATTTATAATTCTGTAAATTATCTATTTATACTCATTATACAATAATCTTTTTTTTAGTGTAAAATGGCATGCATATAGAAGGTATGTAATGTATGTGCAGAGTTTAAAGACTAATACTAAAGTGAACAACTATGAACCCACTAGTGAGCACAAACAACAGAAATTACTTGTTCCTTTGGAGTTCCTCTGTGCCTCTCTTCAAATACATCTGTCTCCCTAATATTTGCATTCAATGCTACAGATTTCACTGTTAAGTACTGCTTTTGCTGCAGCCCACAAATTTTGATAAGTTGTATTTTAATTTTCTTTTAGTTTGAAATATTCTTCGTTTTAGATTTCTTCTTTGTGTTACTAAGAAGCATGTTGCTTAATCTTCAAGTATTTTGGAATTTTCCAGCTTTCTGTTGTTGAATTCCACTTTAATTGCATTAAATTAATGCAAATCATGCTGGCACAGTATGATTTCTATTTGTTTAAATTTCTTAAGGTGTGTTTTATGACACAAAATATTGTCTTGGTGAATGTTCCATGTGAGTTTAAGAAGAATGTGTATTCTACTGTTGTTGTATGAAGGAGACTATAGATGTCAATTATATCCAGTTGATTGATGGTGCTTTTGAATTAGAATATGTCCTTACTGATTTTCTCTCTGATGGCTCTGTCCATTCCTGATGGAAGTGTGTTAAGGTCTCTAATTATAATAGTGAGTGAAAGTCACTGAGTCGTGTTCGACTCTTTGCGACCCCATGGACTATACAGTCCACAGAATTCTCCAGGCCAGAATATTGGAGTGGGTAGCCATTCACTTCTCCAGGAGATCTTTCCAACCCAGGGATTGAACCCAGGTCTCCTGCATTACAGGTGGATTCTTTACCAGCTGAGCCACCAGGGAAGCCCAATTGTAATAGTGGATTCATCTATTTCTCTTTGTAGTTCTATATTCTTGCCTTAAGTATTTTGATACTCTGTTGTTAGGCACATACACATTAAGGATTGTTGTTTTCTCAGGGAATTGACCCCTTTATCATTATGTAATGGCATTCTTTATCCCTAACAACTTCCCTGTTTTGAAGTAAGCTCTTTCTGAAATTAATAAAACTACTCCTATTTTCTTTTTTTTTTTTTTTAAGGATCATAATGCTCTCATTTATTGGAGGAAAAAAGAATTGTTTTGTGATATTTAGGAGAAAAAAACAGCTTACTTCTCTTTGAAATGAGTTAGTAAAAAAGAAAACAATCTTTATTATATGAAATAGCATCTTAATGCAGCATACAAGAATATATTTTTGGATTTAAAAACATAGTTATACCATCAGCAGCATTCAGAATTAGCTGAGTATCTATACAATTACAAAAATTGATTCTTGTTCTAAGAAAAGTGTTTTAAAAGCTCATCATATTAGAATAGGCACAATATTCTGAAGACATATAAATTTCCCATGGGCTTTTGAACATCCTTAACAATTACTTTGCCAACAAAGGTCTGTCTGGTCAAGGCCATGGTTTTTCCAGTGGTCATGTATGGATGTGAGAGTTGGACTGTGAAGAAAGCTGAGCACTGAAAAATTGATGCTTTTGAACTGTGGTGTTGGAGAAGAATCTTGAGAGTCCCTTGGACTGCAAGGAGATCCAACTAGTCCATCCTAAAGGAGATCAGTCCTGGGTGTTCACTGGAAGGACTGATGCTGAAGCTGAAACTCCAATACTTTGGGTACCTCATGTGAAGAGCTGACTCATTGGAAAAGACCCTGATGCTGGGAGGGATTGGGGGCAGGAGGAGAAGGGGACGACAGAGGATGAGATGGCTGGATGGCATCACCGACTCGATGGGCATGAGTTTGAGTAAACTCCGGGAGTTTGTGATAGACAGGGAGGCCTGGCGTGCTGCGATTCATGGGGTCACAAAGAGTCGGACACGACTGAGCGACTGAACTGACTGACCCTCAACTTCACAATCGGAATGTACAAAAGCAACGGAAGATCAGAGTTCAGAGGTTGTTTGTTTTTCCTTTCCTTGTTCAAAGTGTCTAAGACAAGCAAATACATTGAAAAAAGCAAAATAAACACTTTTCACAGCAGAAGATCACCAGATTGCATGTAAACTATGGTTCCCCTTTAGGATATTACACAAGGACAAAGTTTGTCTGTACTTAGAATAAGGCTTTTACCTCTTCTTGCAGCATGAAAGTTCAATAGACAGGGGACAACATTCTGCCAGAGACCAATCTCAATCTAATCTCCTAGAATGACTCCTAAGGATGCACAAGAATATTAAGTCTAGGCTACCATTTATATCAGGGAACTTTTGTCCATCTATGTCTATTTTTTGGTGCCGTTCATTAGATGTAGTGACATTATTTTGTTGTGAATATACATATCAGTCGTAATTGTTTATTATGATGCTGTGGATTGATTTTTCACTTCAAATAGCCATGTTCCTCCTGTCTAGTGAACTCACTCTTCCCTGGTTTCAGCTCATCCTGTCTATAGAGGGAAAAAAAATTTTTTTTTTTTTTAACATATCCAAGCCCAGTATCAGTTTATCAGCTCCTGCCTATGAAGGACATAATTTTATTTGGTCAAATTACATTAACAATATGGTTGGCCTGTTACACTTTAGCCATTTTAATAGATGTGTGGTAGTATGTCACTGTGGTTTAATTTGCAATTCTCTAATAACTAATGGCACTGGACATATTTTTCAAGTGCTTATTTGTCACTTGTACATCTTTGGTGAAATATGTTTAAATCTATTACTTTCTTGTTAAATTTTGAGAGTTCTTTCTACAGTGTACATACAACTTGTTGATCATATATATGTTTACAAATATTTTTCCTTAGTCTATGACTTACCTTTGCATTCTCTTCATATGGTCTTTGAATGTGCAGGCATTTTTACTTTTGTTTATGTTCATTTAACCATATTTATTCTTTTGTGGATCATGCTTTTGGTGTAATATCTAAGACCTCTGCCTAATCCAAGGTCATCAAGATTTTCTGATATTGTTGTCTAGAAGTTTTATGGTCTTAGATTTTACATTTAGGACTATATTATATTTTGAGTAATTTTATTTTTTGATTTTTCATTCTTGTTTGTGGCAACTTCTGAGCTCCTCACATGCCAAACTGGAAATTGCAAATTCTTGCCTTTTCAATTTGTTCAAGTTTTTGTTGTTGTTGTTGTTTGTATTTTGTTTTTGTGGCTATAATAAAGTTTAAAATTTCTAAGTAATCAAATCCATCTTTTTCCTTACAGTTCTTCAGTTTCTATCACACTAATACAATTAAAAATATTCTATACTTTCTCTTATTTTTATGTTTTTAATTATTTATTTTTAACTTTTGGCTGCAGTTGATCTTCATTGCTGTGAATGGGCTTTCTCTAGCTGCAGCGAGCCGGGGCTGCTGTTTGTTGTGGTGTGTGAGCTTCTCACTGCGGTGGCTTCTCTTCCTGTGGAGCACAGGCTCTAGAGGCCTGGGTTTCTGTTGTTATGGCTCACCGGCTTAGTAGCTGTGGCTCATGGGTTCTAGAGCACAGGCTCAGTAATTGTGGTGTATGGGCTTAGTTGCTCCATGGCATGTGGAATCTGCCTGGACCAGGGGTCAAACCTGTGTCCCCTGCATTGGCAGGTGGACTCTTATTCACTATACCACCAGGAAAGTCCTGGAATAAATTTTTGCTAATGTTCTGAGGTTAAGACCTAACTTATATTTTTTCCCCTAGGTGGACAGTCTAATTTTTCTAACACAAATATAAATAAAAAGGAGAGAAATATAAACTAGTACACAACCTCTATGGAAGGCAATTTGGAAACATCTATCAAAATAACAGATGTACAACCATTTGATCAGAAATTATACTTCTATGACTCTGGTTTATGGATATATTTGCATGTATGCAAAATGACACATATACAAGGTTAGTCATGAAGTAAGTAGTTGTAAAACAAGATCATAAGTGACTTTAAAGTCCACTAGTAGAGATTTACTAAATGAAGCCGTATAGTGTAATCGCATAATAGAAATGATGTAGCTGCTTTAAAGAAGTTAGAAACTACCACATTGCTAAAGAAAAGAAAGGGAGGTACAGAATAATGTGTATCATTTGTGTCAGGAAAGGAAAAAACAAAGAATACATTAGTTTTACTATACAGGCATAAATTATCTCTAGAAGGATACATAGAAAACTGGAAACATTGATTACTTTCAAACATGGAACTAGGTAACTCAAAGGACAAATGGTGAGGGAGACTTTACTGGGCTTTATTAAAAAGCCCAATTTAGAAATCACCCCTAAAACAAAATAATAGGAGTTTATTAAAAGGAAAAATGCTTTAAAGTTAATATTCTTAATATAAATAAACAACAAAATAGACATAACAGACACACAGGGATTGGTTATGCTGTTAGTATTTTCAGTCAAAAAAAGTAAACAATTAAATTCATAAGGTACTAACAGTAGGGGTGGCAGGATTATGGGTATTTTAATTTTTTCTTCTTTTCAATATTTTATATTTAGCATATAATGAACACATTTCTGTGATAAAATAAACATTTTAACAATAAACTTTAAAAACAGAAATTAGCTGAGACTCAGGAAAAAATCACTATGTTGAATGCTTTCTGAAGCTCATGTAAGATGTTCATTATTTGAATAAAAATAGAACTACAGATTGGAGGATTTAAAAACAATATTGGTAAAAATGGATGAAAAATCTCCTACGATTAGATAATCCAATTCATGTGACCCACAGTCAAACAGCTTTAATTAAGTGGTTGGGTCCAGAAAATTCCTAGGCAACTCTTCAAGTCTAAGGTAACTCATGTTATTGTAAGGGGGATAAAGTGAAATTCTGAAGACAAGTTAGTTCACATTAACATTTATCAAGTTAACAGGGTCCTTTTTTAGAAGGTATAGGGTAGAGAATGTCATCAGTCAAAAATATAGGATGTGTTAAGAGTATCACCTTTGCAAATGTCTGGGAATAACTTTTGTCATCAGCCTGCATTAGACTGTACAGGTGAAAAGATGAAGTTTCTTAGAACAATATTCTAACAAATAAAACAAATCAATTTTCTATGGAGACATAGTCACAATCAGATTTTAAGTTCTATATGTATTAAGTAATGTGTAAAAATACCTTTGCTTGGGAGGAATCTGCAGCTGCTCAAAGTATAATTGGCCCAGGGAGTTTATGCTCATTACAACCTCTTCTTCAGATACAAAGTCGACCTTGAATGGGTTTGCCATGATGTGACACTTTAGATCTCCTTTTCCACTTGCCAACACCAGACTGCCTGTATCCCCTGGGCAAGAAGTCAGCCTGGAAAACAAGGCAGGGAGAGAAAAGCAAATTGTTCTAAGTTTATGTGGCTCAGTGCAAGTCTCAGTTCAAATTAGTAAATCAACATTCGTGTGACATAGCATGACAAGGCAGTGGAAAGCTGTAATTCGGAGTGTGAGCTTTGGTGTCAGAAAGCCTGGATTGAACATAGCTCTAACATGCACTAGGTGTGTAACTTTGGACAGGTTAATCTTTTCCAGTTCTTGGTTTCCTTATCTGTAAAGTGGAAATGATAAAAGTGAGAACAAACATAGCTTTTTGAGGATTCAACGAGGCCACACATGTAAATGAGATCACACAGTGCCTGGCACATAGTAAGTGCTCAGTAAATGTTGGCTATCAAGTGAAAGAGGAGAGTGAAAAAGTTGGCTTAAAGCTCAACATTCAGAAAACTAAAATCATGGCATCAGGTCCCATTGCTTCATGGCAGATAGATGGGGAAACAGTGGAAACAGTGGCTGACTTTATTTTTCTGGGCTCCAAAATCACTGCATATGGTGATTGCAGCTTTGAAATTAAGAGACGCTTACTCCTTGGAAGTAAAGTTACGACCAACCTAGACAGCATATTCAAAAGTAGAGACATTACTTTGCCAACAAAGGTCCGTCTAGTCAAGGCTATTATTTTTCCAGTGGTGATGTATGGATGTGAGAGTTGGACTATAAAGAAAGCTGAGTGCAGAAGAATTGATGCTTTTGAACTGTGGTGTTGGAGAAGAATCTTGAGAGTCCCTTGGACTGCAAGGAGATCCAACCAGTCCATCCTAAAGGAGACCAGTCCTGGGTGTTCATTGGAAGGACTGATGTTGAAGCTGAAACTCCAGTACTTTGGGTACCTCATGTGAAGAGCTGACTCATTTGAAAAGACCCTGATGCTGGGAAAGATTGAGGGCAGGAGGAGAAGGGGATGACAGAGGATGAAATGGTTGGATGGCGTCATCGACTCGATGGACATGGGTTTGAGTGGACTCTGGGAGTTGGTGATGGACAGGGAGGCCTGGTGTGCTGTGGTTCATGGGGTCGCAAAGAATCGGACATGACTGAGTGACTGATCATCACCATTATTATTACCTTGGTCTGGACAGTCTAGGAAAACACTTTGGTGCATAGAATTTAAACATTTTTCTTTTCCTTCTCTCATTCTAACCATACATGCAGAAACTGAGGAAATAACACAGATTGGGTCATTATCCACTCAGTCCACAGTGAGATGGAAAGGTCAAACTTTTATGTATTTATCACCTGACTTCCATCAGCCCCCAATTGACAGGTAGACTTCTGGAATGTTTTAGATCCCCCAGGAGTTATGTAAGCTCAGAGGCAGCACTTAAAACCCTAGGTCTAGATATTTCTTTTTCTAGTGCATAGTTGGAGAAGGGAATGTCAACCCACTCCAGTATTCTTGCCTGGAGAATCCCAGGGACGGGGGAGCCTGGTGGGCTGCCGTCTATGAGGTCACTCAGAGTCAGAAACGACTGAAGTGACTTGGCAGCAGCAGCAGCAGCAGTGCATAGTTACCCTGGTAAATGGTCACAGGCCTCTTTAGGGAGGATTAGAAGGAACCGGTTATAATCTTATATCCTTGCAAAATCCTCCTCCATGGGTTCTAGGCCTTCTCCTCAAGTAAGATGCTTGGGTTCTGGAAACTAATTCCATTGATTGAGAGATTGTGTCTCACTGTTTATCAAATCTAAATAGAATTCTTTTGATTAGTCTATCAAGTAGGACTTTAGCACATCTATTTCAGTCTAATGGACTCTTTGACATACTGTTCACTGCCCTGAGGGTTGGGCCATTCTGAGTACCACACAGGCCCTGCTGCATGTTAAGGAAACGTGTCCACCTTGTCTCCAACAACTAAATGCTACTACTTTGACTCTGCTATTTACAGTCTCATCATCTCCACTGAAACCAGGGACCCTGTTTTAATGGTACCATTTCCACCATCGTCTCTAGCTCAGAAAAGACATTAACTCACTATGATGTTTTCCAAGTGTTACTTCACCAATATATTTCTCAGTGAAGACTAGTGTCTTTTGGGTTCTTTGGAGAACAGAGTTAGGGGCTAGATGAGGTGGTTGCATATGACATACCCACTTCAACATTTCTATTTCCCTAAGTCTATGAATCATTTCTTCTACACCATGCCAAGGAATTTCTGGTATCAGCTTCATTCAGCAGAGTCCACAGCTGACTCTACAGATTATACTTAGCCAATCAAGCAAATAATTAGAACCTCTTTCAGCTGTCCTAGATAGCATATCAAATTTGAATTCTGATTTATTTCAGTAAATTTAGCATGATCCTAAAATTATGTTGCTTCCTTCCAGTCTAAGAGTCCTTCAGAAACCATTACCATGCCTATTTCCCAGGTTTTTGCCAATATAAAATCTTCTAATTGTTTAGGTACCTTCTGGGTTCGACTGTAATAGGTTCCCTGGGCATGTTGGGGTCTGACTCTGACAGTGGATCTGGAGGCAGAGAAAGGGGGTAGGAGAGAAGTGCAGGGAGCACTGGGATCCCCTGGCATAGTATATTTCAGGTGAGGTCAACACGGAGTGTCCCAGCAAGGTAATGCCAGCCTCATCAGAGGAGAGGGCGAGTCTTTAGCTGAACTGGGAGGCTCAGTGGAATTCTGAGGTTTAGGTACTCAGAGTTATCCAAATCTTCCCAGATATTGCTATTCAATTTTGAGGAGTCCTATCTTTTCACAGTTGATGCCCTAAATTCATAGACCTGATAAAACTCTGAATTCAACTTACACTTCAATTCAGCAAACCATAGAATCTAACCCTGTATCTGACTTTCAGCTACAAGGACTCTGTAGTTACAAGGACTCTATACATATAAGAGATGTGTAAGATGGTCATAGAAACCTATTAGGTTTCTGACAATATCTTGAGCTAAGAATTTAAAGGCCTGAAACTACTGTTTTCTTTTAAGTTCTTCAGTGAAATTAGTAACAACCCGGCCACCTCAGCATTTTGAATTTTGTATGACAATCAGGTGATGCTGTGGCCCCACCACTTGGTCTGCCAGAGCCATACTTTCAATAGGCACTCAATTTCAGGTGACCACAGTAGTAATTTAAGTGACTTTGCCAGAGAATGCTGTGGATTACTGCTAGTTATAGTAGTTTGCTAGAGCTGCTACCACAGACTGGGTGGCTTAAACACAAGAAATTTATTTTCTCACAATTCTGGAGGCTGGAAGTCCTAGATCAAAGTGTCAGCAGGTTTAGTTTCTTCTGAGGCCTTTCTTCTTGGCTTGAAGATGGCCATCTTCTTGCTGTGTCTTCACAAGGCCATCCTTCTGTGTTATCTGAATCCTAATTGTCTCCTCTTATTGAACATCAATCAGTCACACTGGATCAGAGCCCACCCTAATGACCCTATTGTAACTTAATTAACTGTTCAAAGGCCCCATCTCTGAACAGTCACATTCTGAGGTATAAAGACAGGGTTTCAACATATGAGTCTGGGGGGAGGGTAGTGTTCAGCCCCAAACACTAATATCACATTGTCTAATGAAAACCTCACTACCTTCAGATCCAACTAGATCAGCTAATTAAGCTCATGTTTCAATCCTTGAGGATCTGTTGCTTATATTCATTTCTGATACCAACAATTATGTCAGTTAAGATTCAACTGTAGATAGCGGAAACAATTCTGGCCATTTTAAGCAGAAAGGAAATTACTTAATATGGGGAAATTATGAGCTTACAATAGCATGGAAGTTTTGAAGTAGCTGGTTCCTGGCTGAGTGCTCAGTAATGACCCCTAGGACAATACCACATAACTGTAGACCAACAGAACTTCTCTCTCAGCTGGAAACAGGAAGCTGGGTAAACAGAAGCTAATGTGGCAATGGCTGGACTCCAGGATCAGGCCATCTTAGATGCAATCCAGAGATTAAGAAGCCACTGCCCTAACTAGTGGCTCTACAGTCATTCTATAGCTGGAAATCAGTTCAGTTCAGTCACTCAGTCATGTCCGACTCTTCGCAACCCCATGAACTACAGTATGCCAGGCCTCCCTGTCCATCACCAACTCCCAGAGTCCACTCAAACCCATGTCCATTGTGTCGGTGATGCCACCCAACCATCTCATCCTCTGTCGTCCCCTTCACCTCCTGCCCTCAATCTTTCCAAGCATTAGGGTCTTTTCCAATGAGTCAGCTCTTTGCATGAGGTGCCCAAAGTCTTGGAGTTTCAGCTTCAGCATCAGTCCTTCCAATGAACACCCAGGACTGATCTCCTTTAGGATGGACTGGTTGGATCTCCTTGCAGTCCAAGGGACTCTCAAGATTCTTCTCCAACACCACAGTTCAAAAGCATCAATTCTTCTGCACTCAGCTTTCTTTATAGTCCAACTCTCACATCCATACATGGCTACTGGATAAACCATAGCCTTGACTAGACAGACTTTTGTTGGCAAAGTAATGTCTCTGATTTTGAATATGCTGTCTAGGTTGGTCATAACTTTCCTTCCAAGGAGTAAGCGTCTTTTAATTTCACAGCTGCAATCACCATATGCAGTGATTTTGGAGCCCAGAAAAATAAAGTCAGCCACTGTTTCCACTGTTTTCCCATGTTGCCAATGCATACCAGCAAAATGGGAAACTCAGTTCTGAAATCAAGATAACTCGATGGAACTTAAAATACACCAGAAACTAGTTACATGTGAGTTTGGGAAATGGAGAAATGCAGTTTTTAGCTTTCTAGTTACTGCAGTAGCCTAAAGCCCTCTAGAAAGAGGTTGAAATAGAAGCAAAACTGAAACTAATATAACATATTTACTACCCAAAGCTAATATCACCCTGACTCCAAAACCTGGGCAAAGATACCACAGAAAAAGAAAACTACAGACCAATTTTACTTATGAACATAGATGTAAAAATGTTAAAGATCTACTAGTAAAATGAATCATCCAGGAGAGTAAAAATTAATGTGACCAAGAAGAAACACACACATACACACTCTCATTTGCCAAACTGCAAAGCCTTGAGAATAGTCTCTTTTTTTAAAATTTATTTTCTTTAATTGGAGGATAATTACTTTACAATATTGTGGTGGTTTTTGCCATTCATCTACGTGAATCAGCCATGGGTGCGCATGTGTCTCCTAAGTTCTTGGCATATTGTAATGGCTCAGTGATATATTTTAAATTTATGATAGTTTATCATAGCTGGATTAATTTACCCTTTTAATTTATTAACTATTTATTAGATTTTCATAGAAAAATAATCCACATAAAACTATGATAATGATGTAGTGAAAATTACAGCATCTGGCATAATGTCATATTCCCTTAGTGAAATGATACAAAGAAAATAACAAATCCACAGACAGAACCAAGTTAAAATATTACAGGAAAATGTGCTGAGAACTGAGGCAGATTCTGCAGGTACATGAAAAACCCTTTAATCCCCAAAGACTTTTTTTTTCACCTAGAAACTTATTATTAATTTATCTCTGACTCTAAGTCAAATTACATGCTAGACTTCTGAGACTGCCGTTAATTAAAAGTGAGTCTGTCTAACTGTATAAATGACTATAAGCATTGGGAGTTCAGCTAGTACCTTCAATCCCTGGAGCCCTGCTACTCATCTGAGTGAGTCAATTAAATAGCTCTTCTGCTTGCTCCCAGGGTCTGGTTGACAAATTTTTTACTTTGTGGGGAGGAGAGAAGAGATCAGAAGCTCTGCTTCTCTTCATTAATAAGTACTGATGAGTCAAATGGCAGAGGAAGAGAATATAGAATGGATAACATTAAAATGGATAAATTTATTCCCAAATAACTGAAAAGTAACTTTGCAAATGGTTGTATCTTTGAAACACAAAATACGAGACTCAAACAAAAGCTGCTACTCAAAGCATGACAGAAGAACATATTGAGGATATATGCCAGGTAGCATGTTTCTTGGCTTACCTTACAGTGGTTAGCTTGCTTGTGAGGACATCAGGAACTTCATATCTGGGTTTCAAGGGTATTTCTTCATTGATTTTAAGTCTGAAAATATTTCCCTCTATGCCACAAACTTCAGCCAGGAGTGGAACCTGGGAACACGTACATGAGATTAATTTCAACAGCTTACCTAGGTCAGTTCTACAAATTGCAATAACTAGAAAACTATGTTTACATTATTACAGGGCAAGCTAATTGGTGAACAATGGCAATCATGAAGGAAAAGGCTCTCCGGTCTATAAATGTACTTGCCTGGCTCTACCTATAGTAGAAACAAACACCTCCTATGTGTTCTAGGGCTGTATGTGTGCATGCCTGTTCAGGCGTGTCCAACTATTTGCCACCCCATGAACTGTAGTCCACCAGACTCTTCCGCCCATGGGATTTCCCAGGCAAGAATACCGGAATGGGTTGTCATGCCCTCCAGGGGATTTTCCTGACCCAGGGATCAAACTCTCATCTCCTGCATTGGCAGGTGGATCTCTTCACCACTGAGCCACCTGGGAAGCCCCATGTATTGTTACTATAATGTCTGTTAAATGAAAAGCTAAGAAGGGTAGGCTGCATGAGGTAATGCAGAACAGGTATGATGTGGTGCAAGTAAGATATAGGAAGCCGGGAGAATATTAAATCAGCATCAAAAACCAAAATCAAAGCAAAACAAAATCCCCCAAATGATGTTACTGGAACCTTGCCTGAGATAGTCAGGGCACTTAAGCAGTGATAGGACACTGAGGAGTGACCAGGTATAAGTGGTAAACAGGCTGTGAGTTCTTTTACAGACATTCGTATTATAAAATAGGGTTATGATGCAGTAGTTATCAGTAATTATTTCCCCCAGCTTTATTGAGAAACAATTGACATGTATAAGTTTGTTGTTCAGCTCCTTGATTTGTTACTTATAAATTGCAAAACTGATCACCACCATAGCATTAGCTAACATCTGTACCAAGTCACATAATTACCATTTCCTTTCTGTGGCGAAAACATTTAAGATCTACTCTCTTTGCAACTTTCAAGTATATAATAGAGAACTATTAGCTACAATCACTAGGCTGTACATTAAATCTCCAGAAGTTATTCATCATATTATAGTTGGAAGTTTGTACACTTTGACCAATACCTCCCCCTTTCCTCCACCCCCAATCATACGTAATACTGCTTATATGCTTAATGTTCTTTTGTATATCTGATTTACTTGAAGTGTGCCACCAAGATTCTAAGATTTGAAAATGTGTTCAAATGTAAGACTGAAATCCTATTAGGTTATGTATTCTTTCCCAAATTAGACATATATTTCCACTAGTCTCTCAAATTTAATTCAGCTAACATTTATTTGGAATCTAATATTGCAGTGTGCTGATTGCTGTGAAAAGGATGGCTAAACTCTTAGGGAGAGTGCAATTTAGAGGAGATGGAACACGTATGTAGTAACTATAAAGTATTTTATGATAAGTACTGAGACAGGACAAGGACAGTGCTGTGCCAGGACAAGGAAGGGGAATATTGATGACTGTAAGGAGAGGGGTCTGGGGCATCTCTCTGGAGGAAGAAGGACTTGACCAGGGCCTTCAGGAATTAGGAGGACTCTGGGTAGGCAAAAATGGGGCAAGAACATCCTAAGCAGAGGGCACACAGGTTGTCTGCCTATGTGTGATTAACAAATATTGAATCCAGTTTATGCACTCAGAGATCCTCCAATTTTTAGAAAAACAACTTTCTTTTAAAAATTTATGTTTTAAACCAGAGACTTTTCTGGTATGTTCTGTTCTTGAGGCTACAGCCTAGGAAAGAATCCTGATTATAGGAGAAAAAGTAGCAATAACCCTGCTTTTCCCATATGATCTTATGCAAGCAAACATATATATCAGTGTCAAAGCCCCATTTTGTTTTAATTTTAACTTAAGCAAACCAATTTTGCCAATAGGTAACCCTTTTCAAAGTCAATATCCAGGTTCATTCTTATCTCTTATTATCATCAACATATTCTTTATTTTCATCAACATAGCTTCATTTCCTTAAACCTTAAATCTGTTTTTACTGGCTTAAAAAAATTAACAGTAGTGGACTCTCAGAAATCCAATAAATAAAGCTACTTGGGTTGAAGACAGCAGAAAGAAGCTCAGAGCCTCTACCTTTGAGCCCCCTCCCCTCCCTGCATTGAGTCCTGAGACACTTCCACGGAAACCTCAGGGCTCTGTGGATGACAGTTTATAAACCACTTTCCTGGGCTTCTTAACTGCCAGTTATTGCCCAATTCTTCTACCAAAACTTGGCCATCAAAAGTCTGGACGTGAATGTTATATCCTTCTATCTAAAACATTGAGAATTTCTAAATATTCCTGCTCTCTAGAGATTTGTTTGGACATTTATTTGAAAATAATATCCAAATAAATTATTGAATCTCTATTAATGATTTAAAATTATGAAAAATACACTGTTACATAAGTTAGATTGCTTAAAATCAGAATTATTTAGTGTTAATACATAGATAACAGCAATAAAAATTGCAGCAAGATGGATTTATGGAAAACAAGAAACATAAAACTTTTAAACGTTTTAAAAAAGGTGAGACAGCATGGGTTTTGCTCCCTTAGAAACATTTAAGATATGTAAATCTCTCCTACCAGAGAAAGTGAAATAAATTATCAGAGAAAGGAATACATTTCGGAAGCTCATTTTAGTACTCCAAGTCTCTACTTGGTTTTTTCACTGAGGCTCACCTCTGTAGTCTGGAGAGTATAAATTCCCATTTCCTATCTTATTTCTCCCATACTCAATAAAAATAAAACCTGGTAGTTTGCAATCCATAAGTCTAGTTTTTATTTCTTTGGTTATAAGAAAAAAAAATAGACGAATTATAAAAAAATCACTGGTAAAAACAGCTTTGTTTGTATATTCAAGCAGCAGATTTATCACAATTATATTAAATTTAAAAAATAAAATTTCACCCAGAACTAGCAGAGACTGTGACTGAGTTAACAGATGAGTCCTAGAAGACATATTTAAATGGTGGTGGGTATTAACAAGGAAAATTCTGACCTCATCAACTACTCCTTGATGGGTAGAGCTTGCTTTTCCTCTTGCACTAGGTCTCTCTACTACACTGTAAGGAAAGCTAATGTAAAAGGCCCAGAAGAGTGAGCAAGGACCTTTTCCAGCTATTGGGCAAGACCTCCCAGGATTCAGAGAATGGTTTAAGAGTTCATTAAAATAGCTGTAGGGGACTTATTGCTCCTTCCTCAGTTGCGGCCAATTGGTTTGTTGTAAGCACTGATCTTCTACGGAGAACACTGGCAAGTTAAACTGGATACTAGCCTGTCTCCAAGGACAATTAGCCTGTCCAGGTGTGTTTCTGATTGCTTAGATAGATTCCAAACTATTTTGCCTGTTCCTGGCCATTTCTGCAGAAATAATCATGGATAACAAGTGGCAGTTGTTCCTCATCAGCTGAGGAGGTGGCTGGTTGGGCAAAGTCTCATTTTCATGAGGCTTAGATGAAGAGGCAAGGGGTAATTTCATGGAGGTGCTCAGAGATTTCCTCCTGTTCTTGTAAAAGCTGCTAGAAGTGTTGTCTCTGGTGAAAATTTGCAAATAGACTGCAAAGCAAACATTTTGCCAAATGGTCATTTATGTCATAAAAGAGCAAAAAATAGCAACATAAAACAGGTCAAAGACATAGCCTCGATAACAGTGCTTTTTAGGTATACTCAGAAGACAACCCACTCCAGTACTCTTGCCTGGAATATTCCATGGATGGAGGAGCCTGGTAGGCTACAGTCCATGGGGTCACAAAGAGTCAGACACAACTGAGTGACTTCACTTTCACTTTCAGAAGACAACATAAATTTCCCTTCTCTGATGTCACAAGAGTAGATATTCTCTGTTTCTCAATCCAGGTCAAATTTTGACTGAAAGTAAAAAATCAATAATAGCAGGGAAAAAGGAGTTCTAAAACAGCAGTCAATGCTTTACTGATAATGCCTTTAAGATTTTCTTCTGGAAGCTTCTTTGTCAAATACTGACAAATATTTCATAAGAAATAAGACCCTATGTGAAAACTTAGGCATTTGAACCTGCAACCAGCTTTTCTTAAAGACCTAGGGCTCTTGACTTAGAAGCAACACACTGGTGACACTTCAGTTCACTTTGTAATATTATGGTGTCCCAGGAACTTAATATTTGCTAAGGACTGAATTGTGTCATCTTCTCCCTACCCACCCCTGCCTCATCCAGCCCTCCACTTCATATGTTGAAGCCTTAATCCTCAATGTGATGGCATTTGGAGATGAAGTCTTGGGAGCTGACTAGGTTTTGATGAGGTCATGAGGGTGAAGTCATGATGGGATTACTGCCTTTCTAGGAAGAGACCAGAGAATAAGCTCTCTCTCCACCAGCCATGGAATTAAAAGATGCTTACTCCTTGGAAGAAAAGCTTTGACAAACCTAGATAGCATATGAAAAAGCAGAGATATCACTTTTCTGACAAAGGTCTATATAGTCAAAGCTATAGCTTCTCCAGCAACCATGTATGGATGTGAGAGCTGGACCACAAAGAAGGCTGAGAGCCGAAGAACTGATGCTTTCTAACTGTGGTGCTGAGGTGAGAATCCCTTGGACGGCAAGGAGATCAAACCAGTCAATCCTAAAGGAAATCATCCCTGAATAGTCATTGGAAGGACTGATGTTGAAGCTGAAACTCCAATACTTTGGCCACCTAATGGGAAGAGCTGACTCATTGGAAAAGATCCTGATTCTGGGAAAGATTGAGGGCAGGAGGAGAAGGAAGCGACAGAGGATGAGATGGTTGGATGGCATCACTGACTCAATGGACATGAGTTTGAACAAACTCTAGGAGATAGAGAAGGACAGGGAAGCTTGGCATGCTGCAGTTCATGGAGGTGCAGAGTCAGACATGACTAGCAACTGAACGACAACCACCACCACCATGTGAATATACAGTTGACCCTGCAACAGAGATTTGAACTGTGTGAGTCTACTTATACATGAATTTTTTTTTCAATAATAGTTTTTCAATAATAAATACTACAGGGACTTCCCTGGAAGTCCAGTGGTTGAAACTTCATGCTACCGCTGCAGGGGGTGCAGGTTCAATCCCTGGTCAGGTAATTAAGACCCCACAGACCACATGCCAAGTGAGGTGGCCAACAACAACAAAACTGTAGTACCATATGGTTGTTGGTTGGTTGAACCTGCAGATGCAAAATTATGCATACTAAGGGCCAACTGTGAAATTATACTTGGATTTTCCACTGCATGGGGATGTCGGCACCACTAAGACCTATATGTTCAAGCGTCAACTGTACAGAAAGGAGGTGGCACCCGGGAGTGGAACCTTGATCTTGGGCTTTCCAGACTCCACAACTGTGAGAAAGAAATGTCTGTTGAGACACCCAGTGTTATGACAGTGTGAGCTGAAAAAGGTTGAATGAACCTTGGTTCTGTCTCCTGGTTGCTTATAAAGGGGCAGGTTGGGAAAAAGGAATTGGGAAGAAAAATTTCAAAAATTAACAACAGACACTGACAACAAAGTTATTGCTTTAAGAGTTTTAATAGGGTGGGGTAGGCAGGCACTAAGAGAGCTGTGTTTGCCTCATCAGTGAAATCTGAGAACTGCAGCTGTGAGCTGAATATGATCCTCCTAGACTTGGGGTTCTGTCTCTCTGAACCTGAAGTAAAAAGCTATCATTTTGAACAAGTGGATGTATGCAGCTTTTAAAAAAACCTCCAGACTATACTCATACCATATCCTAATTGAAATCTCCTGTGAAACATCCATCTCGTCCCAGAAACAACCACAAGTGGTGGCTCCCTGACTATGCAGTGAGCAGGACACACGTTCAGACAACTTTAGAAGTTACTATCTGAATCCTTGTTGTCCCTAACAAACAGAGAGGGTACAAAACCTTAAGTTCCTATTAGTCATCTCAATTCTAAGTGACAAGGAGGACATTAAAAATACATTAAAATGAAGTCCAGCTCAGAATTTGAGGGTGATCTCCCCAAACATACACTTGCATGCATTTGCCTGAGATCAGAGTGTGTGGATTTCCTGCACAGCCCTGTTAATTCCAATAACTGAATGTGGAGTCTGTTCCATGAGGTCCTCAACGTTCTTAGTCTTGGGAGCCATGCTGTTGACATCCTAGATCACTTGTCCTTGCTTGTCCGACTTCTCAGCTCCCTTTTGAATCACGTGCTGTCTCGTGCTAAGCTCCCGTGGGTCTTCCTGGACTACAGCTTCTTTTCCTTTGAAGGCATCTGGTGGGCTCTGGTTCTAGCACCTGACTTGAATGGCACTGTCCCTCATGTTCAGGATCCAAAGAGAGGTGTGTACAAAGAAACTCACCGATAGTCTTCTAAGAAGCTGTGTAAGAGGGTCCACCACTCACTTCATTGGCATGGAGCTGCACTGAGAAGCTGTGCTTTGGCCCACATTGGTATTCTGTGTGCCTTAATATACTCTGCCTCAGCATGTGTCATTTAGACATGAATTGTTAAGGTGCTCAGCAGACTGAACCTCCCTGAGAATGGAAAGGGATTCCTGCCCTGACCTCAGGACAGCTGCAGCTCTCTGGGGCCACACACATTGGAGACAAGTAGGAAAAAGAGCAAGTGACAGGAAAAATGTGAAAGGAAGCAACCTGACTGATGGTATTAGGGCTACTGACTCCTGGAAGGTCTCTTGTGGACTCCTTGCATTTCCTGGATCCAGCTGCTTCTGCTGATGCTGAATACAGGGTCCTGGCTGGGTACTGGCTATTAAACCACATGCAAATGGTGGTTGGTTCTCTAGGAAATAAATTAATCCTATCCCATGTTTTCCCATGAAAAGCTATAAAACCTGGCTACAAAAGGATGCCAAGTTTGGGATACTTGGATCAGTAGTCAAGGAACTATGACTTTGAGGGTACCATAAGCTGTGAACTCAAAGGTCTCACTGATGCCAAGTGGGGTAGGGGGAAATTCCTCTAGAAGGAGATGAGTGGTATAAGAAGCAGCACTAGGTTTTGAAGAAAGGCTAACCATCCCATCAGTGTAGTTAGGAGAAATGAACAAAGTGTGCTATTACCACAAATGCATCCTTACATAACCAGAAGTTGGGAACAGGGGGTGGTGACAGAGAACACAGAACTGTTGATATGACTCTAGCCCCTGTTTTGAATTCAGGCAAGAAAGTTATGTCAGAAGATTCTACATCTTTGAAATGACTAAAATTGCTCTAACTTCATATGGAAAGTAGTCTTCCTCACTGTGCCACTGCTCCTCCTGCCCCTGGTGGCTCAGACAAGTAAAGAATCTGCCTGCAATGCAAGAGACCTGGGTTCAATTCCTGGGTTGGGAAAATCCCCTGGAGAAGGGAATGGCAACCCATTCCAGTATTCTTGCCTGGAGAATCCCATGCACAGAGGAGTCTGGCAGGCTATAGTCCATGGGGTCACAAAGAGTTGGGCATGACTGAGTGACTAACACTTTCACTTCACTTCACTGGCTAAGTTAAGCGTAAGTAAGTGTTAGTTGCTCAGTTGTGTCCAACTCTTTGCGAACCCATGGACTGCAGCCCACCAGGCCTCCTGTGTCCATGAGATTTTTCCAGGCAAGGATACTGGAGTGGGTTGCCATTTTCTTCTCCAGGGGATCTTCCCAATCCAGGGATCGAACCCGGGTCTCCTGTACTGAAGGCAGATTATTTACTAACTGAGCTACAAGGGAAGGGTAAGTTAAATGTTACAGGGAATGCCCTAACGTTGTGGGGGCAGTTTTGATTCCGTCTTCTCTGAGGGGATTCCAGGGTGTAATGCTATGCAACATGTGACACAGCACTACAGGGAGCTTGCTCACAATGCTGCAGTGCAAGTGGGGATGTCTTCTCAGTCTGCTCCACAGAATTGGGATTTGTTAGTGAGCTGATGGAGTTACTATCTAAGCTGTCATGGCACCGAGACTACATGTCTTTACCTATGTTCTTCAGTGAGTTACCAATTAAACCATATTGGTCTGGGAGGCCTTAGAAGCTTAGGACACCTTTAGAAGATGGGGAAAGATCTGAAGTGAGGGTCAAGTTGGAAGCATCAGCTACTTGTGCATAACCACACTTCTGAGCTCAGCCCACAGCACTTCCTCTGTGACTGGCCCATGGGAAGTAGTGTGAAAACCCGACAGATGAGAAAAAGCACTTAGGACACTGTTCTGATGTTTCAGTATGTAAGAACTGTGGTGATCTGTGAGTGAAGCAGTTTGGGTAAGGGAACATTTGAGACTTATCCAATGGCAGATACCATCGTTCCTCTTGTTCAATCACATTTTGAGGTTTGGACATTCACTGAATCTGGACCTTGCTTAAGTATAAATTGTGTTAACAGTGATAGAAAGAGCACAGGTACTTGACCAAGTCTACAGTCACAGGTGAAAATTCTGGTTACTAACTATGACTCTGGGCAGGTGGTCTTTTAGACTTCAGTTTCCTTATCTAAAAATTGGGGATAATGCAATGAACCTCTTAGATAATTTCTAAAGATTAATTAAAAGGAAATAATATTTGTAAAACATCTAAGAAAGCATCTGATACAAGGCAATTATATGTTGACAGTCATATTACTTTTAAAATAACATTGTGTAGATAGTAAACAGATAGCATGACTTCTCTCACAAAGTTTATTTTTGAAGCAAACATAGTTTAACTAGGGTTTGTAGAAATTCACTTCATTCAACCCAAGTAAATATAGAAACAAAGAATTCTCTGTAGAAAATATTTTTTCTCACCTTTGCTGGTTCGTTGATGATTTGGAACCTGGCACTGTCTTTGCCTATTGTGACTGAGTCCAGTAATGCTCGATAGGTAGACTTCTTGGAGAGCAGCTGTTTCTGACGCCTGCAGATAGGAAGTATACAGATGCCTGAGAATGATCTGTGACTCAGCCTCCAAAAGACTATATCACCATGTGGAAGTTATTAAAATTCACTTCAATAATAAAGTCAACCAGGCACAGGCAATATATTAGTACCTCAATAAAGCACTAACAGAAGTACTTTAGAGAGCTAATAAAATTAATAAGAGTGCTAATACAATTAACAAAATAAAAGAGTACTAGTAAAATTGTTCACCATAACACTGCTCAAGGATGGTATTTTATCCCCTTTATTGAGAAGGTGGGGCAGTTTTTTTTTTGGTGGGATCTTAGTTCCCCAACCAGGAATTGAACCAGTGTCCCCTGCTTTGGGAACATGAAGTCTTAACCACTGGTTTACCATGGAAATCCCAAGGGGCAGTTTTCATAGGTGACATTTGTTAGCTCATTGATTTCTCTCCCCTTTACATGAAATGTACACTTTAATAAAAACTTATTAATAAATTCTAGTGGAAATCCAATATAATCTAGTGGTTTGACAAGGTGACCAGGAGTTCACTATAGAATTCCTTCTAAGGTACCTGTTTAGAATTAAAATGATATGATTTTTCTGCCTCTAGAGTAGTGTGAATAAATTGAAGAGTTGTATGATATGTTTGGTGACTTCAGTGTTAGGACCACATAGGGGTAGACACTAAAAAAAAAAAGATTTTAAAGAAATATTTGTTGAGGCTCTGGGGAAACAGGCAATCATAAACTGGTGATGGGAGTACAAAATGACATAATCTATATGGAGGGATACCTAGTAATAGTTAAAATTTCAAACACATTTATTCTTTGACCTAGAATTCCCACTTCTGGAAATTCATCCTATAAATAGACCTGCATGTGTAGGAAATGACATACGCATAGCTTTCTTTTTTTTTGGCCACACCATACCATGTGGCACGTGGGATCACCTGAGCAGGGATTGAATCCATGCCCCATGCATTGGGAGCATAGAGTCTTAACCGTTGGACCACCAGGGAAGTCCTGAGATATGTATAGGTTTTCACTGTGGCAGTGACATTATAGCAAAAGACTGAAAACACCCAAAGCTAGCAAGAGGAAAGAGACTGAATAAATTATAATATAATTTACCCAATGGAATACTATACAGCTGTGAAAAGGACAAACTCCATGTATTCTTGCAGAGCTCTTCAGAATAAATTATTAAACAAGGGAAAAAAAGAGGTAGGAGACATGGGTTCGATCCCTGGGTCAGGAAGATCCCCTGGAATATGACATGGCAACTCATTCTAGTATTCTTGTCTGGAAAATTCCACGGACAGAAAAGCCTGGTGAGCTACAGTTCATGGGGTCTCAAAGAGTCAGACACAACTGAGTGACTGATCATACATGCATAGATAGAAAGCTATATGGTATAAGCATAGTTGTGATAAAAGAATATATGCATTCACTAAAAGAAATACTGGAAAGAGAAATAAGAAATGAATAAACCTGGTTACTTACAGGGAAGGTGTGGAGTGGCGTGAAAGGGGACAGGAATGAGAGTAACTCTTCAATGTGTTTCTTTTCATAGTATTTGATTTTTGAACCATGTAAAAGTATTATTTCTTCAAAGATTCAAAAATTTAATATTAGTTTAAAAACACTGATTTTAAAAATAGTGGATTTATTAACATAGTAATGCTAATTATAACATATAACTATACAATATAATTATAATTAATAGTAACATATTAATTATAAAATAATACAAGGGTAAGTTAAAGTAGTAAAAGTCAAAGTCTCCTGTCAATAAACTCTTTGATCACTGAATTTCCTAATTGACTCTTTCCTCAGAAAGTCTATCAGTTCTCAAAAATTTAATAAACATCAATTTCAAAATATTTTCAGAACTGTTTTGCCTAGGTCATACACTTCCTCTCCTTACCTGTAGAAAGCAATCTTGCTGCAGTCTTTGAAAATGCTTTTATCCACAGCTTCATCTTCAACACTAATAAAAAGACATTTTAAGAAATCTGTTTTACACTGGGTATGTGAATCCAATTTTTGTACCTTTTCTAATTATAATATAAACATGGGACATAAATCACTGTGATACTAAATTGTGTCAAGGCCATAACATAACACGATAATGTGTTTGCTGCAGAACAATATTGTTCTGTAAACCACCCAAGGTAGACAACAAAACATGAAGCTCTGGGATTGCTTTGAAAGCAAAAGAAAAAGAGCACTGTCACTTATGAGAAATGGTTCTTTAAAAATAATGACTGAAGGCTATGATTAATACAATAAAATCTGAAGAAGTAAAAACAAAAAACTTCAAACCAAACCAATAAAAACAACCCTCCCACCTATTTATTCAACAAAGAACTTTCAGAATATTCTTTTTTAGTGTTGGGCTGTGAGGAACATATGAAGGATGAAATTCAAGCTTTCTTTGAGATCCTAACCAACATCATAAATCAATCTGACAAATGCTGTAACAGAGGCATGTGTAAGGTGCTAGAATAAGCATACAAACAGATGAAGAAGGAAAATCCTTTGCTTTTTAAGATGATGCTGACAATTTAGGGGCCAATGTTTTTTAAAACTAAGTTTCCAAAAAAGCTGTTTCTGGAAGAGAACATGATCAAGATGTATATATACTTCAGTATATGTATTTAATATATACCAATTAAAACAACTACTGGCTCTAAGTAAAGAAATAAAACCACAGTGATTTTCATGGAGACACATAATGAACACATCTGTAATAAGCATGTCCATGATTGTGTAGGAAGCTATGACTGAACACCAACTTCAAAATATTATGAAAATGAGCCCAGACAATACCCTTGGCCATGGTTTATCACGGAAGTAATCAAATTGTTCACTGACTCAATCTCTGTCACGGTTTCTTTTAATCAAGTGTGTAAAGATTAGAGAAATTTGCGATCTCTTTTCAGTTTTGAAGAATGAACTCTGCAATAATATAGGAAGAGGTGTATTTAGCTGAACCTGGAAAGCAGCATGTTTGAAATTCATGTATTAAGAGTTCCGATCACAGTTTTGTTAACCATCCTGCAAGTATTTCATAAGGGGCTACTAATATCAGTTAATTCCCTGGGGAATTGATGTTAGTATATGTGCTGCCGAAGCGAGCACTCCCTGGGGAATTGAGAAAGATAGAAATTAAGTACACAAACATAAAACAGGCAAATAAGATATGCAATCAAATCTTCAAATCCAGAATGCTGTTTTCAGGTACTACCTATCCCCTGCCTCCGCGGACCCTGGAGTCAGTCCCTGCTGGACCACTGGACCTTTACCTGATTTCCTCTTTCTCAGCTGATTCCATGGCTTCCCAGTCACTTCACGGGGTCTCGGGTTTCAGGCGGTCTTTTAGACTGTCAGTCTTTCTAAATAACCAGCGCTTCACCACCAAGTTTCTGGGACTTGCAGGTCCTTAAGGAGTGACAAATCGACACTTTTTCCTGGGATTTCTAGACTCCAACTAGCGTTTCTACAGAGATTTATTTGGCAATTTTTTCTTGGTTATGAGTGGTTGGTGACAAGCTCCCTTCCTTAGGAACCGAAAAAGGTTTTTGCATCGGAGGAGGCGTGTACTCAAAGAACCCTAGAGGGATGAAAATCAAGAGCGTGAGAACCTGGAAGTGGAGCTGGCCTGCGGGATTGCAGAGAGGCTTCCGCACATCTACCTCAGTGAGGGTCACGCCACAGATACTGAAAACTGACCTGACCTCTCCTGACTTTTAGTTTTGAGTAGGAAGTGCCGGCCGGTTGTTGCTGGAGGTTGATGTTTTCCTGCCAAACACTACATCATATTCTTCTGGACTAGAAGGGGCTTTTAAAAGGGGTTATCGACTACACCATCTATTTTAGGAATCGGTTATATTCCACTACTGCCAAACTCCAGTGTTTGCTTAAATACTTTTGGCAACCAAGAACTCACTACTACACGCTAAATAAGCAGCCAGACTTACGGCTTTCCCAGACTTCTGGCCCCAGCGGCTGATTTTGACTCAGAAGGGATGAGGACTGGGACGAACGGAAGGAGGAGAAAGCCAAACGCCACACTGTGTTCCTCCCTGGTCCCCAAACCCTTTAAGGGCTAGGACAGAGAAGGGCCGACAGACTCAGTGGTAGCTTTTGGCGATCATCCTAACAATCCAAGGTGACTAGGGTATGACAGGACGACACATGCGCAGTAGGTCCTAAACCTCACACTAAGCCGCGACAACTGCCTGAGGGCGGGGCCACTGAGTCGCAAAACAAACAAGCCCCCAGGGGTTGTGAGGACCCGGATGATCCCGCCCCCAGAGCGGAGCCGGAAGAGGGCGAGACGAACCGGAAGAAGGCGAAATGCTCTCGATAGACACTCCACGGGTGTGAAGATGGCGGTGGCTGCGTGGCTTCAGGTGGTGCCTGTCATTCTTCTCCTCCTCGGCGCTCGAACCTCCCCATTGTCGCTTTTCAGTGTAGGGCCGGCACCTGTCGCTGCTGCCGGGAGATCCAAGTGGCACATTCCGATACCGTCGGTGAGTGTTCAGGAGCAACTGAGACTGGAGGAACGAGGGGTGGGGCTACGGCGGCCCAAGGAGTCCATGAAGGTTCCACAAAAGTCCGCTTCCAAAGGTGTGGGATTGCCGATAGCGTCGGTGTAGCTGCCTAACGGGGACTCACCTGCCTGGAGCGGGAAGCCGTGCGCTTCTGTGAGTAGATTAGCAGGAATGTCAGGGTCATTTCTGGAGCGGAGAGTGGCTGTGGATCGGTTTCTTGTTAGCAGAGTCAGAGAACTTTTCATTGACAGACTGGAGACGTGTAAACTTGATGTGTAGGTGGAGAATGGTTTCTCTTTCAGCTGAAGTTTTGCAGAATCTTGTGACCTCGGGTTGGATGAGAGGTATATGTAAATTGACATCTTTCTGTTTTTTTCCTCTTCACTTTTTTGTTAATGGATAGTTCTACTTACGAAGTTGGTTGATTTCGTTTGGACTTTGAAATGGTTAATATAAGCTTTGCCATGTAATTGGGAAGCCTAGGCATTTAAAATGATGTATTCTAACATGAGAATGTTCAAAACGGAATAAACAGTATGCTAAAATTTCTTATGGTAAGTTAGTCTTTCTTAAGGACAACAGACTAGATTGGTTGATCCTTTCTGTCTTTTATCACCCTTTGGAAACCCCATTTGAGTAAGAACTGCAGTCCTGTGAGCCGGCAAATCAGGTGCTGGCTGGAAATGCCAAAAAGCATCAGTCTTATTAAAACCACAGTGGCCTTTTTGTTCTGCTCTGCTCACTGGTCATAGTACCTAAATCTTATATGAGTTTTTGATATGGCAAGAATTACAGCTTTTGGTCATTTTGTGAAGATCTTCAGGCTCTCAGTTTTAGGTATTTACGTGTTATTTGTAAAATGGTCGATAGTTATATCTGGCTGTCTGCATATAGAATAGTTTATTTGAAGCACTGAAGGGTTATTCTGGACGGTGATTAGTGAGTAAAGGGAATTAACTGATTAAGAAATACCTTCCAGGAAGATTGAAGTTAGGTTAGGATTTGTAGCAGCCTTCCTTTTAGAGTCCCTGCTTCATGGCCTGTGGGGAAAAAAATCATGTCTCTGCACCAAGCGGCAAAATCCTGCAGTTTTGTTATGATTGGATTTTACTCAGCGGAAGGATATTGATGCCTTGTGTGTGTGTGTTAAGAAAACTAACTTCAACATTTTATAAATTTATGTTTTTGTTTCAGTTATATTCTGCCTTTGGAATTAAAGTGATTCTAATGCTAATTATCTCTCCTTTATCTTTGCAGGCGAAAAATTATTTTAGTTTTGGAAAGATCCTCTTCAAAAATACCACTATCTTCCTGAAATGTGAGTTTTTGCATTTCATGAAGTTTTTATTTGAGTTTTTGAGTGATCTTTAAACTTTGAAATTACCTGTTTTCTACCTCTGATAATTGACACTCAACATAAATTCTGAAATTTAATAGTTCAGCACTATCTAGGTATAAACTTATATAGTGTAACTAAGGTCCTTCACTGAATAATCTTCAGAATACTTACTTCTGCGAACTTTATTTTCTTCTCTTGTTTTTCTGGTGTTTGCAGTATATAGTAGACAAGTTGTTTTGGTTGACTGCATGGGTTTTAATCTGTTCTGAGTCATAGAGATAACTGCTGATTTTGCTTTTGTGTGCTTGTTAGAAGTTTATTGGACACATGACCTAGGTTTGTAAGACCATTGGCTCTGCACAAATATGTTCAGTAAAGCTTTTGTTTGCAGAAGGAGTATTTTACCACTTGGATCTTTGGAAGAGGAAGCTCAACGATAATTACCAGGAAATAGGGATTATTTAGAACAAAACCAGTCTGTCCAGTGGGAAAGCCGCTGTATCTGAATCCAGAATACCCCATTGTTTATTAAAGAAAAGCTTCCTTTTATTTCTTGAAACTGGCTTTATTTTTAGAGAATGCATGATCGTGGGCAGCTCCATTTCAAGATCAGGACTAAAAATCCAGATCATCCATGTATGTTCCTCTGCATATTTCTCCTTGTGAAAGTGCAAAGTTACGTCACAGTTGGATGATTTTATTCTTTTAATCATTTAGTAAGTAGTTATTGAACACATATTATGTGCCAGGCACTGTTTTAGAAAGGAAGTGATAGATAATGAGCTTACAATCTAGTGGGATGGAGGGGTCAGGTAGAATTTCTGTGAAGAATATACTGTTTTCATGAAAATATAATCTCTTGGCTAATGACTTAAGTTTGATTTAAATCAAATCTACTGTGACACGCTGGTCTTTCTTGTGAGGTTTTCTTATTAGAAAAGAAGAGCTTTTAGGGATAGCAGTATTTTGTCTTTGGGAATAGCCTGACAGCCTGTATGCTAGTCTGTCCTTTTATTGTGTATGGTTTCTTTTTCCCTGTGTTCTGTTCTAAAGGTTTTTGTAGTGGTTTTTAGCCAAGCTGCATATTTTGAAATGTTGATGCTTCTTTGTTTTTAGAGGAGTTGAGGCTTAAAATTGTCTTTTCACTTTATTACATCTGAGTTTTCTTATACTTAATCTTGTCTCTGATTTTATGCTTTTGTGGGTATGGTATACTATAGATTTCCTTGAAATTGGCAGGACCATTTTCAGTGTCTCTTAAAGCCATTCATTTAAAGTATGTTTTGGGAATTCCCTGGTGGTCCAGTGTTTAGGACTCTGAGCTTTCACTGCCAAGGGCCAGGGTTGAATCCCTGGTTGGGAAACTAAGATCCCACAAGCCTTGCGGCATGGTCCCCCTAAAATTCTATGTCTTTTAACATAAATAGTAGTATTTTTGCAGTTATATTTGCCTGAAAATCTCCCTTTTAGGGGATTTTTCTTACTGGTTTTTGTTTAATTAATTCCTTCTCTGATTCTTCTGTGTAGTTCATAACAAGATTGCAGTATCCTTTTTAGCATTTCCATAAATTCTGTTCAACACATTTTTTGTGTATTTTAGTTGAGCCTTATAAAACTGTGCCACTTAAAAATTAGTTTGAGAAGACCACTTCAAACAGAGAAAAGGAGAAAATTGTAATTTTAGGTGTGCTTCTTAAGAACCAAAAGTAGGTTCCTAGGTATAGTTGTGTTTACCTTTGTCACATTTGCACTAAGTATATATGGTTAGTATGTTTTTTCATTTTCTTCTGGAACGAAGATAAAAGGGAATACTGACTTCCCCCAGGTTGAGAATCTAATAGACTCCCAAGTCTTCAGACTTATGCTTTGGTTCATTAGGATATTGTTCTCCAAATTATGTTTAATAAGTTATGTGAGACTTACATGATTTCATGAGGTTCCTTGAGGCTTCTCTTAAGTGCCGGGAGCCATTATGGGAGACCCCACCCATGACGAGGTCATGAAGAAAATACCTGACAGGCAAGGCCGTTCAGGATCCCATCCATGACAAGGTTATGAGGAAAAAACCTGAAACGCAAGGCCCTTCAGGATACAAGGGACCCTCCAGGTTGGCCTCGGCCTCTGCCCCACCCTGTATCCTCCCCCCTTTTCTGCTGTTGTTCCTGTTTGCCCTGCTGCAGATTCTTGTGTTGCCTGCCGAGAGCTCTCCTGCTCCTCTTTCACTGATTAAAGACCAACTTAAAACCCTAATTAATAAATCTCCCAGACGCTGGTACCCTATGAAGGGGCCAGGGATGAAGGAGATGCTTCAATTCAAACCCTTTTGCTGGCATTCTGGCTTGTTTGATAAATGTGTGCTCCTATTGCAAAAAATGCTCATGATTGTTCTAAACATCCTAAGCACAGTACGCTAACAAAAGAAACTATTAAGCATAGGTCCCTCCACGGGGTGAGAAAAGCTCCACAAATAATAGTCACAAATGTGCCTAATAGAAAATACTTTAGATAGAGATTAGCTGGCGACTTCTTGCAGGTAGTTAACTTTTAGACTAAGAGCCTGTTTTGTGCTATATCTGCTGTTTTTGCAGTCCTTCGCATTTCTGTTCCGTAATAACGTCATCCTATCTAGTTCCCATGGAGATGACGTCTATTAGAAATAAAATAGATTAATCACAAGAAAAACAGGGTCGGCTACTGAAGTTGCTTAAGTCACACCAGGTGCAAGCCATAAAATGTTAGCAGGCCTGAAGGCCAAATGATAAGAAAGACTCTTGTGAACGAAAAGTATGTGGGTGACATCCTGTTTCTGTTGAAGGTCAAGTTGCTATAATGTTTTGAGATGACCTGTGTGTAAGCAATATGCACTTCCCCCCAAAAGATGTTGTTAAGGGTATAAAGGGGCCGTGCAGAAATAAACTCCAGACTCAGCCCCGAGCTTTGTCTCACTGTGTCTCTCTCTCGCCGACGCCGTTCATCCTGAGGGTTCCCCTGGATCCTGCTGGGGCTGGACCCCGGCACTTAAGGTGAATTTTAAAAAGGATCTAGTATTCTTTTATCTTTGCTTTTGCTATTCCTGCCTTCCTCAGCCAGGTTTGCTTTTTGTTGATAGTTCTTTTGTATCCATTTAAGGTCTCTCAGGGTTTACACTTTGAAGTTTTCCCTCAATGAAATTATTTTGATTATTGTCTTGTGACATTTCCAATGTTGTTATTCCTTGAGTCTTCAGCTAGAATCTTTTTAAAGACTTCTTAAGAGTCTTCAGTAATTTATTCCCTTCTGTTCCCCTATTTGGCCTAACACAGTGCCATGTTTCTTTGTGTACTTAAGTGCTTTGCTTAGTAAATATTTAAATGATAATAGATGACTGAAATTTATTACTTCATTACCTTCTGTTTGGAGAAAGGATGGTCTTTAAGTATCCTGGTTTAGCAGGAAATGGGATATGGGGTAATAATTTAGGAAACATACTTTGTTTGGCAATCAAATTATCTTTTATTCACAGAGATTTCTTCTTTTATAGTTGATGGAGAACCTTGTGATGCATCTTTGAATATAACGTGGTATCTGAAAAGTGCTGACTGTTACAATGAAATCTACAACTTCAAGGTATGGAACATATAATTACAGACTTTTATTTGAGTTTATTTAGAGATCATTGGATCCCCACCTGGTAGTGGAGAGAGTGTCATGTAGCTATGGAGGAGAATAACTGGAACTGGAATTATGCTTTCCAATTTGCAGGCACACTTGTGCTATCAGTTCTCAAACTTTTTGGTCTCAGAACTTTGCTACATTCCTAAAAATTGCTGTAGATACCCAAAAAGCCTTTATTCATATGGGTTACTATATTAGAAATTAAAACAAAAATACATAAATATATATAATTTATTTTAAAATAGCAATGATAGACTCATTGCATGTTAATATAAAACACATTTTTTAATGAAAAATAATTAATTTTTGAGAAACTGGGTACAGTGGTGTTATTTTGTATTTTTGCAGATCTCTTTATTTAATGTATGAACTTCCTGGTGGCTCAGACAGTAAAGTGTCTGCCTACAATGCAGGAGACCTGGGTTCAATCTCTGGGTTGGGAAGATCTCCTGGAGAAGGAAATGGCAACCCACTCCAGTATTCTTGCCTGGAAAATCCCGTGGACAGAGGAACCTGGTAGGCTATAGTCATGGGATGGCAAAGAGTTGGACACGACTGAGCGACTTCACTTCTTCACTTCTTATTTAATGTCTAGTGTAATAGAAGATAGCTAGATTCTTATATCTTCTTCACTCAGTTTGTTGTGATGTGTTATTTTGGTTGAAGTGTATGCACAAAATGTGGCCTCACACAGATATGTAGTTGGAAAAGGAATGGTATTTTAATAGTATTTTCAGGTAATTGGATGATTACTTTTGCACTGTCAGCACAAGGCAAGTAACAGATGAGGACAATGAAAATAGTTTTGCCTTCTTAGATGCATGGAAGTGTCCATGGACCACACTTTCAGAATTGCTACAGTACAATGTACATGAGCATTGAAGATATACAGCTCCTGGATAGATTTTTCATTCTGTTTTTATCCAGCTGTTTGTATCATTTCATTTTTTACATTTCCCCTACATTCTTGAGGTTTCTTTTGAAAAATAAAGTACTAGTCTTTAAAAAGTATCTACCATCCAGTTGGTTTTTTAAACCTTAAGCATTTTGAATTTCTACCCAGTATTAGGGTTTTGTTGGTGACTGTTTTGTTTTTGTTATAGAACATCGGGTAAGGTTGATAGGATGAGGACTGTGTGTATTAGTTGTTCAGTCATGTCTTGACTCTTTGTGACCCCATGAATTTAGCCAGCCACGTTCCTCTGTCCTTGGAATTCCCCAGGCAAGAATACTGGAGTGGTTTGCCATTCCCTTCTCCAGGGGATCTTCCCACCCAGGAATCGAACCTGGGTCTTCTGCATCTCCTGCACTGGCAGGCATGTTCTTTACCACTAGCACCACCTGGGAAGCCCCATGATGAGGACCAAAAGGATTAAAAAATTTAGAGAGAAGTATTTCTAGAGTATTGTTTGAAATATCATTGATCCTTTTCTCCTAATCAATCGATCACTAGTTAAATTTATAGTTAAAAAGTTCATACAGATGAAGCTTGTGATAAAAACTGGTCAAGAGCTTAGCAGATTCAGTTCTCATGGGTAGTAGAGTTAAGAATGTAAAAATTATTTTGAATTGCCACAGGACAGAATTATGGAAATAATAAGCAGATAGTTGGAAGTGTGAAATTGCAGCTTAGGAAAAAACAGAGTGAGATTAGAGATCTTGGTATGGGAGAAAAATCACAGAACTGATGAAGCCACAAAAATGATGAACTTTTTCAGAGTATTAATAGTGGGCTGTGAATGGCTGCAGTAGTTTTCTACTCTGCCTTATCTAGCTTATAAGCACAAGTTTTGTTGTTGTTGGTATTGTTAATTTAGTCAAGGAACTCATGTAAATATATTTTCTTATAACAAAACCCTCTGGACTCTGATAGTTTCCCATATCTTCCTGGAATTTTTAGAGGACCTACCCTTCTTGAGTCATAGACTAGAATTCTGTACTTTAGTACTGTTAGATTCTTGAATACTAATATATAGTCTTTATCTGATATTAATTTTAAAAATAGCAAATCTAAAACTATCTTTGTACTGAAGACAATCTATTTGTTATCTTTTAAATATTTCATATAAAAACTAAGTTAAATACTTGGTATTTTCTCTATTTTCCAGTTGGAAGAAGTGGACGCATACTTGGAAAACCTTAAGGAAAAAAAAGACTTGTCTGGAAAATATGAAACATCATCAAAATTGTTCCAGAACTGCAGTGAACTCTTTAAAGCACAGGTAATATTTGATAGTTGTTCAAGGGAACTAGAAGAAGTGAGAAATATGAGACCTGTATTTTTGGTGATGTCCATTTCTCCTAAGTTCTTCTGACAGAAATAGGTTAGAAGCACGTTCTGATTGGTACATAGTCAGCTACTTAAATATTCTCATCAAAGAGAGGGTGCGCTTTCCTTTGTGTTGGAAAAGCAAAGCCCCACTTTTTAAAAAATGCAGTAAAATATACATAACATAAAATTTACCAGTTTAACAATTTTAAAAGTGTGCCTTTCAGTTACATAAATACATTCACATTATTGTACCACTGTCACCACTAGCCATTTCCAGAACTTTTTCATCATCTTAAGTGGTTGCTTTGTAACAATTAATAATAGCACCAACCCCCTACTCTCACTTCCCTGGTAATAGCTATTCTGCTTTCTTTCTCCATGACTCTGACTGTTACAGATATCTCAGAGAAGTAAAATCATACACTGTTTTTTGGCTTCTTTAACTTAAAAAGTTTTCAGGGTTCATCCATATAGCATGTATCAGAATTTCATTTCTTTTTAAAGGCTGAATAATATTGCATTGTACATTTGTACTATATTATCCATTCATCCATTGATGGACTTTTGAAACTTTCGTTTTTTAATTCTCTTCTTATCTCATCTAATTGATATGTCCTCAGAAAAATCAACATTTTTAGATTTTACTACTATAGACCTGAAATCAAAGGATTGAATTTTACACCTTTTTCATATAAAGGGGAAGAGGTGAATTATACTGTATATCTTATTCTATTATTTTATTTTTTCACCTTACCTTGTGATTGTGGGATCTTAGTTCCTTGAGCAGGGATTGAACCTGACCACTGCTTTTGAAACCACTTAGTCCTAATCATTGGAGCACCAGGGAATTGCCAATGTCGTGTATGCTTACATGTATGTAATCATATAAATGGAGTTTATTAAAAAATTGTCTTTTCTTAGAAGTAGGATCTGACCCCAGTTTTTTGATAGGATAAATTTATACATTTTATAGGTTTGAAAATAGTTATTTTAGCTATAGCCTTTGCTTTGTTCTTACTGCACTTAAATGCTGCTTCAAATTATTTAGCAGCTTGCCTTGAAGAGGCAAGGAGTTCTTGGAAAGTTAGGCTTTCTCTCTAGCTACTGCAAATAAAGATTATCGATAAGAACTCTTTTACTTAATAATTGATGAGCAAATGAAGTAATTGATAACTTGAACTGTCAATACATGGGTTGCATTCTTGCCATAGTATAGATTTTACAGTCTTGAAGGAAAAAGAAAATAGCTTTAGAATAGTAGAAGTAAGGTAGAAAAAGAAAGCTAGTCACAATATGATGTTGAGTAGGGGATTTTCTTTTGGTTTTTCAAATTTATCCTTTAGGCTAGGAGGATTGGTTGGGCTTTCTTGGATTTGATTGTGAAAAGTTACCTATTATATACTGTTTCCCAAGGTTCGCTACTTTATATCTGCTATAAGCTTTCCAGGATTTTGGCATAAATCCTTGTTCATAAGGTTTTTTCCTCCAGTCTAATGTAACATGACCTAATTACTCAGGAAGGATAATGCTTCCTCTGCTGATAACTGGAAAGAAGGGTAATTAGTGGAGGTTTTTTTAACAGGCATGTCATGTGTTGTTATGGAAGGAGCAATGGATCCTAGGGTTGAGAGTCTTAAGTTCAAATCCCATTTCTGTATCTAAAGCTTTATAGCTTTAAGTCATAGTTTCCCCACCCTTGGAAATAGAGGGGAACTGTGACATCCATTTATCCTATTTATGTATCTTCCATCTAAGGTTTTGTCAAGAATGACAGTATCTATAATCTTATAGAAAAATTGAGTGGCCAGTTTGGTTTGTTGTTATTTTTTAGTTCCCAGCAAGGTTTTATTCACTTGTTTGTGGTTAATTGGAAATATTTTGCCTGTTAATGTCATACTATTTTGTTTACTTTTATACTATGTTTTGCTTTAACTGTTTCTGTGGATTTTAAGCTCTGCTTTTGTTTTGCTATTGTACATGTTTAATTTTAGTTTTATTCATCTTTCATAGAGCTTTTCTGGAGATTTTGTGCATCGATTGCCTCTTTTAGGAGAAAGACAGGAGGTAATTGTTCTTCTTGTTATGTATTTCTGAGAGTGAAGTAGAAATTCTGAATTAATTAATAAATTAATTTTTTTTCTTTTTTCCTGTTTCAGGCTAAGGAGAATGGAACAAATCTTACCTTTACTGGAGACAAAACTGTAAGTGTGGTAGGGAATTTAGGGCATCAAACACATTTTAGTGTTCTTATGTTTGTTTACTTTAAATTCTTATCTTATGCTTACTTTTAAAAAGAAACTTAAGAATGGAAGCTATATACCAAAATGTTAATAATGACTATCTCTGGATGATATTGTGAGTGATTTTTATTTTCTTTGTGTTTTCTGTATTTTCCATGTTTGCTACAATCAGTGTATATTGCTTTGTAATTACCACCCTATAAATATTATTTGTAAATAGTAAGAAACTTTTAAGAAAGAACCTTGAACTCCAGAATTCCATCTAAAATTATCTTGTGATAGAATATAATTGGAAGAGTGTTATCTCAAAATTTACCCTTTAAAAATGCACAGTTAAGAGGTTTTTAGTTATGTGACCACCAATCACTATTTAATTCTAAACATCATCACCCCAGAAAGTAACCATGTAGTCATTAGCCGTCAGTCCTCATTCCTCTTTTCCCCCAGCTCTAGGCAATCACTGTTCTCTCTCTCGCAATTTGTGACCTATGTCTGGCTTCTTTCACAATTTAAAACTCTGTCTTAACTTTTACTTGCTTCTTGTATAGAGCCTCGAGATCAGTGGGGGTAAGTAATTAGGCCCTACTCAGGTCTTGATTGGGCACGTGTGCACCGTCTGGCACATATGTGCCCAGCCCTTAGTGTACTTGGAGCCTTCTAGATTTCCAGGAATATCTTGAAGGTTTTCAAAATGCCTATGGACATCTTATTTCCAAATTTTCCTTTTAAGTTTTTAGTCAGCCTCTTGATAGCCTCATCTGGTAATGTCACTTCAGGCAGCTGTGATCTTTCACAGTTGCTGCTGAGTATTTTGAAAAATTCCCTGACTACAGGGTCTTTCCCACGAATGAGCTCTGAAATCATATCATGTAAAAGATACACCCTGAGACTGGAGCTTTTCATCACCTAACAGACAGCTCTGGTGAATAGGCTTTAGGGGACCACCAGACTTTTCCACTGGCTGCCAAACTGCTGTTTTTCACAGCTGTTGAAATTGTGAGAACTTTCATTTTAAGGAGCTTAGAAAAAAGGTCAAGAAGTTACGGTGAACAAAAACACTACAGACTTGCTTTTCTTGCTGAAATTCAGGTGCTTTTTCTTGAAGAAACAGATCTCAGATGGGTTGCAAGTCTTCAGTTGATTTTGATAATTTTTGCCCATATTCTTGTTGCTTTTACTGGTGAGTGTATTTTCAGGGGTCTTTATTCTGCCATTCTGGAATTGTCCCCACTCTACCTACCCTGATTATAGCTGTACAGAATTTTAACCTAAAAATAAGTTTGGCATGGCAAGCTTCATTAAATTGTTTTTTTTTAAACAGCATCCATTGGGCTTTTTCTTGTTCACTGTCAGATATTTAGAAAATATACATCAGTGAAAAGAAGAAAAGAATCTTCTGTAATAATACCACACACTGATAGATTATAAACATTTATCTTCTAGTATTTTGTCTGTTTGCATTAAAAATGAGAATCTTATGTACTATATTGCAGCTTTTTAAAAATTTTAGCAATATAAGATAGACAGCCTTCCAGTTCAGTAAATATTGTATGGCATTGTTATTTCAATGACTGCATAGAATTTTATTATATGAATATGTTACAATTTGTTAGATTATCTGTTTTTGGACATTTTTATGTTTCATTATCCTGCAGTTGGAAACAGTGCTGTAGTGAATATTCTTGTAGATATATTTGTTTTTAGATCTTTTTTTCTGGTTTCAGAAGAATTCTGTGTTGGTGAACATTGGCTTCAATAACTTAAAAGTAAAAATCTTAATTTTCCTTTTAAGACCTGAAAATAATAAATTGCAAGTCTAAGTAGTGGTGCCTCCTTTCAGACATGAGAAAGAAGTAGCCAAGCATTTTTTATGTTTATCTTGTCTTTCTGTTATAGTTGTGCTTTTCTGAAGGTCCACAGTCTCTCTGGTGTGTAAGGCAACAACTCCTTTGGTGGCTTTTTGCTAAGGCTGTGCACAGACTAACTGGCCTTGGAACAGATAACCAGTTCCACAAGCATGGTGGCTATCAATTCTACTTCCTTGACTTTGGGGGACAGTGACTCTTGGCTTTTCATATAGCCTAGCTAAGATCAAATATTTTATATAAATGTAAGACCTTGTTAGTAGAAACTGTGGTGGTCCTGAGAAGGGCATTGAACGAAGGGAATTAGTTTCAGGAATTGGTGTTTATAAGTTACTGATGTCATCATTTGTGGTTTTTTCCAGGTGATTTAAACTAAATTTCTTTAGTTTGTTTGGGATATCTCTGTAAAATACAACCTGGCATCCTCTCATGACTTGGTTAAAAGTGAAGTGAGGTGAAGTGAAACTTGCTCAGTTGTGTCCGATTCTGTGACCCCAAGGACTACACAGTCCATGATATTCTCCAGGCCAGAATACTGGTCTGGGTAGCCTTTACCTTCCGCAGGGCATCTTCCCAACCCAGGAATCGAACCCAGGTCTCCCGCATTGCTGGCAGATTCTTTACCAGCTGAGCTACAACAGAGACTCAATTTAGTGATTTAAGCTGTTTCCCTCGTTTTAAAAAGTCATATGTGAATATTTTATTATCTAACCTACTTTATTATATATGCACTGTAAGCCTGTTTTGCCTACTGTATTAATAAGTAAAAGTGAAGGAATCGACCATGTTTCTAGGCACACTTTGGAATGAAATTTTATATTTTGTAATTAACCTGTGTTCCCAATTCTTAAGATTGAAAGATTTGATGTCTTCTTTCCACTGTAGGTAATGCATGATCCATTGAAAACTTGGCAAGATGCACCATACATTTTTATTGTACATGTTGGCATATCATCCTCCAAGGAATCATCAAAAGAAAATTCACGAAGTAATCTTTTTACCAGTAAGTATGTTTTGTTTCTTTTTGTCATTTGTATTACTACTATCTGGTTGTGTTGCATGGTGGGTAATGTCAAATTGCTTTAAAGAGGGAATAAACGAAGAATGTTGTCAAGTAGAAAAATTGAGGGAGAGAAATTAACATTTTTCTGCATCCAGGGTGAACAAGATACAGTTTTAGGTACTCTACTTATATTTTATTACTATGTATTATAGATATTAGATTTCATTTCCCTTTATTTGATACTCCTGCTTTTAACTTTTTCAGTTAGTATCATGTTCTCAATAGACTAGTTAAAATTTAGTTACTAAGTCAAGACTTGGACATTTTTAAATTAATTGACTTGTATTATTTTTTAATGTCTCAGTTTTTCTTACTATTCTCCTTTCTACTTTTGCCACCCATTTCAGGGAATCATCACCTGGAGTTTTACAATAACTTATTAATTAGTCTTGTTTTCTGTAGTTTCTTTTTTTGTTTCTTCCTTCTTTGCAGTTTTCTTCCCTCCCCTGCGTTTTCAAGTAGAATATTGAATAGAAGCAATGATGGTGGCCATCCTTATGTTGCTCCTGACTTTATTGGCAGTATTGGCACATTTCACCATTGAGTATGATATTTACTGTAGATTTTTCAAAATATTCTTTGTTTCAAGATTTTTTTTTTAAGAATGAATACTCAGTTTTATGGAATGTTTTAATCAAATTTATTAAATTGATCATATAAATTCCTCATTTAATTTGTTACTGTGATGCATTATATTAACTGATTTTTTAGTGTTAAACTGTTCTTGAATTTCTGAGGTGCCATTGTTTGGCCTTGAGACACACACACACACAGCTGGATTCTATTTTGTTTGGCCTTCACACACACACAGCTGGATTCTTTTGTTTGGCCTTCACACACACACACACACACACACACACACACACACACAGCTGGATTCTATTTTGTTTGGCCTTCACACACACACAGCTGGATTCTCTTTTGTTTGGCCTTCACACACACACACACACCTGGATTCTATTTCACACACACACACACCCCTGGATTCTATTACACACACACACACACACACACACACACACACACCCCTGGATTCTATTACACACACACACACACACACACACACACACACACACCCCTGGATTCTATTACACACACACACACACACACACACACACACACCCTGGATTCTATTACACACACACACACACACACACCCCTGGATTCTATTACACACACACACACACACACACACACACCCTGGATTCTATTACACACACACACACACACACACCCCTGGATTCTATTACACACACACACACACACACACACACACACACACACACACACCCCTGGATTCTATTTCTCACACACATACACACACACACCTGGATTCTGTTTTCCAGAATTTTATTTAGACTATGTTCACACACCCCTGGATTCTATTTCTCACACACATACACACACACACCTGGATTCTGTTTTCCAGAATTTTATTTAGACTATGTTCAAAGTAAAATTGGCCTAATATTTTCATTTCTTGTGTGTCTTCTGTGGGTTTTGATGTTCAGGTTATTGCTCATCTCATGCAATGAATCAAAGAATGTTCCCTGTTTTTATATTCTGTTGAACAGTTTTGGTAAGGATGGAATTATCCATTCCTTAAATGGTTTGATAGAACTCACTTATGGTAGTGTTTTGGCCTGATGTTGTTCTTTTTCTCCCCATGAAGATTTTAGACAACTGATTTTTTTTCTTTAATAGTAATAAATATTTTAGTTTTTCTATTTTTCCTTGAATTGGGGTTTTTCTTTTTTTCTTCCCCCTGAGAAATTTTCCATTTCATTCAGGATTTTAAATTTGTTGGCATAAAGTTAGTAATGATACTTCTTTTACCAAAAAAAAATTTTTTTTTATTCTTAATATTGCTTTTATGCCTTGTCTTTTTAACTTGCAAAATCTTTCTAGAATTCTGTTTTACTATATTTTTATTCCAATTAACCAGTTTTTTGTTTGTTAATTTTCCTATTTCATTGTCTTTTCATTAATTTTTATTCTTTATTTCATTTGACTTAATTTTAAACCTTTGTTTTATGGATTCTTGTATTGAATGTTTAATTCCCCAGACCAGAGATGGGTCTTATTCTCCATTATAATATGGAATATAGCAGATCTAGGCAAACCAGAGGTGACCTGGCAGTTTCTGGACACAAGGCATATGTATATCCTCCAGACCCATGGCTTTCTAATGGGCAATAGCCTCATTGAACAGTTGCTAGTGTTTACTTTGAACTTTCGTTCTTTGAAAAGGATGGAGAAGAAACCCTGCTCCCTCCAGTTCAACCTCTTCATTCATCAAATGACTCTATTCCCCCTTTATCTTGAACACCTGCTATTTTCAGTGATCTAGTAGAAGCTCCATGCTCAACTACTGCAGCTTTGGGACCCAGAGTCCACCTTGACCACGGGTTCAGTCTCAGGCACTGTTCTGCGTTTTTATTCTGTTTTGATATATGGAGCTGTTTATCGTTTCAAGCTCATGTCCTTTTTGTTTCCTCTCTCTTTTTTTGCTTTTGCTTTATCCATCTGTCATTTGGAACTAAGAAGGTGATACTCAAAACTTAACTACACCTTGTGGAAGCCCTAAAATTCTCTTAAGACAGTTTTATCTTCTTTTTTCCCTTCATTAAAACCTTTGGTATCTTCTGTTACCTATAAAATGTTTAATTCTGCAGCAGGACTTAGAAAACTTCACAGATTATTCAAGTTTACCTTCTTCTGCCTTGTGTCAAAATGCTACTATATAGTACCATGTGCAGTCTCAGAACTACATGTTCTTTAAATATATCCTGCATTTTCACAACCATGATCATTTTCTTTGATCATGTAATGTCCTCTGCCTAGATGGCTTTTTACTTTGTCATAGAAAATATACATTCTTCTGGGGCTGGCTCGGGGGGACAGTTCTCTGTTGCTTTCCAACTCCCTCTCATCTGGGGATGGTAATCCACTTGGTGGCAGAAAACATGCATCTTTCCATCTCCTATATTTTCCATAATGTGTGTCACATGGTAAGTGCTCAGAAAATGTATGTTATGTTTTAGCATAGGGCAGAGATTAGCTTTAGAGTGCCAGATAGTAAATGTTCTCTCTGCTACAACTACCCAACTCTGCCCTGTGGTGTAAATATAGCCATTGACAGTATATAAGTAAGTGGATGTGACTGTTTTCCGATAAAACTTTGGAATGCTTGGCCCAATTTGGCCCATGTACTGTATTTTGCTGACTTCTCCTGTAGAGTAAACAGAGAATGTGACAAATATTTACAAAGTATTTATATTTACTCTTTCATTAAATTAAGAAGGTTTAGGTTACTAACCAGTTTGGCTATGAAAGTTTTGTGATTGCTAATATGGGATGCTCCTTTTCTTCATATAAGTATTGGGTCTTACTTTTAATAATGGTATGTCCTTTCTGCTTGATAAAAATTAGTAAGAAATATTTGTTGCATAGTCTGTATCTGGAGATAGATGTCACTTTTCAGATAAAACAGTTTATTTATTAATCATACCTAAATTTTATCCAGGTAGTTTTTATCAGTTACAATTTAAAAATAGTCATAGGTTTACTTCAGTAAGGCAGATCTGTCTTTCACATCCTTATTGTTACTGTCATTTGTTTTGCTTCATTAAACACTTTGTTGTTATTAAGCATTTTCTGAAAATGATATGTTAATAGTAGGAAAGTTAAGTAAAATTGAAGTAGGTAAAAAAGAAATAGAGCAATAGGAAAACAGGTCAGGAGAGAGAAGAGGCAAAGAGGGTGACAGAATGAAGAACTGAAGCCCTGTACTTTGCAAAGCATGTTAGAGATGTGAGAAAAAGCATATGTGAAGTATGTTTGGAGTTTAGAGGAGATGAGGAATAGCTCCAGTTGGGCAGCTCACCAGGCTTTATGGATGAAATACATTCAGTTTGGTCTTTAAAGGACATGAGTGTGGGAAGAGAGGACTTCTCTACCAAAAATGGTGATGGAGCCAGAGACCTGTGCAGGACACAGCATGAACCATCAGAACACTTCATGGTTGAAATGGTTAAAAGTAAATTACCCAATGGAATTTTCATTAATTCCATCAAACAAATATCAGATGATGTTTCTGTTTAATTTTTTCATCCTTTACATTAATTCTGAGGACTGTGTTTTGGCAGTGACTGTTGAAGTGAAAGGTCCCTATGAATACCTCACGCTTGAAGAATACCCACTGATGATTGTAAGTGAACTTAAATTCTTTAACCTCAACATTAAATGTGTTTAACTTGTTTCGAGGCAGTATTAAAGACTTGTTCCTGAACAGTTAAGAAAATACTGTTTGTGGTTCTGTACTTACTTCTTACTAGAATATGGTCTTGGGAGTATCAGTGAACCCCTCCATGCCTCATTTTCTCATTTATAAAATGAAGAATTCAATGACTTGTAGACTTTTAGAGTTGGAGAATACCTGATTCACTTTTGACATCTCTTGAATCCAAAATGGGGTACTTAAAACTCTGTAGTTTCTGATCCCACTTAGTATGACTAAATGATGATGCTTTCTCCTTTTCAGTCTGTGTCTGTCTGAAAACATCCTTAATCTATTTTCAGGTTTCTTTTTGTTCATGATTGTTGTTTTTTCCTCGTACTTTTATAGTTTTCCTACTCTGGAAAAGTAGCCTTCAGCTGTATCCTAACCCTGCCTTGCCTTTTTTCCTCTATGTGTTGTCTTCATTTAAATAATTTTTGATTGTGAGCTAAAAAAACCCTTTTAATACAGAAGAGTGGTCACTCTTGATGACAGGTCCTTAGGCAGTCTCCCTCTGCCGAAAAGGAGACAATTTTTTCATCTTAGTATTGAACTTGACAGAAATAAAGAATAATTTTTTAAATAGAATGTGTAATATGTATATTTTTTATAATATGTTAAGACTATGTATAGATTCTAAATTGGCTCTTGGCCCTAATCCTTCTTTTTTTCTTTTACCCACTTTGATCACAGTTTTTCATGGTGATGTGTATTGTATATGTCCTGTTTGGTGTTCTGTGGCTGGCATGGTCTGCTTGCTATTGGAGAGATCTCCTGAGAATTCAGTTTTGGATTGGTGCTGTCATCTTTCTGGGAATGCTTGAGAAAGCTGTCTTCTATGCAGAATTTCAAAACATCCGATACAAAGGAGAATCTGGTATGTACCAAAAAATGTTTGCCAGTTGGTGAGTGATTGGTAGGTGAGACTTAAGAACAATTTTCCCAAGGTCAGCAGTCATTAAGTAGGTGTAGCTTTTTAGTTACTTGATTATGAGAACAACTTAAGCAGAATCACTGTGCTTGTGAAATTGTTTTTAATGTCTTAACTTGTGGGGTCAGTGATTTAAGAGTAAGGTATGGAAAAAAAAAAAAGTAAGGTATGGTACTGAAGTCGCTTGGTCATGTCCAACTCTTGGCGACCCCATCGACTGTAGCCTACCAGGCTCCTCCGTCTGTGGGATTTTCCAGGCAACAGTACTGGAGTGGGTTGCCATTACCTTCTCTAAAGGATCTTTCCGACCTAGGGATCAAACCCAGGTCTTCCCGCCACCAGGGAAGATTTAAGAATAATTTTATTGAAATATACTCTCAAAAGTTGCAACAGTAGTGGCCATTTTGGGAATATTTTCACCATTATTGAATCTTGGTTGCTATTGATTTTTAAGGTACCATTATTACATGCATCTAAGAAATAAGAAAGAAAGTAAATACTACTAATTTAATTGTAAGATGCCATTGATTGTAAGACACACCTTGATTTCAAAGCTACCTTAGAGGTGTGTGGGTTGTATCTATTTGGTAAAATATAGTAATACCATGAAAATAGAAGAGTATTTGTGGTTTAGTAAGGTGAACAGGTAATAATAGAAATTGTTTTGTACTGAAGTGTTTTTTGATAGCTTCAGTTCTCTCATCAGACCGTATAATTATTTTTTTCATTTAATTATTAGTAACTATTATTGTAAGATATACTAATTAGAACTTTCTCTAGTCTTTGAAATGGCTTGAAAATAATAGATGTAAAAAAGAGTTGAAAATTCTGTTTGTGTTTTGTGCTTTTCTGTGCTGTATTTCACAGTTTTTTTAAAATGGGAAGAATTCTCCTTAGATGCTACAAATTAGATCCTCTGGAGAAGGAAACGGCAACCCACTCCAGTATTCTTGCTTGGAGAATCCCATGGATGGAGGAGCCTGGTTGGCTACAGTCCACGAGGTCGCAAAGAGTCGAACATGATTGAGTGACTTCACTTCACTTCAGGGTATTCTGAGGTTTTAGTGAAGTGGGCGGTGGAGAGGGAAAGTAAGTTGACACACCCACATTACCCTCCACTTGAGGAAGATCCTAAATGATATCAGCTTCTACTTGTAAACATTGGCAGAATTGGTATTCTTTTCAAGTAGGACTGATATCAATGTTTATTCTGAAGAATGTTAGAAATCTACATTTTGGGTCTAGAATTGTACCTTTTCCCAAACTTGGATTACATGCTGCACTGCTTTTCCGTTTTTTTCTTTCTCACAGTCCAGGGTGCCCTAATCCTTGCAGAGCTGCTTTCTGCAGTTAAACGCTCACTGGCTCGAACCCTGGTCATCATAGTCAGTCTGGGATATGGCATAGTCAAGTAAGTATTGTCTTTAAGTATTGCCTTCCTAAATGGAAGAGCAAATTAAAATGCTGATTAAGTTGAAACTGTTTCAGGTTCCCAATGTCATTCTGAAAGAGTTTATATAAGAGATAGTTATGAAGTCAAAAACATCTGAAATTTTGTAGATTCGCAGAAGTTGGAAAAACATTAGGGTTTGATTTCACTGGTTAGAATTCAGGGAGCATCACAGGAAACCTGCAATGTAGCAAATGACATTGAAACATCAAACTTTTAGAGTAAACTTGTCTTTACTCTTCCAAAATATTCTTGCAAATCAGATTTTTTAAATAGGAGGAGTGTTCTTGGGTACCTTCTATATGTTAGACATTGTTCTAGGTCCTAGGGCTACAGCAAGAAAACAAAAGACTTGGAGTTTACATTTATGGGTGGGCTGGTGCACAGACAAAGGTTTGTGAGTGAAAAGTCTAATGTGTCGGTGAGCAGATAAAGCAGGGACAGGGTATAGAGAGTTCTAACCAGGAGGGGGAACTTGAAGTTATAATTATGGTGGTCAAGGAAGGCTTCACTTAGTGACATTTAAGAAAAGATCCAAGTTAGTGAAAGAACTATATACACACCCAGGGGAAGAGATGCTAAGATGTGGTCAGATGCTTTTACATTTTGAAGATGGAGACAATGGACTTCGCTGATAGAGCAAATATATGATATGAAAGAAGAAAAACGAATCGGGGATGATGCCAATGATTAATGTTTTGACCTAAGCAAATAGAAGGATGGAAGTGACATTAACTGAGTTCAGGAAGATCTTAGGTGGAATAATTGGGAGTAGAGCCAGGATTAAGAGTTCAGATATCCGAACAAGGGAAGTAGGAGAAAGAAATTAGGGCAGAGATATAATAAACTTGGGAGTCATCAGGGCATAGATGTTATTTAAAGCCTTGAGATAGGATGTGACCATCAAGGAAGTGAATGTATATAAAGAAGAGGTCAAAGGATTGATCCCTTGAACTATTATTTAGAAGTCAACGAAGTGAAGTAAAATTGTTGTAGTTCAGTTGCTCAGTCATGTCCAACTTTTTGCAACGCCATGGACTGCAGCACAGCAGGCTTCTCTGTCCTTCACCATCTCCCAGAGTTTGCTCAGACTCAGCTCCATTGAGTCGATGGTGCCATCCAACCATCGCATCCTCTTTCGTCTCCTCCTCCTCCAGCTTTCAATCTTCCCTAGCTTCAGGGTCTTTTTAGGGCAGAAGAAATTGAGAAGTGACTAGTGAACTGGGAGACGAAGCTGAAGACTGTTTTAAGAAGGGAGTGATTAATTGTGTCAAGTAAGAGGATTGAGATGTGAACACGGGCTTTAACTACATGAATGATATTAGTGACCTTAAATAAGAGTGGTTTTGGTGAGGGGCAGAACAAAAAGCTTGATTGGAGTGAGTTTAAGAGAAAATAGGAGGAATTTTCTTAAATAGGGTAGAGGAATTAGGAGTTAGGTATAGGCAGTTATTTTCAAGGTGTTTTGCTTTAAGTGGAATTAAAGAAATGGGAGACCTTAATTTTTAAAATTTATTCATTTATTTAAGAGAGTTTTGCTTTAAATGGGGTTGGGGTTCTCACTTTTGCAATTTATTTATTCATTTAATGTGTGTGGTTGCTTGCTGTAGGACAGGAAATATTCTGGGTTTCTAAGATAATACCAGATAATACCAAACTGTCCATTTGCAGTTTCTCTAGTGTATAACAAAATGTAAGAACAGGCATTGGTAAGGCTTAGGTAGACATGGTTTAAGGCAGTGCATCTCACACTATCATGCTCTAATGAATCATCTTGGGGTCTTGTTAAAATGTATATTTTGATTCAAAGGTATTTGAATCTCAAGGGTCTAAGATTTTTCCTCGGATGACAATGAAGCTACTCGGACTTCTCATTTTTGTTGAATTTTGAACATAATAACAGGCTATTTAATGAGTTTTAATAAGATTTTGACTGTGTTAAATAACTTAAAATTTTTAGATTTGATAATGATATCGTGGTTGTTTTCTCAAAGTCCATATCTGTTTAAAATATATAGAAATACATATATATAAAAGGTAAGATCTCTAGGAATTGTATCAGGATAATATGGGGGGTGGAAAGTGGATGAGATGTGCATGAGGCAGGAGTAGTTGTAGGTTGATGGTTTTTGGGACTGGATAATGGGTTTATAGGGGTTCATTTTACTATTGAATATATTTCAGGATTCTCTGTAATAAAAAGGTTTTGAAAAATTTAGTAATAAGGGATTGGATCTCAAGTTCTAGTGTTTACTGTCTTGATTTAAAACCATACATCTATTTGAGTTTTTTTTTCAGGTAGATCAAGTATGCCTAGCTTATCTCTGTTAAGTTGTTAGCCTGTGTTAATCAACATGAGTTTCTGTTACTTAACTTGTCTTGGGGTTTGTTGCATTTGTACTCAGCTATCTCTTTTCTTCCTCTTTAGGCCTCGCCTTGGAGTCACTCTTCATAAGGTTGTGGTAGCAGGGGCCCTTTATCTTTTGTTCTCTGGCATGGAAGGGGTCCTCAGAGTTACTGGGGTCAGTACTGCTCAATCTGAGTTTTTGTGGTCCTTTTCCATTTTGTGATAATTTTGTTTTTGTCTTGAAGTTAATTAGAAGTGTCTGTGGGCTTCTTTACTGTTTTCCTCTAAGTCACCTTTGGGCTCTTGTTTCCAAAACATATGTATAATTTATTTTTCTTTTTAACCTCTTAGAGCTTTATACATTTAATGTGTGATGAGATGTGAATGCTTTCCCACCTGTCCCCAAATTACTGCTTATTTACTAGTTCCTCAGTGGAAAGCAACAATGGAGCAGTGGGCTCCATTCTTGCATAAGTGACAAGCATTTTTTGGTTAATCTAATTTTTGTTTTAAAGTGACAGTGCTCTTTGCTTAACCAGGACTGGAATTTCAGAGGTTTCTTAAAATTGAACTGATTATATTTTATATAATTATTGAGAATTACATAATTATGCCTTTATCAGGGATGAAAACCAAAGCACTGAGATATATGATAAAGAAATTTATGTTAGAGCTGGTTTAATTTGAAGAAGTGGGCCTCCGTAGCTCATTACTCTCTGTAATCAGTTATCAGATTAAAGATGATAAATGCTGTAAATTTTTCTCTCAATTAAACTGAGCTCAGTAAGTTTTGCAACAAATTGCCCCTTAAGTGAAACACTTTATGGATGCACATTTGGTTTTCAAGTTTCACTGTCCTCTGTATGTAATTTTCTTAGAGTTTCAGCAACTTTAATCCTGTCAATTTCATTTTCTTTCTCCTATTACTGTAGTATTTTTCTTATCCCTTGACTTTGATAGTAAACCTGGCCCTCTCAGCAATTGATGCCTGTATTATTTTATGGATATCCTTTCAATAATGCCCTGGTGATTGAGTAATTAGGATTAAATAAGTAAATAGTATCTTAAACTTAGGAAAACAAGCAGCATAATTTTGGGGACAGATACTTACTTGCCTTACATCTTGTTTTGAGATGAGCTTTTTTCGTAAAATATGTTGTATACAATTCTAGAAATCAGTGATTCTTAGTATATAAATGATGCAGAAAATTTTGAATGTGAAAAGAGTCTTTGACTCAAAATCAAAATGATGAAAAATGATAGGTTGGGATGGGAGCGTATACTGCCACAACATTTTTGGTATAGTCACTTCTTAATTTGGATCTTAATGTGGTGGTTGTCCCTTATTAGTTAGCAGCATATTTCACTGTGTTGAGATTGTAGTCAACAAGTTGTGTGAAATGCTAACAGCTGTATATTTTGCATGATGGTTTATCAGAAGGGAAGAATGATGTAGGTACCACATGTTACTCCACTTTGTTTTCTTTAAGTTAAAATGCAAAAATCACTCCAGTTAATTATATAAATGCAGAATCATGTGCTGATTTCTTCTCTATGCCTCTCTGGACATCTCTTTTTTCACCATCTCTTTTTCTTTGTCTGCAGGCCCAGACTGATCTTGCTTCCTTGGCCTTTATCCCCTTGGCTTTCCTAGACACTGCCCTTTGCTGGTGGATATCCTTCTCATTGGCTAGTTTGATGGCCATCCATTTTCTTCTTTTGGAAAAAATGATCTTTCTATAAAGGGTTTTTTTTTTTTTTTTAATTTGTTGATTACTCCTTAGTCTGGGATTAGGGAATTTTCAGTCTAAAAACCTGAGGCCTGAGGTAAGCAGTTTTCTTGTTTGTTTTTAATTTTTCAAATTGCATCAGAAATTAGTGACTGTGTCTGAGCACAAAATACAAACTTCTAGCTTTCCTTTTATTTATTTACTTTTTACACCTACCTGTCCTCCTTTTTTTTTAAAATGAACTTTGACTTTGGACTTATTTGTCCATCCCACTTAGTGTTAGAGTAACTGACTGCTCTGCCATTTCTTTCAGCCTCTAGGAATTATTAAATGCTTTGAAAACTATGAAAAAATTTTGATTCTTAAAATATGATTTCAAGACTTCATAAGGTTATTTGACTCTTAAAATTCTATATGAGTTTAGCAGATTTAAGTCCTTACAGGTCAAATGTTTTGAACCCCTGTTCAGAAGGTGACTTGTAATTGTCTGAAGGCTTCCACTCTTTGAAGTAAATTTTGATTCATTTGCAGGTGAAGTCAGTCAGCACACAACAGACAAATTTCTTTTTCTCCTGCTTCTTAAAATTAAATACTGTTTATTAGAGATTTGGCCTATTGAATGAAGGATTTGAGTTTTGGGATTTTTTTTTTTTTTTTTTGGTTTTATGTATATGCTTCTAGGTATAATTGTGCAATATTATTGTCTTGATAAACTAATGGTATAAAAGGCTGAATGTAAACAAAATAAGTTTATGAATTTGAGTAGATTGTCATTTATCAAAGATCTTTGAAATTAAAATGTTTTTGGTTCAAATGATCAAGCTTTCCTACATCAGTATCTTTCAAGTGTGCTTTGTGAATCTCTGTAAATACAGGGAGGAATGAAGAGGAAAGTGGGACAAGACCAAACGGAGAGAGAACCCAGTGTTTAGGTAGCAGCTAGATATTTGTCAAAGCACAGAACAAGCTCCAGCTCACTCATTTTTGTGTCTGCTCATTCTGAAAGTTGGATATGAGGGTAGATATCCTCTTTAGTAGTCATCAGTTCCCCTTCTGTCTTCTGTGGCAACTTCTCCTTGGGAATAATGTTCTGAAAATGGAGAGTCATTACTTTCAGAGGCTAACTGCCTGGAATACTCAGCCAGTTGTAGTTGTACCATCCTTTTAATTCGGGATCAATCTAGCTGCGGATGGTAGTTTTCTTAATGTTACACGAGGGATCTAAGTGTAGAACTGTAGAAGGTTATAGGCATAAGTATTTATGACCCTAGGCTAGGTTAGCTGGGACAGTGAGAACAGAGTTACTTAACCTTAGAGGAAGAGAAAAGAATGCCGACTCCTATTCCCTTGCCTGTTACTCATTTTCATTTTCTTCCATTTGTCTTCATTTTCTTTTTCATTTTTGTTTCTCTGGAAAGCTGCTTCCTGTCTTAATTTCTCAATTTTTAATAATTTTTCTCTTCTTTTTTTTTCTTTTTCCATTCTCATTTTATCCTGGTTCTATCTACTCTTCAGTATCTCATTGAAAATGAAGACTTTCTTAGTAATCATGTTGAGGCCTGGGAGTGTTTGTGAGATTGAGAATAAGCAAGCTGTAAGACCTCTTATCATTAAGATAATATTTTCAGAGAAACTTGAGAATTAATTTACTAGCTTATTGTTTTTTTCTGAATGTTAATTTCCTTGACCTTCAAACACATATTTATTAGCCTGACTCAAACAATGAAGCTATTAAAACTTAGGCGGAACATCGTAAAACTCTCTTTGTATCGACATTTCACCAACACACTTATCTTAGCAGTGGCAGGTAAGTCTTCCTGATGTTTAAATGGGATCCTTTTAGAGTAGAGATTCTTAATCCGAGAGATCATAGGTGGACTCTTTAAAATTAGATAGAAAAGTTTTTGTGCATTTTTCTTGGGAAAGGGGTCTTTAGCTTTTGTTATTCTCTAAGGTGTCTGTGGTTCAGAAGAGATTGAGAATCATTTAAGTATAATAGATGAAGAATAATTGCATTTACTTTCAGTTCTTAGTATATCTCTATCCTGTATTCATTCTTTTTTCTTGAGGCAAGTTAGTTTCAGTGCCATACAGCATTCATATTTATTTTAGAAGACATTAATTAATACTTCCTTGCTATAGAGTTTTAGGTCAGGATATGTTGCCTTTATATTCCTTCCACATCTGTTACTAAGCATGCATAAAATATAGGCATTAGGTAGACCACAGCCAAAGTAGGTTTATTTTTTGCCTTTTGGCTCTTGTAACCAGTATAGTGAGGTCTGACCTATGATTGGAACCAACAGTTGTGTTTTACAGTCGTTTTATCAACCTTTCCCCCCATTTGACTGGCTAACAAAAAATTAACATTTACAATATTAAGGGTAAAGGAAGGGAAAAAATTATTGCTATTGCTGGTAAAAGCCATATTTTCAATATTGTCTTTTCCAGTTCTCAGGGTTACTGAAGTAGTCAGATAGTAAACAAAACTACTTTTTTAAGTACAGAAATTTTTGACAAGAGTACGTATCGTGGACCTTGTATCGAGTAGTTAAGTAGTTTTGTATTGAATAAGTGTGTAAAATAACAGAAAGTGTAGTGATCATGTTTGGGGGTTAGGGATGTGTGAGGTTCCACTTAACCAGAATTGAACGATGTAATGGGGGATGTAAACCAGCATTCACACTGACGTTTGTTTTTTCTGTTTCCTCTTAGCATCTATTGTGTTTATCATCTGGACAACCATGAAGTTCAGGATAGTGACTTGTCAGTCGGTGAGTTAACAAACAGCATGCCTTTAGGATCAGTGTACTGCTCTTGTGCACAGACAGTTACGTTGATGACAGTGGCAAGGTTTACATTTTATAGAAAGTTAGGGTCAGGTCTTCATTCTGGGAGTTAGAATGCTTCTTTCCTCCTGAGTATTTTATATATACCATATATGGTATATACAAGTAGTTCAAGAGAATTTTATAAATGATAACCACAGACTGTCATAACCCAGTCTTGCCTTAACTAAAGATTCTCAAACAAAAAATCCAGAGTCTTAAACATTAAGTTTGTGTGAATAATGCTGATCTGAGTAAAAACCACGTCCTTAAGATCTGAGCACAAAGAATATGGCCAATAACCTTTCTTTGGAGGGAGCTCAAGTTCTAGTATGGTAAAATTAAATAAATAGAAGTGAAAATTATTAAAAAAACAACAACCTGATATTATTTTCTCTTACCTTGTATAAAAACCCTTTCCTAAAGATTCTCAGCTACAATGAACCACTGACAGGTACTCTTGTCTGCTTAGAGCCTTTTCTTTAGTAAACACTACAAGGAAAGAAATTAGGTTCATTTACTTTGTTTCCTAAGCACGTGGCACAGTGCTTATTAGCACATAACAGGCCCTTAGTACATACAAGTTGAATGAATAAATAAGTGGTTCTTGTTCTATGCAAAGGGCTTTGCGAACAGCTGGTTAAGATGGTATATTAATATATAAATTTTTGCTCCCCTTTTGGTAGGATTGGCGGGAGCTGTGGGTGGATGACGCCATCTGGCGATTGCTGTTCTCCATGATCCTCTTTGTCATCATGGTTCTCTGGCGACCATCCGCGAATAACCAAAGGTTTGGGGACACTTCTTAGTCAAGCTGATAACCACTAAATGGATGTGTTATCAATTAGGCGTGGTTCAGTGAGTGACACTGTTAGGGCTGTGTCATATAATGGAAGTAATACTTTGTGGGTCCATATTTAGGAAATTGGGCTTATGTACTATTAATTTGAGTTGTGATTTTCAATATGCTGCCTCTCTTCATCTCTCTGAGCCTTAGTTTCCTTTTCATATAATGAGGGGGGAAATTGTTTCCTATTGATATGAGGTCCTTGTCAGTTCTGACATCTTCTGTTAATATTTGTACGGGTAAGTAAAAGGGAAGTAGATTGTGACAATTGTAATGAGGGTATCACCTATCTACTTTCCAGGAGGAAAGAACAATTTGTATAGTTGTTAGCTCAGCTTACTGTAACAACAGAAAGGGTAAAATGAGAACTTAAGTGACTGTGGAATAAAAATTGATATGTGAATTTGCTTTATTTTTGGGCAAATCTCAATTATTTAGGAGTTGGCTGTCTTTATTTTGTTATTAGCCATACCTTTGTTTTCCTTATTTTTCTCCTTTCTTCTTGTGCTTTAGACAATTGTGAGTTTATATTATACAGCTGCACCACCAAAGAGGGAAAAGGTTGAGATGGTATAACCAACGGTCTGATGACCCTGCTTTACATTAGTTTTTTTTTTAATAGATAGACGTCTCATAGATTTATTTCTGTGTCATGTTATGTATTGATATATGTATGTATACTCTCTTTTTATTGTCAATATAGAAATTTATTTGAATTCAAAATAACATGGTTATATTTGGATATTGAGGTCCTGGTATCTGGATGTCAGCCTCCAGCTTCTGGTTGTGCTGGAATGCGAAGCATGTCCACATACAGGGCCTTCCAGATGCCACACGTTCTGCAGAACGCAGGCCTCCAAAGTATTGCATGTAGGATATACTTGCCTTTGGCAGCCAGGCTGACGATTGATAGGTGTCAAAACTTATCCTTCTGAGCCTCAGTGAGTAGGGGAAGATTCTGGGCTTCATCTCAGTGGTCAGCATATGTCCCGCAAGCAAACGCCATCAACAGCTGCAATGTGGAAGCAAAGTTCCCCTTAACCAGCTCTCTAACGTTAGGCATACCCAGCAGTTCCCCAAATATGTAGACATCAGCACCTGGTGGATGAATGTTGCCAGTGCTGCCCCCTTGACTGACTTGGTCAGGAGCAGAAATTGCTCTTGGTTCTCCCTTGTCACGTTTATCTCAGCACTCGTGGCTGCACTGAGCTGAAGGGACCTGGGCTCAGGAAGTGTTAAACTTCCATGTGGCTCTGCCTCCTTTCTTAATGAGGCTGCGCAGAGACCAGGGCCTCCTGCCGACTGCCTCCTCATACTCTGGGTCAGACTCTGCAGGCCACTAGCTTGGAAGCTTTGTCTTCCAGTGTACTGCGCAGGGCCACTGCTCTTATCATTTCTGGCAGCTTCTCAGTCGTCACTGCCACCTCCCTCTACAAATTGATCTATTGATCTTCTGCTCATTTGCTGGCTATATCTATACACAAGAATTTTCGCTTTCTTCAGTCTTTTAAAAAAAATGTTTGCTTTACCTCTCTTCCTTTCTCCTTTTTTAAAAGTACATTGTGCACACTCCCTGTAACTGCAGTGTTAATAGCCTAATGTGATGTATTCTTCCACATTCTATTACTTGTTCACATTTGGAATCTTCTTTTACTCACTCAACAGTGCACTGTTGAATGCACGAGATAACTGGTTTAAATTAAACCATCTATTTTCGTGGATGGCATTATATATATTACATGGTACAGATGTACTACAATTAATTAACTTGTTTCATATTAATAGGCATTTGGACTATTTCCACTTCGGGTGTTTCAGGGTTTCCAAGGCCACATATGTTTAAAAGGACTCATGAGACTCAGTATACAGTTGTACTTTTTTTAAAAAATTGATTAATTGTTATTTATTTTTGGCTGCACTGGGTCTTCACTGCTGCACAAGGACTTTCTCTAGTTGTGGTGCATGGACTTCTCATTGCGGTGGCTTCTTTTGTTGAAGAGCACAGGTTCTGGAGTGCACAGGCTCAGTTAGTTGCATCTTGTGGGCTCTAGAGTGTGAGTTCAGTAGCTGTGGAGCACAGGCTTAGTTGCCTTGCAGCATGTGGAATCCTCTCAGAACAGTGTTCGGAACCCATGTTCCCTGCATTTGCAGGGGTATTATTAACAACTGGACCACCAGGGAAATCCCAGAGCACAGTTTGTTACAGCAAAATGGTGAGATCAGCAAGAGAAAAAGACACAGGTAGAGTATAGAAAAATCCTTGTTTGCTGATGTTCTTCGCCTCCTCTAAGGAAGTATTTATACATCATGCATGCTTCTTTTCCCAACACAAAAAATACAGTAATGTTTCTGCCCATGGAAGACCATTAGAGACTCAGCACTCAGGTTATTACTGGCGCCTGGCCATGTAAGCACCTCGTATCTTCATGCCTGCCAAGTGTCTTCAGTCATATCCGACTCTGTGCAACCCTATGGACTGTAGCCTGTCAGGCTCCTCTGTCTATGAGATTCTCCAGGCAAGAATACTGGAGTGGGTTGTTATGCCCTCCTCTAGGGGGTCTTCCCAACCCATGGGTCGAACCTGTGTCTCTTATGTTTCCTGCCTTGACAGGTGGGTTCTTTACCACTAGTGGCACCTGGGAAGCCCCACTTTGTACCTAATATGCACCAAAATTCCAAAAGCCCAGAAGTAAAGCAAATTTTATTATAGATTGCATTGTACAGACAGCCTAGGTACAGTGGCCCACCTTAACCTAGGGAACAGTTCAAGTACCAAGTTACTGGACATCAGCCATGGAGCATCACTGTAAGTAGGTCCTTCTAAAGGCCTGCTGTGAATGCAAACTATTATATATAGAATGGATAAGCAAGTTCCTATTGAATAGCACAGGGTACTATATTCTATATTCTGTAATAAACTATAATGGAGAAGGATATAAAAAAAGAATGTATATGTATATAACTGTATCACTTTTCTTTACAGAAGACATTAATACAACATTGTAATCTATACTTGATAAAAGAAAAATAAAAATTATGGTTACTTTAAAAAAAAATCCAGCTTCAATCTAAATAAATAATGGCTTGTAAATAAATAGTAAATATTACTGTATTACTGTAATAGTAAATATTACTATAAATAAATACCTTTTATGCACAGGAACATTAAAAATAGGAATAAGCTATAAGAATGTTTTAAATACCCTTGTACATTTTACCGACCCAAACTTGGTCTTGTTGCCTGTGCACAATAAGGTCCATCTGCTGACCCTGGGTTGTGGTGAAGCAAAGTACAGTGTTTATTGCAGAACACAAGCAACGAGTCCAGGCAGCTAGGCTTAAAAGACCCAAACTCCCCTGTGGTTTTCAGAGAAACTTTTTTTTTTTTTTCTTTTTTAGCTCGCCAGGCTCCTCTGTCTCTGGAATATTCTAGCTAAGAATACTGGAGTGTGTTGCCATTTCCTACTCCAGAGCAGAGAAAGGTTTTTAAAGATAGGGGCTAGGGGTATGGGTGCATGATGAGCTCATGAACATTCTTCTGATTGGCTAGAGGTGAGATAATTGGGAGTCGGTACCCATCAACCTTCTGGTTCCAACCAGTCTGGGATCTGTCGACTTTTGGCATCACATGGTTCCTCCTGGTGGGGGTTTCAATATCTGAAAAACAGCTCAAAGGATATGGCTTAGACTATTATATGTAGCCCATAAGGAGGAACTTGAGTGTCTTTGACTTTGTTAAATGGCTGAAATATTATTGTTTTGTCTTGCTTGACTGTTTTCCTTTGCTTCCACATTTTCTCATTTCTCTGATTGAATTTTTTCCTTGGAACTTGGGGAAGGCCTAGGAAGCTAAAGTTTTTCTACAAACAAAAGGCCAGCAGAGGGTTTGGAGCCAGGGAGGAGGGAGGCAGCGGGGGGAGGAATTATCCCAGGAAGATCGTAGAGGGTCCTGCTCAGTTACATACATTTATTTTTATATCCTCCAGTACCCCTATGCCCCATTTTTTTCTTTCAGTGCACTTATTATCATCTAAAATGTATATACTTTATTTATTGTGAACTATCTACCTTTTCTTTCCACCCCCCACCCCTCAAACCAGAAGTATGTTCCACAAAGACCAAGAAATGTTCCTGGCTACATGGAGTTAGCCAAGCTGCTGAATCTGAGGGAATGGTCCCTATAGACTGTCTCCAGTTTTGACACACAATTGCAAGTTCAAGGGTTTGCAGAACCAGTTCAGATTTGATAATTCACTAAAAGGACTCAGAACTCACTGAAAGCTGTTGCATTCATGGCTGTAGTTTATTACAGAAAAGGGGTAAACATTAAAATCAGCTTGGAGGAGAGACTTAGAATACAGAGTCCAGGAGGGGTCCAAATGCATCTCTCCCAGTTGTCTGCTCCCCATGGAGTCACAGACGGTGTTCCTTCCTCCTGGTTGCACTGTGTGTATGCCGATGATAGTACACACTGATATTGCCCACTGAGGGAAGCTCCCCCGGGCCTGTGGGACACTACTGGGGTTTGATTGCCTGCTGCCTGTATGGCTAACCTTCAGTCTCCAAGGGGGCCTGGAGGTCAAGCTTGTAATCTTTAGTTGCTAGTTCTCTGGAGACTGGAAGTGATATTGTGTGCCCCAGAGTATGTGCTGTGTTTAGTCACTCAGTTGTGTTCGCCTCTTTGCAACCCCATGGACTATAGCCTGCCAGGTTCTTCTGTTCGTGGGGATTCTCCAGGCAAGAATACTGGAATGGGTTGCCATGCCCTCCTCTAGGGGATCTTCCGAACTCAGGGATCAAACCCAGGTCTCCTGCATTGCAGGTGGATTCTTGACTGTCAGAGAGCTTAACACAAATCACATTATTAGACTATCCTGTGGCCACAGCCAGAGTGGGTAACCAGTGACATTCATATCAGGCAGGGCATGCCAGGAACATAAAGATCACCTCCTGCTCTCTCATCGCGTGGCACGCCTTCAAGAAGGCGCCGAAGAAAGACAAGAAGCCTAAGAAGTCAACCTGGAAGTTTAATTTGGATCTTACTCACCCAGTAAAAGATGGAATTTTTGATTCTGGAAATTTTGAACAGTTTCTGCAGGAGAAGGTTAAAGTGAATGGAAAAACTGGAAATCTTGGGAACGTTGTTCACATTGAACGCTTCAAGAATAAAATCATAGTCGTTTCTGAGAAACAGTTCTCTAAAAGGTATTTGAAGTACCTTACCAAGAAATATCTTAAAAAGAACAATCTTCGTGATTGGCTTCGTGTGGTTGCATCTGACAAGGAGACTTATGAGCTTCGTTACTTCCAGATTAGTCAAGATGAAGATGAATCTGAGTCTGAGGACTAGATGATGCCATCCTTTATAGGGCTTTGTTTGCTAATAAAACACATTAAGCATACAAAAGAAAGAAACATCTTGAAATGGACCTTTAGCTTATCGGTGAATAAAAAACATTACTCTGTATGTTAAACATTCATCTTTTATTTAAGTGTATGCTGTTTATATGGTGCTGGCTTTCCTTTAATACTTTTTTATATTTTTATTGGAGTGTAGTTGATTTACAATGTTGTGTTAGTTTCAGGTATACAGCAAAGTGAATGTGTAAATAAACTTTTGTCCACCCTGCCCCCTCCAAATACTTTGTATAAGCAGTATTTAAGTAGCTTATAGCTAGTGGAATTTCAGGATTTCTGTAATGTACTGATTTTAGAGATGTCCTCAAGTTAAAAGTATATAACAAAAATACAATTTGGGGTGTAAGTATATAATAAAATATTTAGATTTGAAAAAAAAAAAAAAGATCACCTCCTATTAGTCAGGGGCAAAGACTAGGTCTCTCTGTGTATACAAGGTGAATTTTTTTTTTCTCGTAATATTTATTTATTTATTTATTCTTCTATTCTTTTTTTTTTCATTTATTTTTATTAGTTGGAGGCTAATTACTTTACATTATTGTAGTGGGTTTTGTCATACATTGACATGAATCAGCCATGGAGTTACATATATTCCCCATCCCAATCCCCCCTCCCACCTCCCTCTCCACCCGATTCCTCTGGGTCTTCCCAGTGCACCAGGCCCGAGCACTTGTCTCATGCATCCCACCTGGGCTGGTGATCTGTTTCACTATAGATAATATACATGTTTTGATGCTGTTCTCTCAAAACATCCCACCCTTGCCTTCTCCCACAGAGTCCAAAAGTCTGTTCTGTACATCTGTGTCTTTTTTTCTGTTTTGCATATAGGGTTATCATTACCATCTTTCTAAATTCCATATATATGTGTTAGTATGCTGTAATGTTCTTTATCTTTCTGGCTTACTTCACTCTGTATAATGGGCTCGAGTTTCATCCATCTCATTAGAACTGATTCAAATGAATTCTTTTTGATGGCTGAGTAATATTCCATTGTGTATATGTACCAGAGCTTCCTTATCCATTCGTCTGCTGATGGGCATCTAGGTTGCTTCCATGTCCTGGCTATTATAAACAGTGCTGCGATGAACATTGGGGTGCACGTGTCTCTTTCAGATCTGGTTTCCTCAGTGTGTATGCCCAGAAGTGGTATTGCTGGGTCATATGGCCAAGGTGAATTTTTAAGAACACACTGGCACATAGCATATTCTCAGTACTAGTGAGTGCCTTGGGATTGCCGGGATTGTGAATTTTTGTTAGTTACCCTTTAACAGGTTATAGGTGTTCCCTATTATTCCTAGCTTATAAAGAGTTTATCTTGTAAGGGAGACTTTAAAACAGGAAAATAAAAATAATAAGCAACAGTAAAATGAAAAGTGCAGAATGAGTTCACAGCTAAGCATTCTGAGAATTACCTATCCAGTAGAAGCTTTGCTGAACCTCTTGCAAGTTTCGAAGGAGAGATAAATTACTTGGAACACAACACAGTCAGACTTTCCAAATCATAACTACCAGTTTGAAGGCTGAAATTTTGAATTATATGCTTACCCCTGTGTGGTACATATGCTAATAAATGAACATTTTTTGAGTGCTTACTGTGAAGTATTGTTCTAAGCCTTTATTTGAATTAAGTTACCTGCTTTCTTTATTACAGTAATGTTCTGTGATTATCGCCATCTACAGATGAGGAACCTGGGGCACAGAGAAGAGTAGGGAACTTGTCTAAAGCCACAAGTAGTCTGTGGCTGAGCCTGCACTCATAACAATGATACTGTCCTACTTCTCTCTTGTTCAGAGCAGCAGTTGAGAGCTTTCTGAAGGGAAGGAACTGTTGTGTTATTCTTGAAACTGATATTATGAATGACTGTAATTGAAGTTTCAATAATTAGTCCTGTAAAATCCAGATAGTGGAGTAATGTTTTTCGTTTTCTAATTTTTTCCTTCTGTTCTACCTTTGTTCTGTCAGGTTTGCCTTTTCACCATTGTCTGAGGAAGAGGAGGAGGATGAACAAAAGGAACCTATGCTGAAAGAAAGCTTTGGTAGTGATAAAATTCACCTTTTATTTGTGCTTTAAATATTTTTTTCTGGCTTTGGTAAAGTTAGAGGAAAGCAAAAGTAAGGGTATCAGTCTTTAGATGAAACCATGTTCAGTGAATAATGGCACATTAAATATCCAGTTTACTTGCTATAGATGAGCTGAAAATTTTACTTTGAACTTTCCAGCAAAAATGTAAAGATGAAGAAACCTACCTGTAGTATAATTTAGTGTCAGTAAGCTTAAAATGAAGCTCTGGATCTATTTTTGCTGTCAGTGTGGTCACTGATATAGTTAATCATATCTACTTTTTTTTTTCTTCTACAGAAGGAATGAAAATGAGAAGTACCAAACAAGAACCAAATGGAAATAGTAAAGTAAATAAAGCAGTAAGTATGACATCTTTTCTTTTTGCCCTGTCCTCTAGCCCTTGGTGGAGTTCAGCAGTTATGTATAGGTCTTAGTGATTTTTTTAACCTGTTGTATAATTAACATTTTTAAAAACAGAGATAGCAAGAGATTCTGTCTGGGACCTAGTAATCTTTAACTAGATGGTTTGTTGCTATGTCCTAAAAAAGTTCCAGGCCATACTGATGGTTCTGTGTAATGGTTTTCATCAATGTAGTCAAAGCCTCATTAATAACCTAAGGTGGTCTTTTTTGTAGTAAAGATCAAGATTTTTTCAGAACTACAATGAGATATTACCTCATACTGGTCAGAATGGCCATCATAAAAAAGTCTGCAAATAGCAAATGCTGGAAAGGGTGTGGAGAAAAGTGAACCCTCCTGCATTGTTGAGAATGTAAATTGGTACAGCCACTATGGAGAACAGTATGGAGGCTCCTGAAGGAGTTGCCATGTGATCCAGGGATCTTACCTTTGGGCATGTTTTCGGACAAAACATAATTCAAAAAGATACAGGCACCCACCACCCCCTCCATGTCCATAGCAGCACTCTTCACAATAGCCAAGACATGGAAATAACCTAAATACTCATCAACAGATGAATGACTAAAGATGATGTGGTACATATACGCAATTGAATACTACTCAGCCATAAAAAAGAATGAAATAACACCATTTGTAGCAACATGGATGAACAGATTACCATACTAAGTAAGTCAGAAAGGGAAAGACAAATACCACATTATGTCACTTAAATGTGGAATCTAAAATATGATACAAGTTAACCTGTCTATGAAAGAGAAAAGACTCATAGAGAACAGACTTATGGTTGGAAGGGTGGGGGGAGGGAAGAATTGGGAGTTTGGAATTAGCAAATGCAAGCTATTATATATAGGATGGATAAACAGCAAGGACCTACTATATAGCACAGGGAACTCTACTTACTAGTCTTCAATGGCCTATAAGGGAAAAGAATCTAAAAGCAAGTGGATATATGTATCACTGATTCACTTTGCTGTACAACTGAAACTAACACAACATTGAAATTCAACTATACTCCAATATAACTTTAAAAAAAAATCCTCTGATAAACCATAATGGAGAGAATATGCAAAAGTATATATATATATATATATATATATATATATATATATATATAACTGAACACTTTGCCATATAGCAGAAATTAACACAGCATTGTAAATCAACTATACTTTGATTTTTTTTAAAGAAAAAAAGATCAAGATTTTTTCAGTCAGCTTTTTTTTCCTTCAGAACGGTGCATTCACTCTACATTTAAAAGGGCTTTAGAATTTATTTTATTTTTAAGACTCAAAGCTTACATGAAGTAAGAACTCTAGGTATTACACTATTGAAAAGAAAGCATTTAGGGATATAAGATACTATTTTACATTTCATGTATATAGTTTAGTTTTTCAAATTAAATTATTTGACTTCTGTGTTTTCAGTCCTGTTATGTGAATATACTAATTCAGAGTGACAAAAGATTAAGTTGACCTCTTTAGATCTTTACTTGAGATGTATATTTTGGTGCATTTTAGTAACATCTGACATTTATATGTTCTTAGCAGGAAGATGATTTAAAGTGGGTAGAAGAAAATGTTCCTTCTTCTGTGACAGATGTGTAAGTTTTTGAATCATTACCACAAGAATACTTTTTCAAAGTAGTATTTTATTATTTTAAATGAGTTGAGCTGAAGAACATAGTAATGAGAATGCTTGTAGTTAACTCTGGAAGTAAAAAATTAAATTATTGGAAATAATTTAAAGTATTAAAAACATTAAAAGATGTTAGAAACTAAAAACTAGGAATGATGTATTAATACAAATGAAAGTAATCCAGATTGTTCATTCAGATGACATTTCTGCTCAGAAAGATTTAGCTATAGGTCTTCTTAAAATCAGTGGGATAATCCTTTTGGAATTTTTGAGTTCCTTTTGATGTCTATAATGTTAATTAAACATTTGTCCTATGAAAGTCCATACAATTTTAGTAACTGATTCTTGTGGGTTTTTTGGTCTTTTCCTGAAATGTCATTAAATTGTACTCATTATTCCACTATCCTTTATGAACCATTTATGGCTTTATTTTACATTTATCAGTTTATTTTTCTCTCTGTAGAGCACTTCCTGCCCTTCTGGATTCAGATGAGGTTAGTAATCAAATAATATACACATAAACTTTGTGTCTGGTGGCTTAATAGGTAGTCATCAGTCTTTTGTTCAAGAACACTGATTTATTCGACTCAGTAATGGCCTGATTTTGTTACCTACTATCAGTACTATCTGTGTCACTATCTTACAGATAATAAGGATAATTAGTATACTTCTAATGTTTATGTTGTTGCAGTCCATGGGGTCATGAAGAGTCGGACACAACTTGAAGACTGAACAACAACAAAATGTTTATGTTGATTTTTAGTTGGCTCCATACACTTCATCTAGAAGGTTTCTCATGAAGTCTTATATCAGACTTGTAGTCTGAGTTCATGGAAACCTCTTCTAGACATGTTCTGAATGTTTAGGTTATCTTGATTTCAGAAAGCCTTTTAAAAGCCTTTGCCCGATTGTGACTTACTGTATTGGATTGACTGTTAAAAATTGGTTTCCTCACTTCCCACTGACCTGCTGTGTGGTGCAGCACACAGTGTCAGATTCCTTAGCTGTTCAATGCATTGAATTAACTGAGAACTGGACCTTGCAGGCAACTGAACACTTGGCTTTTTGTGGTGTATTCTCAGTTCTTTCTCTTGGGTGCCACCTTCTGCTTATAATTGGGTTGGCCTTCAGGATTTCCCTTTTGGCTTCAGCTTTCCAGACATCCATATTTCAACCAGAGAGGGCTGAGTATGTGAAACCCAGTTGTGCTGTTCAGGGGAATATGTGTTTATTGTAGTACTTTTGGTGGCAGACTTCATGGTTTTATATTGTCCTGTATGAAAAAATGGTTCAAGAACTTAAATGAATTACAAGAGAAACAGATAAAGGACTAGAGTTGAAGAGTCTGACTCTTCAACAACATTGAAAACTAGAAGATAATAGAACAATGTATTTGAATTCTGAGAAAAATTATTTTCAAACTAGAATTCTATACTCAATTATGAATTGAGGGTAAAATAAAGATGTTTTCATTCATGTAAAAAAATAAAGTAATTGACATCCTATGTGTGCTTTCTCAGGAAATGTATTCTAGAATAAAATTAGAAAGTATTCTAAAGTAAAATTACTATGTAGATGTTTATTCATAAAATATATGAATATGAGAGAGCTGTAACGAGAAAGACTTTGGATCCAGGAAATCAAGGATCTGACACAGAGGCAGGGATAAATTCCTAGGATGATGATGTAAGAAATTCTCAGTGACAGCTGAGCAACAGGTTTGGAGAGCATTTAGTCCAGAATGGAAGAGAACAGAGAGCTTCAGGGAGGGGTATTTCTAAGAGAAAATGTGAAAAGGATAGATTTTCTGATGTAATTGATCATATTGCAAAGGGATTTACAGTTCTGTCAGAGTTTGGGAAAAATGAAGAATATTCTAAAGTAAAATTCCTGTGTAGTTACTGTGAAATTTAATAGTATTACATTAATTTTTTCAATTGAAACAGCATATTATAAATACTGCTTTATAATCAAATGTAATTTTTTACATGATTTTTAAAAATTATGGAAAACACATAAAATTACCATTCTAACCTTTCTCAAGTGCAAAGTGTTAATTTATATGTGCATTGTTGTGCAACAGATATCTAGAACTTTTTCAACAGATGTAATTTTAATCAGGATATACTGTAGTTTGTCTATACAGTCTTATATTTTTGGACACAATTCTTTCTAGTATTCTGTTACAGTGGTAGAGATGGTAGAAGCTAAATCTTTGCCCATATCCTTGACTCTTTCATTAAGTTAAATTCCTGGATCACAGGAGGTACACATTTTTATTAAACTTAAGTGCCTCTAAAAAACAGTTCCTTTTGATTTTTCGCTTGTTGCCCAGAAGCCTAGTGATTTTGCTTCAGTTAATCTTTGGACTTGGACATCTGTATGTTTTAAAATCTTCATAGATGATTAGGAAGTATTACTCTAAGTAGCTAATGAACTTAAGCAAGTACTTAAGAAAACCTGTGGTCATTTTTGTAAAAGATGTTTGGAATGTAGACCATTTAAAATTAATATACTTAAAATAACTTTTTCCGCCCTAGGAACGAATGATCACGCACTTCGAAAGGTCCAAAATGGAGTAAAGAATGGGAAGATTTGCAACTGAGGATGGCTAGTACCTGGAAAGAGATCAGCTTCTATGTTAGTCACTGCACTGCTCCATGGGATTAAAGGAGGCAATGACATCTTGATCTGTTCCTTGATCTTTGTGCATTGGAGCTGGCGAGAGGTGTTGGAACAAGGAGAACACACTCTTGAAAACAAGTTCATAGGATGAAAAGAATCTACAAGTTTTTTATTTGCAGCATTGATGCCCCTTTCCCTCCCACACCCTGACATGGATGTTTATGCAACTTGTGTATGTTGTTCCTAAACCTTCTATAATGTTTAAATTGTTTAATCTGTCAAACTAAAAAATTTAACATCCTCTGAAGAACTGTGACATCAGCACCATAATACGTAATATCCAGGAGCAACTGCCTGTAATTTTTATTTATTTAGGGAATTACGTAGGTGATGGGTGAAATTGTTAATTATCTTTGCATTTCCTGGGAAGCCAACGTTAAATCTTGCAGAGGTAGTTTAGAGGGGAAAAAAAATCCTGCGTTAAGGAGCCACAGTTCTATCAGTGATTAAAACAACAACAACAAAGGGAGAGAGAGAGACTGTTACAGTGTGATTTAGATCATTTGAAGAAGCAAAATCAAGTGCAATTTTGTTTACAAATGGTGTATATTAAAGATTTTTCTATTTCAGATGTACTTTAGAGAGAGATATTAGCTTAACTCTTTTGACATCTGCTATTGTGACACATCCCATTGCTGGCAATGTGGTGCACACTCCAGAACTTTTAACTACTGTTTTGTAAGCCTTCAAGGGCAGCATTGTGGAGTCCTGGGCAGTGCTTTGTTTGCCTTCATGCCTTTCATTGGGTGTTGCACTAGATGCAGAAAGGCACTCCATCTTAAGTGCATGTGAGTGAGCACCCTGCTAAAGGGATTATATGCTTCAGAAGAAGGAGCTAATATAAAGGAAACAGGTCCTTCTTTCTTAAACGGTTTTTTCTGCATGAAATAATGTGGAGGCCCTGGACTGCTGCTCATTTTTTAGGATTGACTGTACTTGTATCTGGTGTTGGCTTAGGGATGGTTTATAAGAAACATCACAAGGTGATGGGATTCATTTGAAGCACTATTATTTGTTCGAATGATTTTGTCCAATTTTGTCTTCCCAAGATTTTTTGTTCTACATAGAAAGTTCATGCCACTTTTTAATATTAAAAAGTTTTAACAAAATTCATGTTTTTGTCACTCTTTTTCCAAGACTTTGAATACTGTTCTTTCTTCACACTGCCATTGAATTTTGGGTTTTATTCTGTGTTGTCTTATTTTCTGTTAAAATCAGTGACCACGTGACTACAATCTTCACTAAAGTTTTTATGTAACATTTCTCTAGCTGTTTGGTATGGTGATTAACAACAACAACAAAAATCACCTAGATAGTATCTCTTAAGAAACAATACGAACTGCCTATTCTCCAGTTAACCCATTTGCAAAGGGCTGGTATTAACTTTGTGTGCTTCTGTTCTTCCACACCCAAACTCAGCAAGTGAATAGTGGTCATAATGTAGCAGGATAGTTGGTCATATATTTTGAGACTGGTTAGATATTAATTTGAAACTAGGCAAAAACCCCTATATGTGGTGTGTTGTGTTTTTTTTTTTTGAAACACCACATGGCTTGCAGGATCTTAGTCCCCCCACCAGCAGTGAAAGTGCCAAGTCCTAAGCACCAGACCACCTGGAAATTCCCAGAAACCTACTGTTAAAAGCAGGGGTGTATAGCACAAATTCAATAGCCTGGTAATTCTGTTTTCTCATGGCTTCTTGTGTTAATGTGATTGGCTGTAGTGTATCAGTTCTTGGACTAGGTTCAGAAGTAATTTATATTATCACATTGACCTGTAACCAACTTGAGTCTACATTGTTTATTTTGGTCTTGAACTACAAGGTAGCAGGCCTTCTAGCAGAACAGCTGGTAATTCTAAAATTTCAAGGTGTTCAGTTTCTTTCTATGGGGAAAATTAGCCCCAAGATTTCTTTAGCAATTTTTGTGTTTCTTACTACTTGAAAATACTTCATTTGATTATCAGAAACAGTATTTGATAAAGATGGGACAGTATTCCTCATTTACAGATGAAGAAACTAAAAGTGACCAGAGCTGTAGGTTTTTTGTTTTTTTTTAATATGATTATATCACAGACTCACTCCTTTTTTCTTTTACATTTTGCTTTAAACCAAATGCTTCACTTCATGGCATACTAGCTGTTTTCTTTGGGGTAAACTGCCAGATACAGATCATTCTTGCTTTGGTTCTCAAACTTCCAAGTAAAAGTTCATGGACTCACCTTGGATACTTATTAAAACACAGTTGGACCACAACCCACCCCTTCCCAGCTTCAATGAGAGTCCGTAGGGCTGGATGAGGTCTGGGACTGCCTTTCTAACAAGTTCCTAGGTGATGCTGACCTAGGGACCATACTTTGAGAACCACTGGCCTCGATAAGCCCCTAAAATAAAATACAAGGGAAAGTTACTGCGAATTAGTTGGGTTTATAATGGTAATACGAAAACTACCACTGATTGAGTGCTTAGAATGTCAGCTGTTGCTAAAAGCTCACAAGGTTAGGTACACAACACTACCATCACTTTGCAGATACATAACTAAGGCTTCTAGAGATTGTTTCTTAAACGCCACAGCTACTGAGCTCATTTTCTAAATAACAGGTCTCCATCCCAAGTCTAACTAACGCCAAAGCCTGAATTCTTCATCAGGCTCTGATGCCCAAAACAGTTCAAAGATTAAGATCCCTTTTCCACCTTGTTAAGCCCATGACCACTCGGGCTACACAATGGTCCAGCGAAAAACGCTATCCCAGGTACCAGATCACTCCTGGAGATTACTCTAGGAACCGGGGCGGAAGGGGCGGAGCTTCGGCTGCGGAAGGGGCGGGCTTAACTCTGCAGGAAGTCCGGTGTTGTTGATGGCTCTATTGCCCGAGGGCCAGTAGTCGAGGTCCGCACTCTTCCCTGGTCGTGATTCCGGCCCCACACCCGAGCCGGCACAGTCCGGTTGAGGCTGTGGCGGAGACTGCACCTGCCGCCATGCACGACGCCTTCGAGCCGGTGCCGATCCTAGAAAAGCTGCCTCTGCAGATCGACTGTCTGGCTGCCTGGGGTGAGACGAGGGGCCAGATGGGGTCAGCGCGGGAGCGACTGAGACCTTTCACGAGGCTAGGGAAGTGGACGGCCTCTGGTTGTGTGAACTCTGGTCGGGCGTCCTCCAAGAGGGGCCTAGGATGAGGGGACGCAGAGCACTGTTGACAGCGAGGGCGGTGAAGCTGTTTGGGCGATCTCCGGGGATCCAGGCATTTTAGGGATGTTTACCTGCCCTTGCTCTCGGTAGGGAGTTGGGGGTGGAACTTTCCTTATTAACTACTCAGTTTTGGCTCATTTCTGTTCCCAGTAAGTCTTTAGTTTGGGTAACAAAGTTCCACAGAAGTTCTTAGACGGCTAGGGGCTTGAACTTGTCCAGACTGTTGTTTTCCAGGTGAAACACTGTTTTGCTTTCTGTTTGCTTGTTTTGCATTGAACAAGTTAGCAGCTATGTCTTTTCCCCCTTAATGGTCACTCATCACTTACTTCTAATTACTGTAGCTAACTTGTTACTCTCCACTTTTAATCTAGCCAAGTGGTTGATTGTCTCATAATCAAAATGCCCAAGTTACCTAACTCCTATAAGTAGAAGAGGGTCATTTCAGGCTGCCAGGAAACCTAACCCATAAAACTTTGCATGATCCACTTGGAATTGGCCAGTACAGAAAGTAGGATCATGTGTCTCTGTTCTAGAATACAAATGGTTTCTGAAATAAACCTTGACTCCTGTGAACATTATGCTCCTATCCACGAGTGTTTGTGTGTCTGATAACCAAAGACCAAACAGAAGTAATTTCAGTCTTTCCTGTTAATGTCCAGGATCTAGAAATCAAGGTGGCTCAGAACCTCAATCAGCTCTTATACTGAGCTGAGTATCATGATGGGCCTGGTGGAATCTTGGTGGTAGCTGGCATTCTATTCATTGTCATGGACAGTCCCATTCAGTCAGAGTTCTTCACATCCTTTTCAGTAAGGTACCTTCACTACATATCTTATTAATGTGTGCACCCCCCAACTCTTCCCCCAGCTGCCATGAACCTCTTTTTAAAATTTTATTCTGTTGAAATATAGTTGATTTACAGTGTTGTGTTAATTTCTACCGTATAGCAAATGATTCAGTTTTACATATATCATACGTTATTTTTCATCTTCTTTCCATTATGGTTTTCACGAGATACTAAGTACAGGTCCCTGTGCTATACAGTAACAGTGTAGTTGTTTAGCTCTGGGACCTTTAAAGTCACACCTCAGCAGCAGTCTGTCCTAGGGTTAAGGACAGAATCCTACTTCCTCCAAGTATCTCAAGAAAACCTCCACTTTTCTGTCATTAACTGCTCTCAGTAAAAATTTAAAATAAATAGAGAAGAAAAAAAAAGAAATTGAAAAAATGAAAGACCTGCCACTCAGCACAAAGGGGATCACTCCCCTGTTTCTTTGTCAAGTGTGTATTAAGTGCCTGCATGGGCCAGTCTCTCTGCTAGAAACAGGAACTCAAAGATGAGTAAGAAACAGTGCCTGTGCTCCTGGGACACACAGTGGCAGACAAAGAAATGTGAACAGATTACAATACAAGAGACTTATGCTGCCTCATATGTAATCATGGAGGGAAGGCTAATCCACTCAGCCTCGGACATATGTTTCTGAAAAGGATGGATGCAGCCACTTGCCACACTCCACTTGTCAAAATCCTTGACCCTGATACCCTATGGGACTAGTAGTCCACATACTTCAGGCTCTTTCACCAACTGCAGTTTGTTACCATAAAGATTTTCCGTACCTGTGCTTTCCAGAAACAGTTTTTGAAATGGTAGGTAGCTTTTGGCCTGTCTAAACTCCAGCAAAACAGGAGAAACACTTGTTGCCTACGAGATTGCTGCACTAGGTATTGGGCTGTGAGGGGCCATTTACTGCCTTGTGCCTCAACACTACTTTATTTTCAGGCTTTAGCAGCAGTAAATATTGCTGTTTCTAGTTTTTACCCCTTCTGTCTACATTGTGACCCTAGGTGGAAAGTTCATCCAGGAACCTCCAGGCCTCTGGAGGGCCAGACAATATTTAAGCTGGAAGATGTCATAGAGCCACCATAATCCCATCTTCCGGGACATGGAACTGAGGAAGATACTGATGGTGATGATGAGGAGGAGGACTTCTCCCAAAATTCCAGAGTTGTAGAATCCAGCTGCCTCTTCAGCATCTTCATTTGGATATCGGGTTGCATGGCCAGAATAGATCCTGATTTCAAAATGTGCCCATCCCCCTGTATCCCATTATCTCTGCAGACAGAAATGGCATTTCTGTTTACCCATTTGGCTAAACCCCAAAGCCTTGGAATTATCCTTGACTTCTCTTATACACCACATCCAGCCCATCAGCAAATCTTCCCTGCTCCACCTCCTGAAAAATTCTACAATCCAGCCACTTCTCTCCATCTCTACTGTTCACTGCTGTTGATGAAGGCACCAGTCTCTCCCATCTGAATGACTATAATAGTCTTCAGATTCATCACCCTCAGTTTGCCATTGTGCCATTTGCAGTATTTTATCCACATAGAGGTAGAGAGATCCTTTGAAAATGTCATCTATTTGCATCTCTCCTCTGCTCAAAACCCTCCAGTAGCTTCACATCACAACTGGAATAAGTTCCAAAGTCCTTAACATGACTGGCAACACCTGTCATGACCAGGCCTCTAGAGTTAATGTTCCTTGTTTTTCGCTATGGTCTTATCCCTTGCTCCTCTCTGCTACTAATTACATGGTCGTTGTTGTTCCATGAACACACAAAGCATGTTACTCATGTAACTAATCTCAGGGCCTTTCCACTTGCTGTTTCCTCTGCCTGACAGTCTCTTGTCCTAGATATATGGCTCATTCCTCATTTTGTTTGCTGAAATGTCACACAAATCAGCAAGACTTGCCCGAGCTATTCTGTATAAAAGAAAATGCCACATCCACCAATATGCTCCTCTTTTACTCAGCCTTATCTTCTTATCATAGAAGCCTCTTACTGCTATTTTATATGTTATTATTGTCTCTGTCATTCCATATTAGAGTATAAGTTCCTTCAGAGCAACAACTTTGTTTTGTCCATAGGTTTATTTACTGTGCCTAGAACAGTTCCTGACTCATAATGGATACTTATTAAATATTTGTTTAATTGACTAATAGTAAGGGCTTTCATTGTTGAGTACTTAGATGTAGTAAGCATTAATGCAATAATAACAACTCAATTTTCCAGAGGAAGAACCTGAAAATTTAAGTAGGTTTTCCAAGGTAAATCCAGTAAATTATATCTGATTCTAGAGCTTGGTTCTCAAACTTTAATGTATATTCAGAGCCTATTAAAAAAATGTAGGTATACGTGTGTGTATACCAAATCATTTTTATTTGTTTTCCAAAGAAACAATGGAAAAATAAATCAAGAATGATTAAAATGGTTACTTACAGCAGAAGGAAGAGAACAAGGTGAAGTGGACAGGATGGACTTCTCATAGTTTTAGCTTTGGAATTAGGTAAATGTCTCATATAATGAAAAAATTTAAAAATGCAAATTTCAGGGCACCACTGCAGAATCACTGCATCAGAATCTCTGGGAGCTGGGCTGAGGAATGGGCATTTTTAATAAGTCCAAGTGATTCTGACACAGCTAATCAGGGGCTGGTGCTTTGAGAAACACTGTTCTTTGCCCTGTGACTCAAAGAAGGAAAGTGACCACTATCCTGCTCATCTCTGTATTCGCTGCCATGTTCAGCAGTGGGGGTTTATCACATGCATTTGGACTGAGCTGCACGGTTGGATGGAGCTTCAGTAGGGTAATTGTGAGCTAGAGGGCTCCACCTTCCTTCCCAGGAGGAATCGTGTCTGTGATCTTGTGGCTCAGGATTAGGCCATTGGGAGTTTTCTAGGGCTGACTCTCCTTTGTTTTTGCCTGTGTTACCCATTTGTGTAGTATGTTCCACTTTCTGACGTGCAGTGTTGAGTCCCAGAGAGACTGTCTACCTACCCTGTGCTCTGCCCGCTCTGCACGCTTTTCATTTCCAGTGTTTTGCATGCACAGCTATGTTGTCTGGTGACAGAGAGCATGCATGGGTTGGTCCTCTGGTCCCTGGGTTGGTCCTCCGGCCTGGGTTGGTTCTCCGGCTACCTGAACCCCCATTGACTTCTGTAACCAAATCAGGCCTCGTCAGAGCTCTGTGCCATTGTTATGTCTGGATGATGCACTCTTTTTCCTTGACTTTGAGTGTTAGAAATGAATATGTGTGTGGTCCTTTTACTAGTTAAAAGAAAGCTGTTTCAATATGTTGCATGTATGATAAGTGCATTTTCATCAGCATCTCCAGAGGAATAATCGAGAAGGGTCAAATAAAATTTCAATTAAAAAATTTTTTAAGAAGTTTTTTCTTTTAATGTTTATTTTTTTGGCTGCATTGAGTCTTAGTTGCTGCATGTTGCAGCTCTCAGGCTCCAAGGCATGTGGGGTCTTAGTTTCTCATCCAGGGATCAAACGCTTGTCCTCTGCCTTGCAAAGTGGATTCTTAACCCCTGGACCACCAAGGAAGTCCCTCAATTAAAATTTTTTTAAAATTTTCAATAAATTTATTTGATTCCATTTTATCACCAGTAGACATTTGATAGAAATGTCTATTGGCAAATAAACATGTCAATAAAAATGGAAAGCACACCCTTGAAAGTCATGATTACGAGTTTGGCTTCATGTTTTGGCAGTCCATCTTCATGAGGATTTTTTAAACCCCAATTGGACAGCATTGGAGATGTGCTTTAAGGTAATAGCCAGCAAACATGGAAGGACACATAGCGTGAGACCAGCTGAGGGGTCCCCGGGGACTCTGGGAGAGGGCTGTTGCCAGGTACCTTGTAGAGGTAAAGTTGATAGGCCTTGCAGATCTGGGTAGTTGATGAACCTGTTGAAAGAGGTAAAGAAAAACAGGAACTGGCAGGTGTTTGGGGGTCATGGTGGAGAGGATGGGGAAGATGGTGAACATTGTGTTGGCCTTTTTGCTGTAGGTTTTTATGTGTAAGTGAATTTTTAAAAAATTTTGTTTTATTTGTATTTGAAATATTAGTGGGTGTCCTGAAAATCAACTTTAATATTATCAATTGCTCAGTACAATGATATCTATTAATATAAGTAAAGTTCTAAACATAATATATTTTTCAAAGCAAGCCTTGTGAACTGCGTTCTTTTTTGTTCCCCCATGTTCTGCTCTGACATAAATCACCAGTGTTCTACTGGAGCTAGTGTTATTTCTCGTTTCCACTTATGTCATTGAGAGCACACTCTCTTACTTTCTGTGTCCTGCCTTTACTTTAAAACCTAAAAGAGGACAGAGTCATTATCTTTTTCTGGAAGACTAAGGACATCAACCTGGAGAAATATTTCTGGTGTTGCTCCAGACATGTTTTATAAACATAACTGTACGTTTCAGATAGCCTGTGGCTAACACCCATTGTTTTGAGATGAGATGCCATAATAAGTGCATCATAACATGTGCTTCATATCAGTGCTTTCCTCATAGCTCAGTTGGTAAAGAATCTGCCTGTAATGCGGGAGACCCTGGTTCGATTCCTGGGTTGGGAAGATACCCTGGAGAAGGGATAGGCTACCCACTCCAGTGTTCTTGGACTTTGCTTGGGGCTCAGCTGGTAAAGAGTCTGCCTGTAATGTGGGAGACCTGGGTTTGATCCCTGGGTTGGGAAGATCCCCTGGAAAAGGGAAAAGCTACACACTCTGGTATTCTGGCCTGGAAAATTCCATGAACAGTCCATGGGGTTGCAAAGAGTTGGACACGACTGAGTGACTTTCACTTTCAGCATGTGGCTAAGGGTAAGACAAATTGGGGTTGAGATCCTGTCTCTGCTACACATGTCTTACTAAATGTGTGACTCTGGACAAGTTACTTATTCCCTAGGCCTCAACTTCCTCATCTATAAAATAGAGATTTAAGTTAAGGACATACTGGAACTTCCCTGGCAGTCCAATGGTTAAGACTCCATGCTTCTATTGCAGGGGGCATGGGTTCAGTCCCTGGTTGGGGAACTAAGATCCCGCATGTGGTATGGACAAAAGTTCTTTTAAAAAAGAAAAAGACATACTTCAAAGGATAGTTGTTATAGCATGTGATAACTGCTTAGCAGTTCCAGGAATACTTTACTGCATCCTCAGTAAAGTTTGTCTGCGTCATTATCCAATATTTTATTTTGCAGAGGATCTAGAAGTTTATGAAGGGAATGAGTGACCTTTATGTTACAGCATCAAAAAGCCAAGGAAATATCTGTACATGCTTAATTTAGCTTAATTATTTAATATAAATCTATTAGGGTAATTATTTAAGTCCTTTCAGAACCTTTTGACTTTTAGCCAAGAGCAGTGTCTCCCAAAATGCTATCTCTAGACAAACAGCAGAAGCATTGCCTGGGGACTTATTAGAAATGCAGATTCCCAGGCCCACTTCCAGACCTACTGAATCAGAAACTGAGGGCAAGGCCTGCCTACTAATCTATTTTAATAAATCCTCAAATAATTCTGATGCACATCAAAATTAAAGAACCAGTAACCAAGACCATCTTTTCTTTTTTTTTTAAGTAAGAGCTTTAATGAGATATAATTCATATACCATAAAACTCACCCATTTAAAGTATACAATTTGGTGGTTGTCAGTACATTCACAGAGTTGTGCAAATATCACCACAGTCAGTTTCAAAACATTTTTGTAACCCTGAAAAGAAATCCCACTTCTTTTTCCCCAAGCCCACTCGCCCCATTCTCCTTAAGCCCACCAGCTCTAGGCAACCACTAATCTTACTGTCTCTAGATATGCCTATCCTGGACATTTCATGTAATATAATAGAATCATGCAATATGTAGCCTTTTTTGTCTAGCTTCTTTCATTTAGTATAATATTGTCAGATCCATCTGCATTGTAGCATATGTCACCACTTCATTTCTTTTAATGACTGGAATATTCCATTGAATTGATATGCCACATTTTGTTTATCCACCCATTCGTTGGTGGATACTTATGTTGTTTCCACCTTTTGGCTATTGTGAATAACACTACTGTGAACATTTATGTACAATTTTTTTGTGGGAAGATATGTTTCATTTCTATTATGTGTATACCCATGGGTTTTGGAATTGCTGGGTCATACAGTAACTCTGTGTTTAGTCTTTTATGAAACTGTGAGATTGTTTTTCATAGGGCTGCCATTTTATTTTCCTGCGAACAATGTATGAGTATTCTAGTTTCTTCACATCTTTGTCACATTTGATACTATCTGTTAGACCATCTTTTGAGATAGTTCTGTAAGCTTTATGTGCTATGGCACATGGAAACATACCTAGTCTTATGTTTATGCTACCCATTTTATGATTTTATAAACTTCTATCATATTTTTGGTCAGTTTCATTTTGAAACAATGAATCTGGGGGCATTTTTCATTCTCTGATATGTCTCACCTAATTCAATAAATATTGTTTTCAATTATTTGATTCTCAAACATTTCTTGAATATAAACATTTCTTAGTTTTGCAAAACACATATTATCAAAGCCAACTCATTTTCTTAACCCTTTGATTTCTGCTTATAAGCCCCAACTAAAGAAACAGGGTCTTACTGAAGCTGATGGTCCTTTTCTTTTTCAGAGGAATGGCTGCTTGTTGGAACAAAACAAGGTCATCTTCTTCTCTATAGGATTCGGAAAGACGTTGGTAAGTGGCAACTTTTCAGAACCAAGTAAGAAGTGGCTTACTTACTCAAGTTAAAAAAATTGATAGTCAACTGGTATACAGCTGTGAAATCAATGATTACTGGACCATTAAAAAGGTGAGTGGGGATTGGTGGTAGCACAGTGGAAGAGTGGGGAGTAAGGAGAAACTTGTGAGACTCTCAAGGGTTTTTCTCTTTTTTTCAGACTATGTTCCCATATCACCTTCTGGGAGGTGGGGCTGGATGTGTTTTCCCTTCTCACTTCTTGGAGACTCAGGCCAGAAAAAAGAAATATTACAGGAATAAAATTCTTGTGTAAATGGTGCGATAGAAGGGGAAGAAAAGTTAGGAGCTATTGATTTTAAAGATCGTGTTAAACTTCTGTGGGGTGGGCTAGGGCAGAGAGGACCTGGGTTTGAGTCAGGCTTTACTTCTCTGACATGTGACTCTGAGTAGGTCCTTTGCAGTGTCAGTTTCTTCTTCTGTAAAGTATCTCACAAAATTGTTGGGGTCACATGCAAGGACTTGGAAAACTAAAACTTTAATATTTCTGTCAGTAAAAATGTAGAAAGTGAAAGTCGCTCAGTTGTGTCCAACTCTTTGCGACCCCATGGACTATACAGTCCACGGAATTCTCCAGGCCAGAATACTAGAATGTGTAGCCTTTCCCTTCTCCAGGGGATCATCCCAACCGAGGGATTAAACCCAGGTCTCCCACATTGCAGGTAGATTCTTTACCAGCTGAGCCACAAGGGAAGCCCTAGAATACCGGAGTGGGCAGCCTATCCCCTTTACAGGGGATCTTCCCGACCCAGGAATTGAACCAGGGTCTCCTGCATTGCCTGCAGATTCTTTTACCAACTGAGCTATCAGGGAAGCCTCTAAAAATATTTGAAGTTTACTCTGTTAGAGTGCCCTCTAATGGGGAAAAAGTACCTCACTCCCTTTTCCTAATTTTATTTCTGTGTTCTTTGTAGAAAATTGATGTGTTTGTATATTATACCCTGGAGATACATACTATAGGAATAAGCTGTTAACGCCAGAGTAGGTTGAACCATATAAAATTGTCATTGTTTGGCTATATTAGAAAAAACAGAATTTCATGGTTTTCAACCTGGTATGTAACTTTCCATAGTAAATAGGTTACTGTAAGAGTGGAAATAGAGCATTCTCTTTGGAGCTCGTAACAAGGGTAACATATTGGGAAAAAAAGAGCATCTTACCGGGTGTAAGAGAGGAAAGAATTCTTTTTTACTCTTACCCATCTGAGGTTGACTGGATGAGGAGCTGTAAATCAGAGAAGCACCAAGACAAAGGAAGAGGACTTTGAGTTTCTAGAGTGGCAAATATATGGGGAAACTAGCTGGAGATAAATTTGTTGCATAGATTGCTCTGGTGTAGTCTCTGGGCTGGTAAGGGTCTAGCGTTGTCTCTAAATTAATTAAATATTGTCCTTGGTAGAGAGGGGAGAGAAGGTACCTTTGTAAATTTATGTCTTGCTCTTTGGCAGATGGGGGAGGGTAGAGAGCTTTTCTTGTATCTGCTGCTCCTCAGTTACCTTCAGCTCAAAATAATCTTTGTGTCAGAGAAGCATATGTGAGGGTGGTATATTCTGCTTCCCTTCACTGGTGTAATAGGGAAGGAGGATGGTACCTAGTCAAGTTCAGTGGTGGGGTAGGAAAGGAAACCAGAAGATCAAAATAGGCTTTACAGTAAGTCCCCTACACATGAATGAGTTCTTTTCCAAGAGCACATTCATTAGTCCTGTTTGTTTGTAAGACCAACAAAGTTAGCCTGGGTACCCAACTAACACAATCGGGCACAGCCTGCAATTTCAGTCACACCTGATGTTGATGGAACGCATGTTTGCATCTTTGAACGTTCATATGTAGGAGACTTACTAGATTTCATTTCTAAGTTTTTTGACTTTAAATCAATAGTCTGCCAACTTGTTCCCAAAAAAGAACTAAATGTTACCGCAAAACTGGATTCGCCTCTTGGTGGGTGTTGAGCAAAAAGACACGAGCAAGAAAGAGAGTGGAAGAAGGATTTATACTTGTTGCAAGGAGAACACTGGGGGTCTTTCCCAAAGCAGCGTGTCCCCAAGCAGCAAAATGGGAAAGTTTTTAAATTAAGAGACTTGGGTAGTTGAGAGCTGAGACTTCAGTTGAGTGAAGTCAAGAGGGTCTGGGAAGATCAACATCATTATCCCTTCGGCCAGGGTAGGGGGGGACAGGTGTTAAATTCTGCAAAATCTTAAGAAAGTAGGCTAATCTTTACCAATGAAACAGAACTGGGGGTCTTGATACCTGATTTGTTGTCTTTGCTGTTGTGACTTCTCTTGCCTGATTAAGGTTTGTTCTTTTGTTCCCTGAAGATCATTGTTACTGAGACCTGGCAGGGACAAGCACTGTGGTCAGGTTTAGATCATGGAACGGCTTAGGGGAACAAAAATGGCTTCTTTTATGTCAAGAAAACCATGACTGATTCTCTTTCTCTGCCGAGCCCCTATCTTATCTACTTACGGAAATAGTAAATATTTGGGGCTTTTCAGGTCGTGAGATCTCTGTCATGGCTATTCTGCTACTGTAGCAAAAGAGCACGGATGTGGCTGTGTGCCAGCAAAGCTGCATCTATAGGAACATGTGGAGGACCGGGTTTGACCTCCAGACGGTACTTTGTTGGCCCTTGCTTTAAATTTTTCAAAGCCAGAATATTTGTATTCTGTGATATCAACCCAGTCTATAATTTAAAAATTAAACCTGCCTTTGATTTTATTCAACAGTAAGCAACTCTGTTTTGACCCTTTACTGTGGGCTCAGATGGTGTACAAGGCAGGGAAATAAGAGAACCTAATATTCTTATCCCAAAAGATAATCACTTCTTTGTACCATCAAATACTGAATACTCTGATAAAGTAACTTGTTTAATATATCATTTCTGTATAAGTGATGAGGAGTTGAAAACTGGACTCTTAAAGTAAACTTTTCAACATAGTATAGCCTCAAACTGGTAATGTTAATGTTACTCTGACTTGGAACCCTGGTGGTGATTGTTCCTTCCCCAATTCCTCATGTAACCCTTGACAGGTTAGTTACTTTCCCTGTTTCCCCACAGGTCACTGGGATAGCAGTATTAACTTACCTTAGACAGTTAGGAAATCAAACTCTAATTAGAAGCCTCACTTCTCCATATACCCTTAGAGAACAGTTCAGTTCTAAGCCACTTTCTGCTGCGTTTATCAGCCAGAAATAGACTTGGGCCTCTATGAATCAGCCATGGAACTGAGTTTCTACATTTGAGATATTCCAAAACTGAAACCACTAGGTGGCATTTTTTGGGAGTTCCAGTCCTTTATGTCTCAGCACAGAAAGAATTCAGTGAGAAGCACTGTGATAGATAGGCAGTGATTTATTAAAATAAGACGCCTGTGAGACGTACAAGCGGATGGGCAAGAGGGTGCTACACCTCGAGAACTTAGTGGGCTACAGTTTTATAATCAAAGGAAAAGTGGGGAGAGGGGAAAAAACCGCCTTCTTCCTCATTCTTGAGCAGATGTCATACTTCCGTCATCAGTTCTTCCTCCACGCCAGGTGGGGGAGTTTTCTTATCCTACATGGTCAAAGTGGGATTATCATGGTGCAATAGAAGTGAACAAAATAGGCAATAACATATGCTAAAAATGATAAATTATCTGAGGTTTCAATATAATGTCACTTTTTCCTCATATTTTTGTTTTTAGTGTGTGCAGAGGAGTGTGACCTAGGAATCATTAATTCATTGAGCTCACTGGGCAGGATGTGTGTCTCATGCACCATTGTTTTATTGTTTGGAGGCACGTCTCATGCTTCTCTTGGGTCATTTTGTGGTTCCCAGGTGGTGCTAGTGGTTAAAAAACCCACCTGCAGATGCAGGAGACATAAGAGACCAGGGTTCTATCCCTGGGTCAGGAAGATCCCCTGGAGGAGGATGTTGCAACCCATTCCAGTATTCTTGTCTGGAAAATCCCTTGGACAGAGGAGCCTGGCAGGCTACAGTCATGGGGTTGCAAAGAGTTGGACATGACTGAGGCGGCTTAACACACATGTGCTTAAGCAAACCTGCTTTCTTGCGTGGTCATTGATTTACATGGGGGTCTCCCATACTTTTTTCCTTACTGACAAACCCCTACTGGGATTAACTATTGAATTACCTAGTTTGTCTCTTTACTCTCTCCCTATTAAAACCTTGATAAGTTTTCGACTAGACTGTCTTTCTGAGGAAAGGGACAGAGTGGGTAATAAGATTTCCTGGAAAGACTGGGATGAACGGGACCTGGATTCCAACCTGATCTGAGCCGACTCCCTCCTGTGAGTTCACAAACATCTCTCGGCTTCAGTCTACTCAGAAACTTCAGTCTACTGGTATCTTAAACAGAGGCTTTAGATTACTTCTCATCTTAGGTCTTAATAATTTTATGTTTACTTCAGTGATGCTTCACCCTAGAGCAGTGGTTTGCAAAGTCTGGTCTTGTGGAGGAAAAATGTTACGTGCCATATCAGTGAACGAAGGATGTGTGACCCTCAAGCCATCAGCCACTGCAGGCTCAAACTGTCCACCCTGAGGGGATTCAGAAGGGAGAAAAACAGTATATGTGTTTGCGTGCTCAGTCGCTTGGGTTGTGTCGTTTCTGACTCTTTGCAACACCATGGACTGTAGCCTGCCAGGCTGCTCTGTCTATGGGATTCTCCAGGCAAGGATACTGGAGTGGGTTGCCATGCCTTCCTCCAGGGGATCTTCCCAACCCAGGGGTTGAACCTGCATCTCTTGTGTCTCCTGCATTGGCAGGTGAGTTCTTTACCACTAGCACCACTTGGGAAGCCTGAAAAACAGTATACTGGCCCTAAATGGTTAAGGTGTGTATCAGAGGAATGATTTCAGTGAGTCCAGACTCTTATATCTTCCCATACATAGAAAAGCACTAAACTTGAGAAGTCTGGTTTTCTTAAATAGCAGTTATCTTTTGATGTTTGACCACCTGGTTTTGTTTTGTTTTTGGTCTGAACTCCTATATATCCTGGCTCTTCCTGAGGTCCTCAGCAAGTCTACAGAATAAAATATAATTCTCAACTTTTAGGTTGTGCATTTTTTTTCAGTCGATAATTTCTAGACCCCAGGAGGTATCCCACAATCCTTTCAGAGGATCCACAATGTCAAAACTTAAGTTCACACCGTAACACTAAAACATTATCATTTTTTCATTGACATATATCGACATTTGCACTGATGGTCTAAAAATAGTGGCAGCTAAAACTGCTGCCCCTTAAAATAAGTTCATGACAATGTGTCAAAAAAACTTTGGCACCACACTGACCTAGCAGTTGTATTTTTTCCCGGTGTCTGCTCACAGTGTTTTTTTTTTCTTTTGCCAGTTTCACCCCTAGTGACTCAGATGGTTAAGAATCTGCCTGCAATGTGGGAGACCTGGGTTCGATCCCTGGGTTGGGAAGATCCCCTGGAGGAGGGCATGGCAACCCACTCCAGTATTCTTGCCTGGAGAATCCCCATGGGCAGGGGAGCCTGGCGGGCTGCAGTCCATGGGGTTGCGAAGAGTCAAACATGACTGAGCAACTAAGCATACATGTTCTTTGTGGGGCAGTAAAAAGTATGTTTTATTATATCTTGACCCTTGAGAACACCTCTTCAATAATCTCTGTTTTATAATGGGAAGTACACTTAAAGCACTTCTGCTGTGTGCAAGGTATGCAGCCCAGTGACCATCTCAGGGGAAAGTTCTCCTGTGATTGTTGGGAGTAATGAGCTGAGCCGACCATTTATTTAATGGAGCATCATTTCTGCTTGAGAGAATGACTAACAGATAGATTGTGGTTTTTCAGAGCATTTTGGTGTTTGGTAGATGTTTTCTCAAAAATAAATAGTCTCTCACTTCAAAGAAAACTGGCAGTAGTGTTACTGCCAGTTAACTGATAAAGTTAGAGCTTTCAAGAGAAAATCAGAATTGTGGAAAAATTGTATCCAACCCCATGAACTGGACAGCTTCTCAGCACTGAAAGCTTTTTCTGACAAGACCGGGGTGATAATGAGCATGTTTTTTTTTTTTTTTTTCTCAATCGTATAACAAAATGTGTCAACATTTGGAAAATCTGCATAACTGTGTGAACCAATATTTTCTAAACAAAGCATAAATAAAAGAGCCATTCAAAATGTAAGATACACCAGTGGACTTTAACAGAAAAGTTCATTAATAGGTTTCAGATTCCAGATTGCAAGAAACTCCCTTTGTCAAGTTTTGGTCTAGCATCAAAGATCCACAATTATCTGAAAAAGCTATTAAAAAGCTATTCCTCCCTTTTTCAACTACATGTCCACATGAGGACAGATGTTTGTCATACGCCTCAGCCATACAGTGTATCAAAACAGATTAAATGCAGAGACAAATATGAGAGCCAACTATCTTCTGTTAGTGAAGTGAAAGTCACTCAGTCATGTCCAACTCTTTGTGACTCCATGGACTATACAGTCCATGAAATTCTCCAGGCTAGAATATTGGAGTGGGTAGCCATTCCCTTCTCCAGGAGATCTTTCCACCCCGGGATCGAACCCAGGTCTCCCACATTGCAGGTGGATTCTTTACCTGCTGAGCCACCAGGGAAGCCCAGGAACACTGGAGTGGGGAGCCTGACCCTTCTCCAGCGGATCTTCCCGACCCAGCCATTGAACCGGGGTCTCCTTCCAGACCTTAAAAGAGATTTACAAAAGTGTAAAACAATGCTTTTCTTTTAAATTTGGAGAAAATAGTTATTATTGATAAAAATATTTATGCTAATATGTAATGAGCTTATTACTGTTATAAGTCAGTTAATGCATGTTTTTAAGGGGCTTCCCTCGGTGTTTCAGTGGTAAAGAATCCGCCTGCCAGTGCAGGAAACACAAATTGACTCCCTGATCCGGGAAGATCCCACATGCTGGGGAGCAGCTAAGCCCTTGCAACAATTGAGTCTGTGCTCTAGAGCCTGGAAATCGCGACTCCTGAAGCCCCCCTACCTAGAGCGCATACTCAGCAAGAAGAGAAGCCGCCACAGTGAGAGGCCAGCACACCACACTAGAGAAGAGCCCCTCCTCACCGCAGCTAGGGAGAGGCCTGTGCAGCGGCAAAGACGCAGGACAGCGCCCCTCCCCGCCAAATGCATGTGTTTAAAATAGCTCAGTTTTGATTTCTGAGATGGTAAACATTGATAGCTGAAATCCATGTAGAAGTTTGATCCTCAGTAATTTTTAAGATGAATGGGTCCTGAGATCAAAATGTGTGACAATCTCTGTCCTAGATAATTCTGCCTAGAAAGAGAATTGTTAGAGGTTCAAATACAGAACTCTTTATCAAGCAATAATGGCTGATATTTTTTTCCCCTTGTGAAATGTAGTGACATAATACAGAGTAGGTTTCTGTATCACCCACAACTTCAGGGCCCCATCTTCATCTCCTCTTCTTAGGGACATGTGGAGGAAGTAAGACCAACTTTGGTGACGTGGGTCTTTGTAGCTGCTCAGAGAATCTCCACCAACTTGACTTGCATGGTCAGCAATGTACATAGTCTCTCCTCTAGCTGGGAGGCAGGTGTCAGGGTGCAGGCTTTACCCAGGCTCCATGTAAAGTCAGCCCTGAGTTTGCCTCTGGGCTGTCTCTCACTGGCTGCTCTCTAACTGCTTGACCTGTCAGTTCTCTCAGAGGTGAAATTGGAATAATAACCACCCTCCTTCTTGGGGTGGTTGTGAGGTCACAGAGAATACACACAAATTTAAAAATCCAGAGCCTGGCACTTAGTTGTTGCTTAGTTAATCATAACTGCTATTATTGCTGTGATAGTTATTCTTTTTGACCCTTTGGTGTTTTTGATGCTAAATATTTTGGTCACCCCAGCAAGATGGGCTTCACTTGTTTTTAAGGCCTATAACTTTCTTCCCCCTTTTTTTGCAACAGTGTCAGCAGGTGTAGCATCATCCGAGAGTGGCAGTAAGTGTAGATGCATTAAATTGCTTTAGCTCCGGGGCTGGTGTTTCCTCTGTCCTGTGATGCAGGACATATGGTAGCTGCTGGGAGTTAGTTAGATCTAAGAATGCTTTGGGCTGGGATTCATTGCTCGGGCTCCCATATTTTACTGTTACTTTTTACACTCTTTTGATGAAATACTTTGCCAAGGTACTATTATGTGGGATAAAATCCTCGTAAGTACCTTGCAGCTTCAGTAAACTGTGGTTTGGTCCTTTCTGCTAAAGCCAGGAAGAGGTGCATGAAACCCTTTGTTCCAAAATTGGAGCTGAAAGCAACTTGCTATCCTTAGTAAAGACAGCTGTCTCTTTTAGATCTCCAACTTCTGTTCTTTCAGGATTTTTTTTTTTTTAATGATTCATGTAGGAGAGCGGTATGGAGCAGCATTTTTTTTGTCATGGTTCTTTTTATAGGTATTCCTATGTTTGGAAATGTGTTTGTTTCTTTTCCATAGGTTGCAACAGGTTTGAAGTGACATTAGAGAAATCCAATAAGAACTTCTCCAAAAAGATTCAGCAGGTAAGCCACGAAATTGATGTCTAAGAGACCTGATCAAAGCTAGAACTTTGGTAAAATTATTTACTCGTCTTTGAATCGTCTGCTGTCTGTCCTCCTATTTCTTCAGGGATATCTGTCCATCCATCACATACCTGAAATCCTCTTTCATGAGCAGAAATTGTGATTGCATATAAGTCATATCCTTGCCATTGATGTTGGCTTTTTAGTCCCTTTTTATTTTTAGTTAAAATGAACATTTGCTGAACCTTGTCAGAAATGTTTAACTGAATCTAACGATTTGCTCTTTTCCAGATCCACGTGGTCTCCCAGTTTAAGATTCTGGTCAGCTTGTTAGGTAAGAAAAGGGGTTGCATTTGTATTCCATGTATCAAGAAACAGAAACTGTAATCTGATTAACCTTTTCATGGTTAATTTGATAGTTATTATTTAACAGTGAAACTGACACATTCCTCACCAGATACAGCAGGGTGCACAGGTAATAAAGGTACATTCCCCATATCTTGAGCTCTGTTCTCCAAGAAGTGTCATTTCATTCATTCAGTATATGTTGTGCCTTACTCTAGACATTGGAGATACCAAGTTGAATGAGACATGGTTTCCATCTTTAAAACTTAGGTTCTGATTCTGAAGACCAAAATGACATAAAATACTCATATTACAGTGGAATAAGTTACAGTGAAGCTTCCCCAGGGGCTTAGTGGAAGGAATCTACCTTCGATGCAGGAGACCCGGGTTTGATCCCTGGGTTGGGAAAATCCCCTGGGGGAGGTGGCAAGCCACTCCAGTATTCTTGCCTGGAGAATCCCATGGACAGAGGAGTCTGGCATTCTATAGTCCATAGGGTTGCAAAGAGTTGGACACGACTAAGCAACTGAGCATGCAGACACACAAGTTCCAGTGAAAATTTATAAAAAGTGCAGGGTCTTAATAACAGGAGGGACAGCAGTGTCTAGTGGGTGATTAGAATTTCAGCAGGAAGACAGAGGTCGGAGAGCATTAAAGGCAGAGGAGACAGCTTCAGCACAGGCCCTGAGATGTGGCCAAACTTCAGGTATATGGTGGAGAGTGGCTAGAAACAGGTGAGAGATCAGAGCCAGACTATTCAAGGCCTTGTTTGAAAAGCCACAGTTTCATGGGAGGTGGCCAGTAAGGCCTTTTCTTGACAAGCAGAAGAAACCTGCCTCATGCTCCTTATGTTCAGCCCAGGGCCCTAGCAGTAGAATCCTTTTAAACTTAGTTTCTAGTTAAGAGAAAAACATTTAAAGTACCTAAAACTAGCTAGAGGGTGCAAGTGAAATTATTGTGCTTGCTTTGCTAGGGAAAAAAAATTCTCGCCATGTGTTTTTACAGAATCCATAGGGTGTTTCCTTTCTCTTATTGGAGCCTCCTAACATGAATAGTTTGAAAAGGAATTTCTTGTACAAATGTTACATCAGGAGTTTCCAGATTTGAGAAAGACCAAGTGTAAGAGTGCTGTTTGGAAGTGGAAGAGCTCTTTTACTCAAGCTAGCCCAGATTGAAAGAAACAAAATATCCAAGTTTAGAAGATTAAGTGACCTCTTACTTTTTTTTTTTTTTACCGGTTCATGGACCAGAATAAGTCATTGCTAGTGAAACTGAAGATAATGTCTTGAACCAGCATTTGCCTTTTTTTTTTTTTGTCTTGGAGTTGGCTATCCTAGAGAACTGTGATAATTTATAGTGGTGGTTTTATCTCCTACCAAACAGAAAATAATATTTACGTCCATGACCTGTTGACATTTCAACAAATCACTACGGTTTCCAAGGCAAAGGGAGCATCGTTGTTCACATGTGACCTCCAGGTAAGTGCAAGGAAGATAAAATTTGACTTTGTGCTTTGATCAGTATAGCCTTTCCTCACCATCCCTCCCAGTACATGGGAAGAATGTAATATTGATATCCAAACTTAGCAGAGGCTCCAAAGAGACTATTCGATTTTCGATCATATTAGAGAAACCTCCCCCTTAGTATGTGGCCTGAAGCTAGAATATCTGCATTCCCTGGTTGTGTGCTAATTAAAGCACCGGACCACTGTATTTCAGGAGGCAGCTAGCTAAAAATGAAAACGCTTGCCATGGACAAACTGTTAGTGAGGAATCAGGACTGTGATAGTACATGAACATAGCTCTGTGGCATTAATTGACTCATGTTTTAAATGTATCATTGTGGTCTTCGTCATTAGGGAGTTTTTGCTGTTTAGAAAAGACATTTCTCCTGATTTTTGCCACCTCATCATCCTTAGCTTCTTCACAATCTGCCTCACCCCTCTAACTCAGGTTTGATCACTTATTAGCACTTATGGTCTACATTGACACTGCACTGTTTGTTTTATGCTTAGACATTTTCTATCCCCCCCCCACTCCTTTAAAGGATTGAAAGCGGGCCTGCTGTCACTGACACAGGCTGATCCCTGCCCCTGCAGATGTTGACAGCCGTGAGCAAGAAACATTTAAGGAAAAAAGGAGGAAGCAGTTGTGTAGATTTTCTTCTCTAAACTACTTCCGTCTGTGAGGTTTGCTGGGGCCAGTGTCTCTGACTAGCAGCCCATGGGGAGGACACGCTCCTCAGCACGTTGGGTGTGAGTCCTCCTTGAGAGGATGGTGTGTGCTGTGCTCAGCTTCTCTGGCAGCATGTCTTTGTATGACAGGAATGTTCAGATGAGTAGCCATTTCAAGGTAGAAAATCTCTGAATTAGCTGTCACCCACTTCTGGAGTCATCAGTGTACACATCCTCATTTGCTCTGGGTGTCTCTTCCCAGCACACAGAGACTGGGGAGGAGGTGTTGCGGATGTGTGTGGCTGTGAAAAAGAAGCTGCAGCTATATTTCTGGAAAGACAGGGAATTTCATGAATTGCAGGTAAAGTCCATGGTTACCTGGTCCGTGGGTTGGGTGGGAGCTGCTGCTAAGTTGACCCATAGCTTGAAAGATTGGCTGTTCAATTCCTCTGAAGCCCAGGAACCCAGTGGTCTCCCCAGATGAATGTTCCGCTCTGAATACGTAAAGGTTACTCATGCACATTTGTCAGAGTCTCCTGGTCTTCAGAGGCAAGGGAAGCCCAGCCCTACATCTCTACAGATTTATATCAAAGTGGGTTTTCACCTTTTTTAAATGCACCTTGTTCATTTCATGGGTTTCATATTTTATTATGGGTGCTTTCCTGGTCTTGTGCTAATAGAATTGTATTCAGAGGAGGGTGAGGGTGATTTTGCAGAATGGAAGTAGAATAACAGGAAGGTCACGTATTTTTTTTTCTCCCTTTAACATCTTTCCAGTTAAACACTTGCTCTTTTTCTCCAGGGGGACTTTAGTGTACCAGATGTGCCCAAGTCCATGGCATGGTGTGAAAATTCTATCTGTGTGGGCTTCAAGAGAGACTACTATCTAATAAGGGTAAGGTTTACCTTTTTTGCAAATATCATCAGTTTACCTTGGAGAAGTTGACTATGAGTTTACCTGGGGGAGATGATTATATGCTTCTGAACTGCAGGTCAAGAGACTGCATTAGGTAGAGTTTTGGCATAACAGAGTTTGTGTTTATATGTTTGGTTCTTTTTCATGCTCTAAACATCTTTTGTAAATAAGATGTCTGTGTATCTTAAGCCAGACAGCATCATCTCTCAGTTCTCTACATAGTGAATTATCCACATGCTGTATCTAGATAATTAGGACTGCTTGACTGTGTCCAGTAGCATTATCATGGGCTGCTATCTTGAGGCTTCGGTGTTCAGGAATTATATACTAATTTTAGTATTTTTTTTTTTAACTTTGGCTGTGCTGCCTGGTTTGCAGGATCTCAGTTCCCCAACCAGTGACTGAACCCCAGCCGGGCAGTGAAAGCACTGAATTCTAACGACCAGACCACCAGGAAACGCCCTGATTTTAGTAGTAACTTAAGTATTTTTGAGACTTTGAGTTTCTTGCCTCCCTGAATCTTATAGTATATTTGTTTTAAAAATTGTTTTCATTTTTTTTAAATTTCGAAAGCCTTTTGTTTTTATTATAGAAAATAAGAAAATATAGATAAGGAGAGTAAAGGAAGTGCAAGTCATCTATAATTTTTCCACTCACTGTTAACCTTTTAGTAATGTGCATCTGCCCTATTTACGAAAAATATAATGTTATACACATTGTTTTGTAACCTGCTTTTTCTCTTAACCTAAGTGGTAAATATCCACAGCATTGGTTTTTTTCCCTCCAGTGTGCATGTATGTAGACAAGGTCAGTATACCATTCATTTTATAGGATAATATAAATTCCTTATCTTCATACCCCTCTCGTAATCTAGACTTGGCAATCAATCCTAGAAGTCTTTCTCCCCACCTCTTACTTCCCTCCTTCTGCTGTGTTTGCTCTTCATTGTTTTTCTAGTGAATATATTCATTCCATATTTATGTTCTTGGGCTGGCCTCGTTTTATAAGCATCAGAACTGCAAGCTCCTAGGTAGTTACTGGGCTTCTCTGGTAGCTCAGATGGTGAAGAATCTGCCTGCAATACAGGAGATGTGGATTCTACCCCTGGGTTGGGAAAAGCCCCTGGAGAAGGGAATGAGCACCTACTCCAGTATTCTTGCCTGGGAAATCCCATGGACAGAAAAGCCTGTCAGGCTACAGTCGACGGGCTTGCAAGAGTCAGACGTGACGTAGTGACTAAACCACCACCACCAGGTGAGTTACTGCTCTGTAACTCACTATATAGCAACTCGGCAGACAGGTACCTGAGAGGAGTCTGTGAGCGCTGGGGAAACGGAGCCAGGGTTGGAGGAGGGCTCTCATTGCTCTGCCTGCCTTAGGTGTGCTGTCACCTTCTTGAGAGTGGAGTGTTTTGAGGGTGAGGAATCTTGCTTTAGGACCAGTTTATTCAAAACTACTTCCTTTATTTACGTACAGTCACATTCTTTTGGACATGAGGTTCTGAGTTTTGGCAGATGCCTAGAGTTGTATAACTACCAGCACAATCAAGGTTCAGAACTGGGGACTTCCCTGGTGGCCCAGTGGTTAGGGCTTCACACTTCCACTGCAGGGGCTTCAGGTTCAATCCCTGATCAAGGGAGTGACTAAGATCCTGCATACCTTGAGGCCAGAAAAATAAAGATTCAGAACAGTTCCATCACCCCAAGAAATTCCCTCATGCTCTCCTCTGACGTCAGCCTTCCTCCCACAGCCCCACCTCTAGTCACCACTGATCTGTTCTTCTCTTATAGTTTGCCTTTTCCAGATGTCTATAAATAGTATCATACAGTATGTAGCCTTTTGAGCTTGACTTTCACTTAGCATAATGCAGTTGACATCCATCTATGTTGTGTGTGGGTCAGTATATTCTTATGACTTCCATTGTATGGAAGGACAAAGTTGTTTACAATTTTTAGCCACTATAAACATTTGCACACAGATTTTTATATAAACACAGATTTTTCATTTCTCCTGGGCAAATGCCTAGGAATGAGATTGTCGGGTCCCATGGTAAGTGTATATTTAATTTTATAATAAGCCAATAGTCAAAGCTACTATACCATTTTGTGTTCTCACCAGCATCGTATGAGAATTCCAATTACTTTAGCACTTGACTGTTAGCTGCCAAGCTTGATGCCTGTCTCCATGTTAGAGAAAATAAGTACCGGTTCAAAAATTGTCATAACAGACTATTAATATTTCTTTATGCCAGATAAGGAATATTATTGGCCTCTGTAGGTTTGGGGTTTTAACTTGATTTTTCTAGTCCATCCCTCAGTTCATGCCATTGGCTGGAGAAAGCTGGGTGACTCACTTTGTGTCTTCCTGTAGGTGGATGGAAAGGGGGCCAACAAAGAGCTCTTCCCAACAGGAAAACAGCTGGAGCCCTTAGTTGCACCTCTGGCGGATGGAAAGGTGGCCGTGGGTCAGGATGATCTCACCGTGGTGCTCAATGAGGAGGGGATCTGCACACAGAAGTGTGCCCTGAACTGGACAGACATCCCAGTGGCCATGGGTAAGACCTGCAAAGCTGCTCTTTCCCACTTTGGGCTGGGGCCATGCCACTCTCATAGAATGGGGCTCCACTCAGAGCTTTAGCAGACTGGTTTCCAGCATCACTTACTCTCAGTTCCCCTTCTTGTAAGTAGAAAAGTGTTTCTGGGTTATAAAAAATGGGATATTCTGGGGACTTCCATGCTTCTGCTACAGGGGACACAGGTTTGATCTCCGGTCGGAGAGCTGAGATCCCACATGCTACGCGGTGTGGCCCACCCACAAAAAAAGGAGAATATTTTGACTTTTGTAGGAAGTTGGGTTTTGCCAACTTCCAACTAAAAGGCGGAAAATGTAAACAGAGTCGCACGTTTTAGGAAGTGATTGTCTGCTGCTATTTTTATCTTTTACTTCCTTTTCTTTTACATTTGTTTAAAAAATTTTTTTTATATATTTTTTATTTTTGGTCATGCTGGGGCTTCTCTGCTATGCAGGCTTTTTTTTCTCTAGTTGCAGCGAGCAGGAGCTATCCTCTAGTTGTGCATGGGCTTCTCATTGCCATGGCTTTTCTCATTGCAGAGCAGGGTCTCTAGGTCTAGATCAGTAGTTGTGACACATGGGGGTATTTGCTTCACAACATGTCAGATCTTCCTGGACCAGGGATTGAACCCATGTCTCCTGCATTGGCAAACAGATTCTTTACCACTGAGACCCCAGGGAAGCCCTGCCTTCTTTTTTAATGGTTTTTATTTTATCCTCTGCCAAATAGACTAAGCTTGGAAATTATTTAGTCCTACGGTATGTATAACAGTGTTAAAAGGTTTTTGATGTGGTGGTTATTGCTGCTTTTGTTTTTGTAGCTTAGAGGCTGCAGATTGTATTCAAAGTATGTGTCTGCCCCACACACCAGGTGTTTCTGCTCCTACGCCTGCCTCAGGCTCCCAGCACTTTTCAGTGATATTACCTGGAAGCCCATTACCACGCTCGCAGCAATTCATTTTTAGTTGGGAGAGTGAATATTAAATATTTTAGTTACTTCTGTGGAGGGGCATACCAGCCTGCTGTCTTTAAGGGCCCTAGCTTGGGAGTCAAGGATTACATCTTGGGTAAAGAGATGAAATGAGACCCTGCTTCAGGTATTAAATCTGATGAGTTGAGATTTGGTAGTTGAGAAAGGGGAAGTTCACTGTTCAATTAGTCAGTAAGAAGTTTTGTTAAAATTGGACTAGACCAGGCAGGGAGTTTAAGGTCTAGCTTGAAGAAAAATTTCTTTCATTTTAAGCAGAAAAAAATGAGCAGCAATGCAGAAGACATGCTAGTTTGTGAGCAGGCATCCAGAGACTGACCTGATTGAACAGGTGGTATGGATTATGAAGGGGTGAGGAGGGGGCCAGTTGTTAGGGGTCCACATGCAGGTCCAAGAGGCCAGTAGATTTCTAAATGGTAGAATTCATAAAAGTGTTAGCGGTTACTGGTGGTGACTAGAGATGAACAGACCAGAAGGAAAATAAAGCAAAAGGTCAGTATTTTATGGGGCTCACTGAAAGGACTGATGCTGAAGCTTCAACACATTGGCCATCTGATGCAAAGAGCCAACTCATTTGAAAAGACCCTGATGCTGGTAAAGATCAAGGGCAAGAAGAGAAGGGGAAGACAGAGGATGAGATGGTTGGTAGCATCACTGACTCAATGGACATGAGTTAGAGTAACTCTGGGAGATGGTGACAAGACAGGGAAGCCTGGCATGCTGCAGTTCATGAGGTCACAAAGGGTCAGACACGACTTAGTGACCAAACAACAGAAAGGTTATGTATATTCACAAGTTTAGGGGCTTAACGTGAGAAGGGAGGGGACATTCTTCCTAGGTAGGGTGAGAGAATACCCTTCAACGGAAAGAAGACTTAGCTTCCTGAATAGAGTACATGTTTTTTGTTTCTTTTTAATTTTTGTATTGATTTCTGCCATACACAAGGCAAAGCAGCCATAATTATACATATATTCCCTCCCTCCCTTCCTCCCATCACTTCCCTCCAGGTCATCACAGAGTGCCAGACTGGGTTCCCTGTGCTACGTAGCAACTTCTCACCAGCTATCATCCATCTTACACTGGATAGTGTATATATGTTGATGTATATAACAGAAATCTCTGTTCATCCTGAATGGAGTTAAACTTGGATTATATTTCGGCTCTCCTCTTCACTACTGTACCCAGGCTCCAGTCATTCTTTTTTATCGTACTATCTTATTAGTTAATTTTAATTTTTATTGGTATTTAGTTGCTGTTCAGTGTTGTGTTGGTTTCTGCTGTACAGTAAGTGAATCAGCAATGGTGGTGGTTTAGTCATTAAGTCGTGTCCGGCTCTTGTAACCCATGGACTGTAGCCTGCCAGGCTCCTCTGTTCATGAGGTTCTCCAGGCAAGAAGCAAGAATACTGGACTGGGTTGCCATTTCCTTCTCCAGGGGATCTTCCCAACTCTGGAATTGAACCCAAGTCTCCTGCATTTGCAAGCAGATTCTTTCCCAACTCGAATCACATATGTATACATATATCCCCTGCTTTTTGGATTTCCTTCCTAATTGCTCCAGTCATTTGGAAAAGACTCCCCATTCCTGTGCTTTCGTCCGGCTGTTGCCTTTTCCTTTCTTTGCCCAGCAGCATCCTGCTCATATGACAAGTCCCCTGTTCAGTGGCACTTCCTCTCAGAGGTCTTCTCTGACCCACAGGCGGAATTAGTCACTTCCCCCTGGGTGCTCCCACCATCCCTTGGAGTTTCTCTGTCATTCAAGCTGCATGTCCCGCTGGATGCAATGAGTTGTCTGTCTCCTCTGTTCATGTGGGAGCTCTGTGAGCTCTGCGCTCATGTCTTAGTTCCCTTTGAGCAGTGCCTGAAACATCCTAGCCTCTTAGTAAATGCTTGCTGTTAGAAGAATCACCGTTGTTGTCTGCCCTTCATCACGTGCCTTCTGGACACCAACCAGTCTGCCATGTTTGATGACTCAGAGAGATCCAGACCATCTCTGAATGAATCATAAAATGTGACAACTGAAAGAGTTTCTTTGATAGATTTCTTCTTTTGTTAAATTAGACCCTATTAAAGTAGGCCAGATTTTAAAAGGACAGAAGTTTTACATAGTTACATAAATTAACATGAAAGAAAATTATAATAGCTTTTTAAAATTTTTTATTTATTTTTTATTTGAAGGATAATTGCTGAAAATTGTAAGAGCTTTTTAAAATGAGGCCAGCATTAGAAAAGGAAAATATATTATTTAATTCTGTTTTTTGGTAAGATGAAAGATATCAACATAATAACAACAGTACCATTTCAACTGATGAAGGAATTACTACGGCCTCAGTTTCCTCATTTCTGAGTTCCTTTCGGGTTTTGAACTTTTTATGTACTATTCATTTAGAGTATAAATAGCATGTATAATATGAAAAGCCTTTTATCTGAAAGTAAATGACAAGAAAATAAATTTATAGCAAGTTAATCACATCAAGAAACTATTCTTATAGATATATCCTTTGAAGTTAAATTTTTATATAATAATTATGCCATCTAGTGGTTCATTTTTTTTTTTTAGTAATTTAAAATTATTTGTAACGTGGCTAAAAAAAGCACATGGCATAAAATCTATCACCTTAACCATTTTTAAGTTCTCAGTTCAGTAGTATTACGTATATTTACATTGTCATGCAGATTTCAAAACCTTTTCCTCTTGTGAAAGGAAAACTCTATACCTGTTAAACAACAACCCATTTCCCCTGCCCCACTTTCTTTTCCCATGAATTTGACACCATTACCTCCTGTAAGAAAATGGTTACACTGAGCATGCCATCCAGCTGCCTTCTCTGTTAACCATTGAGCATCATGTGGAGTTTTGCATCTTTTCAATGTGATGATCTCAAGCAGAGATAGCATAGACCAGAAATGTGGATTTCTCTCTTCAGAATAATTTTCAGGAAAAAATAAAAAGAAGTTGCCCTCCTCTTGCCTTTCCTAAGAGGACGAAAGAAATTATGTCACCTTGTTCTCTGACTGACTCGTTAGGGGAGCTGCCACTGGCCTTGGTTTGGCCTGGCTTTGTGACTGATGAGAAAGGAGCTGCTGACTCTCACCCAGTCCTCTCAGCAAAACAGTAGGAATGGAGTCCAGTCACTGAGCAAAGCTAAGATGTATCCTTAAGATTTCTCTTAGCATCACTGAGACAGGCAATTTTTTTTTTTTTTTTTTGTATATCACAGTATAGGATCCTGGCTTGGTATTTGACTAGTGGACCATTTGGAGATCCAAGTGCAGCTTAGAAATGAGAAGCTGAAACGTCTATAAACCTAAAGCCTTAGAGAGAACCTCAACTCAACATGTTCTCTCTCGTGCAGAGCACCAGCCTCCCTACATCATTGCAGTGTTGCCTCGATATGTGGAAATCCGAACATTTGAGCCGAGGCTTCTGGTCCAGAGCATTGAACTGCAAAGACCCCGTTTTATTACCTCAGGCGGGTAAGGAATTCCTTTCTTTACTGTAGCTGTCATCTTATTCCAAAACTTTAAAGTCATCTGGGTCATCATAAAGCTGGCCCTCTCTTGCTAATTCTCTTACCCCTATCTCCAGATCAAACATTATCTATGTGGCCAGCAATCACTTTGTCTGGAGACTCATTCCAGTCCCCATGGCGACACAAATCCAACAGCTTCTCCAGGACAAGCAGTTTGAATTGGCTTTGCAGCTCGCAGTAAGTCTTTGTTTCTGATATGTGGATGTGAGTTTGCCTTCCTCGTCCCTCTTCAAGGGAGGTGATTTTGGTTTAGATGTTCATGTTTTGCTTGGACTGGAGGAATAAGCACAGAGCTGAAAGTCGAAGGGCTTGGATTCAGGATCAGACCCTGCCATAAAAGTATCTGTGTAACTCTAAGTAATCTCACTGTCTCTGTCAAATGTAGAATGAATGCCAATTATACTAATAGTACTTCATTGAATTAATAGGACAGTAAAATAATTGAATAGATATGATATGGCCTTGAAAAATTAAAGACAATGCAAACAGCAAAATAACAATCGTTCATTGTCAAGGTTATAGTTTGGTTGAATGCAACGGCTCCAAAGCCTCTCAGAGTCCCTTTCACAAGTAGGCTCCTGGGCTTGGATAAGAAGGCCTTCTTTAGGTACTTTGAACCCACCTCAGGTTGCTGCCTTCAGCAGGGCCCCAGTCTTCATACTGTCACTCTCCTTGAATGTTCACGTGGGACGTTACTCACACTCTTGGCTGAGTAGTGACCCTGCTCTTCTTGCAGTGATGCTCTTATTACCAACATGCTTCTTGAAGATTGACTTTCAAGTCTTGCCTTATTCTTTTAAACATCCCTAGTGGTGATTATTGTCATCTTGAAAGAGTGAATTTGAATTTATGAAACAACTGAAAGTCATCCTGAGCCTCACTTAGTCATTAAAACCAGACAGTGCTAATTTAGTAAGAGAAATGATTGTTATATAAGTAATAGTAGGAAAACTTGGTTTTTAGAGTATCTTATAAATTATTTCTGAAAGGGAGACAGTGATCATAAATTTTGGAATACAAATGATTGTAATCATATGTGGTAGATACTTTTGAAGAGGAACTTTTATTTTGGGTGTATAAGTTCTAGACTGAAAACAAAAATCCAGTCTTAATTAGTTAGACACATTTACTATCCCATAGATTGTTTCTTTCTTGGGCCATTTAATTTTAGCATCTTATTGTTTTTTTCCCTACTCGTTTATTGCCCTAAATTATTTTGTTTTCATTTTTAAAATAATGAGTACCCATAAACCCACCACCTAACCCCCCTAAAAATAACTTGTGTAACCGGTACATCCCTCCCCATCCCATCCCTCTTCCTATGCTCCAGACACAGCCATTATCCTAACTTTGTGTTTTGTTGTTGTTCTATCACTAAGTCGTGTCCGACTCTTTGAGACCCCATGAACTGCGGCACACCAGGCTTCCCTGTCCTTCACCATCTCCCTGAGTTGGCTCAAATTCATGTCCATTGAGTCAGTGATGCCATCCAATCATCTCATCCTGTCATCCCCTTGTTCTCTTGCTCTCAGTCTTTCCAAGCCTCAGGGTCTTTTCCAATGAGTTGGCTCTTCACATCAGGTGACCAAAGTATTGGAACTTTAGTTTCAGTACCAGTGCTTCCAGTGAATATTCAGGGTTGATTTCCTTTAGGATTAATTGATCTCCTTGCTGTCCAAGGAACTCTCAAGAGTCTTCTACAGCACCACAATTCGAAAGCATCAATTCTTGGGTATTCAACCTTCTTTATGGTCCAGCTCTCACATCCATACATGACTAATGGAGAAGGGAATGGCAAACCACTTCAGTATTCTTGCCTTGAAAATCCCATGAACAGTATGAAAAGGCAAAAAGATATGACACTGAAAGATGAACCCCCCAAGTCAGTAGATGTCCAATATACTACTGAGGAAGAGTGGAGAACTTGCTCCAGAAAGAATGAAGAGGCTGAGCCAAAGCGGAAATGATGCCCAGTTGTGGTTATATCTCTTGTTGAAAGTTAAGTCCAATCCTGTAAAAAGCAGTATTACATAGGAACCTGGAATGTTAGGTCCATAAATCAAAGTAAATTGGATGTGGTCAAACAGGAGATGGCAAGAGTGAACATCGACATTTTACGAATCAGTGAACTAAAATGGACAGGAATGTTAGTTGCTCAGTTGTGTCCGACAACGGGAATGGGCGAATTTAATTCAGATGGCCATTATATCTACTACTGTGGGCAAGAATCCCTTAGAAGAAGTGGAGTACCCCTCATGGTCAACAAAAGAATCTGAAATACAGTACTTGATTGCAGTCTCAAAAATGACAGAATGATCTAGGCTCGTTTCCAAAGCAAACCATTCAACATCACAGTAATCCAAGTCTATGCCCCAACCACTATTGCTGAAGAAGATGAAGTTGAATGGTTCTATGAAGACCTACAAGACCTCCTAGAACTAACATCAAAAGAGATGTCCTTTTTATCATAGGGAACTGGAATGTAAAAGTAGGAAGTAAAGAGATACCTGGAGTAACAGGTAAGTTTGGCCTTGGAGTATAAAATGAAGCAGGGCAAAGGCTAACAGAGTTTTGCCAAGAGAATGCAAAATGATCATAGCAAACATCCTCTTTCAACAACACAAACGACGACTCTACACATGGACATCACCAGATGGTCCATACCAAAATCAGATTGATTATACTCTTTACAGCCAAAGATGGAGAAGCTCCATACAGTCAGCAAAAACAAGACCTGGAGCTGACTGTGGCTCAGATCATCAGCTCCTTATTGCAAAATTCAGACTCAAATTGAAGAAAGTAGGGAAAACCACTAGGCCATTTAGGTATGACCTAAATCAAATTCCTTATGATTATACAGTGGAGATGATGAATAGATTTAAGGGACTAGATCTGGTAAACAGAGTGCCTGAAGAATTATGGATGGGGGTTCGTAACATTGTATAGGAGGTGGTAACCAAAACCATTCCCAAGAAAAAGAAATGTAAGTAGGCAAGGTGATTGTCTCAGGAAGCCTTACGAGTAGCTGAGAAAAGAGAAGCAAAAGGCAAAGGAGAAAGGGAAGGATATACCCAACAGAATGCAGAGTTCCAGAGAATAGCAAGGAGAGATAATAAAGTCTTCTTAAGTGAACCTTTGTGTTTATCATGCCCTTACATTTTTTTTGAGAGTATTTTACATATATTTGTGTGCTTGAGTATGTGTCTAGTTTTTGAGCTTTATGAAAAAGGTATTATGTAGCACATGGCTTTTTTAGCATCCATTTTTCTTAACAGGAATGGCTTTTCGGTGTTCTTTCTGCTGCTGGTTGTCTGTTTCATCTTTGGTAGAGAAAAAAAAAGTGGGTTTGCTTTTTTCCCTTCTCTTCTCTAGGCCTGTACTTACTAGGTGTTCTGCTCTATGACAAAAGAAGGTTGCTTGATACCATCTTGGCTCTTGAGGAACCTGTCTCTCCTTTAAATTAATCAGAGGACATACACGAAACTTTCAGAGGGCAGTTACATACTGAACTTTTTTATTAGGCCAGAAAAAGAATCCTAAGGTTGGACTCTTTAAAGATAAGTCAGACCAGGAGCTTGAAACAGGGAGAGTTACAGAGCCTGGGGAAGTTATGAGTGAAAACAAGTGTGGAAACGAGTATTTCCAGGGCACTTGGAGTCCATTGTGAGTGGCATGGAGGGTGTGGCTTGAATGTGTGGGAATAACCTAGGTAAGGAGACTGTGCCAGGCTTTGAGAGCCTTTAAAGCACCAAACAGGAGCGCTTAGCCCAAGCGCAGCCATGTGCTGATGGTGGCCTGGATTGGGGTGACAGCGACAGAAGAGGAAAAGAAAGGAAGGGAAAACGTGGAGAGACATTTTGAAGGAAGAAGTTAAATGTGGTAAAGATTGGCTAAGAAGGATATCAGAGGGGGAGGGTTAAAGGAAGAAACAGATGTTTGGCTTATGCTGTGAACAGGGCCTTTCCCAATCATGCCAGCTATGTTAAACATCTTCCATCCTTGGAGCACGCCATGCTCTCTGTCTGTCATTTTAGGGTCTTGCACAGTGCTGTCTTCTAGGCCTCAGGTGTCCTCCCCTCCCCCATCTGTCACCTGCCAACCTCACCTGGCCAGCTCCAGCTCACCTTGTGTCTCAGCTTACATTCCTCCTGGGAACCTTCCTGGACCCACTGTTCATACTGGGCTGACCTGAACACCCCACCCACGTGGTTCTACCATCACTCACTCTGCTTTGTTTTGATTTTTTTCTTTAAACCCTAAACTTTATTCAGATTTCACTAAGTTTTCCCATTAATTGTCCCTTTTTCTGTTCCAGGTTCAAATCCAGAAATCACAAGGTATTTAGGTGGCACACATTCTTAGTGTCCTCTGACCTGTGGAAATTTCTTAGTCTTCCCTTGTTTTTCATGATCCTGATGGTTTTCAGGAGTACTGGTCAGGTATTTTGTAGAAGTCCTGCTGTGTTTTAATTACATAGTTACTTAAGATTAGACTGTAAGGGCAATCTCTGAGGTCAGAGCCATGTGACTGCTTTGTACCCTGTGGCATATACATGTTCCAGGATATCGTCTGATACCTGGTAGATATTGGTTGAGTGAGTGAGCGCCTACCTATTTTACTCTCTTTTCAGGAAATGAAAGATGATTCCGACAGTGAAAAGCAGCAACAGATCCATCACATCAAGAACTTGTATGCCTTCAACCTCTTCTGCCAGAAGCGTTTCGATGAGTCCATGCAGGTCTTTGCTAAACTTGGCACAGGTAACAAGGGGGTATGGCCTCGGGATGAGGAACTAAACAGAGGGAGGGGAAGCTGGAAAGAATGGGGAGAAATGATATCAGACTTCCGAGAATGGGGAAAGTTAACCTCATCTAGATTGATCCTTGTACTTAACAGGATCCTGTGGGTGGCCATGTGACTATTTACAGCCCTGATCTTATGACTCTGGTCTCATCCACATACACAGACTTCCAGTTTTCCAGGATGCTTTGCCCTTGCCATTAGAGGAAGGTAACAAAGTCATTGAAGACAACAGACATGTGTTTTATCATCTAGTAATCAGATTATTGACTGCAGTTCTAGACAAAAGTCACTGACTTGAGCCTAGTAGGATACAACAGTAGGGTTTTTTTTTTTTTGGCTACTCTGGGTCTTTGTTGTGGTGTGCAGGCTTCTTCTGGTTGCAGCACACAGGCTTCTCTAGGGTTGCTTGAATGTCCTTATGCAGAGTGACTGGCTTTTCCTGGAGTTGGTGATCCAAGAGACCTAGCCGGAAGCCTTAGTGCCTTTTAGGGTGATCACTTCACCCCATGTTCTGTTGATTTACAAGGGCTTTCCAAGTTAGGGCAAAAGAACACACACTCTTCATGGTGGAGGGGTGTCAACATTACGTAAAAGAAGCGTGTCAGGTTGGGTACATGTTGGTGTGTGCCATATTGCTTGTCATCCTTAAATCTGTTTCTCAAGATCAGAGGAATCTGGTTGGCCAGGATTAGATTTTCCCCCTTATTTGTATTATTCTCTTGTCAGTTATTCATGTCTTTTGTCCATTAATCAAATGAAATCCTATGTTTTTTTAAGCCAATCTGTGTGAATTAATTTTATATAATCAGCCTATTAGCTTCTGCCATATATGCTACCAGTGTATTCCATAGCCTGTTGCCTGGTGTTTTTGTTTTACTAATATTCCTTTACACGCACACACACACGGACACACACACTTTTTATTTTTTAAGTCTAGTGATCTTTTCAACTTCACTGTCTTACCAGGTTTTCCTTTTTCTTCTTTGCTTTTAGTGAGTTAATGAATTTTCATTTTTAATTCTATATATGTCTTAGAATAGAGTCTTGCAATCATTGTAATGTTTTAGTGTTCAAAATATATGTGTATAGCTTGAGTTTTTATGAACTTAAGAGTCATTTAAAAAAAAGTCAATCTGGAACTTATTTGTAGTGATAGTCTCGTTTTAGTTTATCTTTAAATTGCTGTACTTCTATCTGGGGAATCGTGTTCACCTTCCATGTAGATCCTACCCATGTGATGGGCCTGTACCCGGATCTGCTGCCCACAGACTACAGGAAGCAGCTGCAGTATCCTAACCCACTGCCTGTGCTGTCTGGGGCTGAGCTGGAGAAGGCTCACTTAGCTCTGATTGACTACCTGACCCAGGTAGGTGTGATACCAAAGTATATGGAAGAGTTCGCCTGGGAGTTTCAGTACCTGCTTCTCTGTGGCAGGGAAGGGGGAGGCTTTTGTAATGCCACAGATGGTCCACAAGTGAACACTGCAGAAGTCTGAGGGGGGGCACATTTTTTCTGTTTCACCTCCTTGCTTAACAGTAGAAGCATATTTTGCTAAGTCACTTCAGTCTTTGCGGCCCCAAGGACTGTAGCCCGCCAGGCTCCTCTGTCCATGGAATTCTCCAGGCAAGAATACTGGACTGGGTCGCCATTTCTTCCTTCACAGATCTTTCCAACCCAGGGATTGAACCCATGTCTCTTAGGTCTCCTGCATTTGCTGTTGGGTTATAACAATAGAATAGAGCTCTTTTTTGCCAAATCCTGGTACCAGGAAGCATACTCTGTTCCTGGTAGATTCACACTAAGCTCTTATAGGAACTAAAAAGAGAAAAGTTTGATTGATTGAAAAGAATAAGCATTTTAAAGAACTTTTGGGGAACAGTTATACTTTTGGGAAAAAAATACCTGCTCTACACAGAAAACTTGGAAAACACAGAAAAGTATAAAATAAAAATAAAAAATCACTCATTGCTCCTACCACTCAGAGAAAAGTAACTAACATTTTAGTGTTGTCCTTCCAGAGTTTTATATGTACTTGTGAATAATTTTTTGTTTATTTATTTATCAGATTTTTTAAATTGCAAATGGATATCAAGATATATACTGTTTTATAGGTTACTTTTAAAGCATTTAGCCATATATTAGGAAAGTCCTTCCCTGTCATTAAGTATTCTTCTATAACATGTTTTTTTAGAGGGAGTATTTGGACTTAAATTATTTCCAGTTTACTGTTACAGACAGATAAGTAAAATTTTCAGATCAGCACTAAAACTGATATCTCCATTGATGTCTCTGAACCCTAAATTTCCGTGCTTAAGGCTATTATTTATTTCCTGGGCACCCATTCAGAGTCAGTTGTTGTTCAGTCGCTAAGTCATGTCCTACTCTTTGCAACCGTGTGGACTGCAGCACGGCAGGCTTCCCTGTCCTTCACTATCTCTTGGAGTTTGCTCAAATTCATGTCCATTGAGCTGGTGATGCTGTCTAGCCATGTCATCCTTTCTGACTCAGAGTCAGAGAACTTATTAAAATTTTTTCCCATAAGTGTTCTGCAGACTTGTAAGGGGTATCCTAGAGAGGCATAAGTATTGCTAGGAAAATTGTAAGCCAGCTACCCACCACCTGTTTCTGGATCAGTGGGTGTCCCACAGGTCCACACAGGCATCTGTCGTCTTGGCACTTGCTTGACATCGGGCTCCATGGTTGGATGGCAGCCTGCACAGAGCGCACCGGCTTGCCTCTGTCTGCACACTGCACAGTCCATGAGCCAAGTGAAAAGGCTCCCGGGGCAGAAAGCGTCCCAAGCATGTGGCATCACAGAAGACTCTCTAGTTCCAGTATCTTAGCTTTAGGACCCCGAGCACAGTCTTCCCTGACCTTCTCCATTGAGTTTGGAATGTGTGGAGGTAACTGATACCAGCCTTGTGCCAGCGAGATGGTAGAACAAATAAGACCATGGGCATTCCAGACACAAAATAGTACAAATTGAATGATTCCATTTATATGCAGTTTTAGAAATCATGCGTTCTCAGTTGCTAAGTCAGTCTGACTCTTTGCCACCCCATGGACTGTAGCTCACCAGGTTCCTCTGCTCATGGGATTTTCCAGGCAGGAATACTGGAGTGGGCCCTCCTCCAGGGGATCTTCCCAACCCAGGGATCAAACCTGTGTCTCCTGCATTGGCAGGTGGATTCTTTACCACTGAGTCACCTGGAAAGCCCATTTGAAGTTCTAAAATAGGGAAAGAGTAATCATTAGTATACTTTTCAGGGGTACATTTTATTGCATGTAACTCATAACCTCAATAAAGTTGATTAAAAAAAAATAAAAACATGCCCTTTGGAATCTGACCCTAATTTGAAGTCGGCCTCTGTTACTAATGAGGTAGCTAACATCTGTGCCTTGGGTTCTTCACTTATAAAATGGGGCTAATAATACCTGTATTTGTTTTATATGTAGAATAGGATAAATCTATAAATTGCATGACACAGTGCCTAGTGTGTAGTAGATACTCAGTAGATCATTGTTACTGTATCTGGTGGTTTGGTAGGCATCTATTTTTGATCCCTGATAAATGCCAATGTGGGACCAGGGTGGGTAGGTGCGAGCTGATTTGAAGGTATTTGGAATTTCCCGGTAGCTCAGATGATAAAGGAAGCTTTAAGCCTGGCCTTGACCCTGCACTTTTGCCCTTGGCAGAAACGAAGCCAGTTGGTAAAGAAGCTGAATGACTCAGACCACCAGTCTAGCACCTCGCCTCTCGTGGAAGGGACCCCTACCATCAAGTCCAAGAGGAAGCTGCTGCAGATCATTGACACCACCCTGCTCAAGTGCTACCTTCACGTGAGTTTTCAGCGCTCGGCTCCCTGCTGCCCTCCCGCCTCCCTAGCCTGGGATCCCTGCCACTAGTAAGAGTGAAGTATTTGATCTTAGGGACCTGACACCTGTGAGCTGCTTAGAATTGAGGGTTAAGACGAGATGTTGACCCAGAATCTTAGAATGGGCTGGTCTTCTCTCCCAAGACTGGGGTTGGTGCTGCAAGGTGAATAGGGACAGTTCCCCAAAGAAAATTACACACACACACACACACACACACACACACACACGGGTTGGTGCTACAAGGTAAATAAGAAAATTTCCCCTTTCTTTACCCTCTTTCCCCCTATACACACACAGTTCCCCAAAGAAAATTTCCCCTTTCTTTACCCTCTTTCCCCCTCTTTCCCCCTACACACACACAGTTCCCCAAAGAAAATTTCCCCTTTCTTTACCCTCTTTCCCCCTCTTTCCGCCTACACACACACAGTTCCCCAAAGAAAATTTCCCCTTTCTTTACCCTCTTTCCTTTCCCCCTACACACACACACACACACACATTGTGTGAAAGAGCATAAATGCTATGAAAGCTCCTACCTCACACACACACACACACACACACACACACACACACACACACACACACACACACACACATTGTGTGAAAGAGCATAAATGCTATGAAAGCTCCTACCTCACACACACACACACACACATTGTGTGAACGAGCATAAATGCTATGAAAGCTCCTACCTGACACACACACACACACACACACACACATTGTGTGAACGAGCATAAATGCTATGAAAGCTCCTACCTGACACACACACACACACACACACACACACACACACACACATTGTGTGAACGAGCATAAATGCTATGAAAGCTCCTACCTGTAGTCCTGGAAAGGGTTGATTGCTCTCTCTTGCTTGTGTAACACGCCTGGTGTTTCAGCCTGAAGCAGGCCTGGGCTGAGAGAGGATGGGCCTCCCCAGGAAGTAGTTCCTGCTGAAGTCCTGCCTCTCTTGCAGACGAACGTGGCCCTCGTGGCCCCCTTGCTCCGTCTGGAGAACAATCACTGCCACATCGAAGAGAGCGAGCACGTGCTGAAGAAGGCTCACAAGTACAGCGAGCTGATCATCCTGTACGAGAAGAAGGGGCTCCACGAGAAAGGTAACCGGGGCAGGGGTCACCTGTGATTAGAGGGTCTCTTGTATTTTGACAGGGGGAAATCTACTGAGGTGTTTGTTGTTACTGAATCACATCCAGCTGCTCACTGCTTGAAAATCAATACACAAGAGAGAGGCAAATATTACAAAGGAAAGTTGATTTTAATGAGAATGCTGGCAATCTGGGGAGATGGTAGACCCAGAGTCCCCCAAAAACCCATCTGAAGATTTTCAAAGCTCAGACATGAAAGCTTTGGGGATAGAGAGTCAGAGTCCCCCCACCCCACACTGTGTGTGGGCGTGTAGACTTCTTGTGATTTTTCTTTAGCCACTATCTTGTTCATAGGATCACTGAAGGGGAAGCTAGGGAGGCGATCTGGTCATCTGTTTTTACTTAGTCTGCATTTCTACTTCTTTGAAAGAAACAGGTTAGGCAAAGTACTTTGTGATCACAAGATCTGAAAGGTGGGTGAGAGCTGGAGATGAGTAAGTGTATAGGTGCCTGGTTTAACATTAGAGGCAAGACAAAGTGGCCTGCTGCAAAGACCTCTTTCCCGCTGAAAGCTGTGTGCAGTGTGATGACTCTCCAAGGAGATACGCCTTCTGGAAGGGGCTCATGACCTTATTCTTGGGCTTCATGGCCAGCTCTGCAGGTGCTGGTGGACCAGTCCAAGAAAGCAAATTCCCCTCTGAAAGGCCATGAGCGGACAGTGCAGTACCTGCAACATCTGGGTGAGTCCAGCCCCTAGAAGGAGCAAGGGGAGGGGATTGTGTTCAAGTGAACCTGACCTCTCTCCCTTCCTGATTCTGGCTGGTCAGTCCCCTCCCTCCCTTGTGTTCGTTCACCCAGCTGGGTTCCTCCAGGGATGAAAGTCCCCCCAGTGGTGGGACTACAACAGCCCCTTGGTGTGTAGCCAGTCTGGTAGGTCCAAGCATCCCTGAGTGACTGGACAGAGCTAACTTCTCTGGATGATAAATCCTGGGCAACCTGGGCACCTGCCTTCCTGGTCCTGTGGGCAGAGTGGGTGGACCTCACCTGCTGACAAGTCTTCCTTTTCCCTCTAGGCACAGAAAATCTGCATTTAATTTTTTCCTACTCAGTGTGGGTGCTGAGAGACTTTCCAGAGGATGGCCTGAAGGTAGGATCACAGAGTCCCTTGGATTTATTGGGTACCATGGTTGGTTCTGATTTTATTTTAGACAGTTGTGGGTAGAGGGGTAGGAAGGGTTTGTGCAGTTCTCCGGTGTTTCCAAGACTGGGACACATGGGACAGCGGTGGAGTGCAGTAGAAAGAGCCTGGTGTGGATGCCAGGGGACCTAGTCTGCCCCACACCGACTGGCCACAGATGCCCTTCCCGCCTCAGTGTCTGTCCATGTGACCCTATGCTTGTGTGCATGTGTGTTTGGAAGGATTGCCATCAGGTGGTTCTGCTGCTGGAACTCAGGTTTTATTCCAACAGATATTTACTGAGGACCTCCCAGAGGTGGAGGCTTTGCCACGAGACCGAGTGCTGGGCTTCTTAGTGGAGAATTTTAAGGGTCTGGCTATTCCTTACCTGGTAAGATATTTTTTGATCTGAACTAAAAAGTTTCAGTCAAACCCAGGATCTATGACTACAAGAGACAGTGATTAGCCAGTTCAGATTAGGGTTTGTGTCCCTTGGGGATTGGAAGGACTGTAAAAGAAGAGGGTTCTTTTAGTCTTCTCTGAAGACAGCCCAGTAGACCAAGCTTTTTCATGCTACCTTCTAAACCTAGGTGACGTACAGAGAGATAAAAGAGAAGGAGAGAAACTGTTGGAGAAAAACATATCAGAGCCACATTTGTACAGCCAGACTTAACTGTGACCGCAGGATGACTAAATCAGTCCTAAGTACCAAAATGTAACTATTTAACCTTAATTACCTGGGCTGATTTGGATGATTATGAGACAAAATTAATAAAGGAGCTTAGATTGGAAATTGAGACGCTAATTCCTGATATTGCTGGGTTGTAGGAGAACTATCCCATGGTAATCTTAATTAGGGGACAATCTGGATGGGACCTTTTGGGCCTTAAAAATGTGAGGGAGCCTGGGTGAATGGGCTGGGCCATGCCGCAGAACGGAGGGTACCAGGCAGACCTGTATCTCTCCCCAGGAACATGTCATCCACGTTTGGGAGGAGACCGGCTCTCGGTTCCACAACTGCCTGATCCAGCTGTACTGCGAGAAGGTGCAAGGTCTGATGAAGGAGTATCTCCTGTCCTTCCCTGCAGGTACCAGTTCTCGGCATGCAGGGTGGCCCCAGGCCTTAGAGGTGAGCTGGGACCCGAGGGGACCATGGGTGGGGTAGAGAAGCAGACTTTCTCTGCAGGCCCGGGTGGGCAGGAAGGGCCTCGGAGGCCCCAAGGCAGCTAAGCGACCCTACAGGTGAGACTTGGGGGCTGGTGTCTGGATCTGGGCATCTCTGAGCCTCCCTGGGCATCACCTATGGAGGAGGGGGAGTAGATCTGTATGCAGAGTGACAGCTGAGCTGATAAGGAACAGGTTTGTCTACCAGAGTGCTTCTCTTAAGCAGCTTGGTGGGCTTTTTTTCTCAAGCTGATGTTTTGGGGCCATACTGAGACCATAAACTAAGAGAAGGCCTACTGGAAAGCATCATGGAGGTGCTTTCTAATCATGGCGGTGACATTGAACCCCATCCCCTTCATTTTTTCTTGATGACACCACACATTGCTGCCTAACAGCATCCTTTCATGTTGAGCATGGTTTCTTTTAAAGGCAAAGCTCCAGTCCCTGCTGGTGAAGAGGAAGGAGAGCTGGGAGAATACCGACGGAAGCTCCTTATGTTCTTGGAAATTTCCAGCTACTATGACCCAGGCCGGCTCATCTGTGATTTTCCTTTTGATGGTGGGTGTCTGGCTTAGGTCAGAAGCCACTTTGGCAGGAGATAATGCAAAAATGGATCCTTCCCTTATACCAGTTCCCCAGCCCTCCCAAAAGTTGGGCCTGGGAAAAACCATGTGTTTCAGGCCTGTGCTCCTATTCTGTCCTCTCTGAAGACTCACTTTTGAACCATGATTAAGAGAAGTCTCTTTTGGGTGTGAACCACATGCTAATTGTTAACCAGGTTGAAACCTGTTTGTTGCTTCAGTACTTGTTCTTGGCCAAGTTCCTTGTTTAGCAGTTTCTGTAATCTGGAATAATTTGTCTGAAAAAGACGTAAGTCTGGCTGATGTATAAACTCCATGAGAGCAGAGACCAGGTGTCTGCTTCCCTTGGCTGAAGCACCTGGCACATTGTAAGTGCTTATTATCCATTTAGCTGATCGTCAGGTATTGTTCTTCCATTTAGAAATGATCACAGAAAAAGATGAGATAAAATACTACCTAAACTAGTCCCCTCCCTCCTCCCTTTTAAAAATTTTAGTAATTTTCTCCTTGAAAAAAATCCCGAGTAATAAAAATATTTTTTCCCAATACCCATTCCTCTAATAGCTTAGCCTCTGGCCTTGGGCTTGCCTGGCCGTGGTGATGGTTTCTTACACTCTTTCCACCCCCCCGCCCCCAGGCCTCTTGGAAGAACGTGCTCTCCTGCTGGGACGCATGGGGAAACACGAACAAGCTCTCTTCATCTACGTGCACATCCTGAAAGACACAAGGATGGCTGAAGAGTACGTCGACCCTGCCATCCTACCCCCCAAGGGTCTAAAAGAGGCCCTGCAAAGAGATGAGAGGCTGAGAAAGCCACCCCTGCACTTGCCGCTGAAGCGAGGTCACCTCGTGTGCTGGCCCCCGATTGTGCTGTCATTAGGCTGCTCAGGCAGCATCCATGCCCTTTCTCTACATGTGACCTTGTCTGATCACTCTCTCCCTTACAGGTACTGCCACAAGCATTATGACCAAAACAAAGATGGCAACAAAGATGTAAGTAGTTGGCCCCAGGGAGCACATACGCACTGCACTGCCCCTCTTAACATAGCTAGCGCCCTCTGGTTTGGGCCACAGGTGACACTGGCAGGATTGCTGACATGACAGGGCATGGGTTAGGGCACTGATTGATTTTGCGCACCCGTGCTGAGAGAGCAGCAGGGTGACCGCAGTCTTGGTTTGCTCGGGGTGGCTCTGGCGTAGTCTGTTGTCATCCGTGTGATTATTTGTAGTGCCCCTGCTGCTTTACTCTTAAGACAGTCTCAACTTGTACAATAAATTTCCTGGTCAGCCTGTTGAGAAGGAACATCTGATGGTTCTTACAAGGTGCCCACATGTGCTTTCCATAAATTCCATGTGGATCTGTCAATGTGTAGAGATATTTTACATGGCCACTGGTGGCAGTGGTGGGGGGTGGGGTTTGCTCCCCGAATCTAGGAGGTAGAGGCCAGAGTTGCTGCTTATCAATGCACAGCACAGCCCAGAATATTGAGTGAGAGGCTGAGAAACACTGTGGTGTGGGTCCAGTAGGAGATGCAGCATCTCATCTTGGGCTAATCCTTACCGGCTTATACGTGACAGAGTCTCAGCCTTCAAAGCCAAAGGAAATGAGGGGTCTCTTGGAGTCATTTTGTTAACAGTATAATGCTAAACAATACAAGGCATTTGATTCTTTTTTCTCTCTCAGAAAGAACATGATCTTTAATTTTTTTAATAATTTATTTCTATTTATTTGACTGCACCTGGTCTTAGTTGCTGCACTTGGGATCGTTGATCTTCACTGCAGCGTGCAGGATCTTTTGTTGTGGCTTATGAACTCTTAGTTGCAGCATGTGTGATCCAGTTCCCTGACCAGGGATCAAACTTGGGCCCTCTGCATTGGGAGTGTGGCATCTTAGCCACTGGACTACCCAGGAAGTCCCACACAACCTTTAATTTTTGACATCTTCAGTCAACGGACTTTACAAAATTTATTAAAAGGTGAAAAATGCTGCGTTTTAAAGTTCCTCCAGACCAACCCTCTTGCCTTTAAGTGTGGTCATGCTGAGGGTTTGGGGAGGGTTGCTGCCGGCCTGACGCGTGCGTGGCTTGTTGTGTATGAGACAGGTGTATCTGTCCCTGCTCCGGATGTACCTGTCACCCCCCAGCGTGCACTGCCTGGGGCCGATCAAGCTGGAACTGCTGGAGCCACAAGCCAACCTCCAAGCCGCCCTGCAGGTCCTGGAGCTACACCACAGCAAGCTGGACACCACCAAGGTCAGCAGCTCTCCTCGCAGAGTCAGAGGGCACAAGTGGGGAGCGTGGAACCACAGGAGGGGCTGGCAGGAGGGAGGGGGTCTGAGGGCTCCATGACGTCAGGCGTTTCCTCCGTCTCACTCCTGTCCCACCTCTCCTTGTTACTGTCTCTCTTCCCGTCCCCAGGCCATCAACCTGCTGCCCGCAAACACTCAGATTAATGACATACGCATCTTTCTGGAGAAGGTCTTAGAAGAGAATGCCCAGAAGAAACGGTTCAACCAAGTGCTCAAGAACCTTCTCCATGCAGAGTTCCTGAGGGTACGCGCCTTCCCGATGCAAGTGAAGGCTTGTCCTTTCACGTGCGAGGCCGTTGCCACTCCCACTTAAGCCTCGCTTAAGGCCGTTGCCTTAACCCTGTCCCCTGAGACAGAGGCAGAGCTGGGTGCTTTGTAACTCTCTGGCTCAAACTGATCGGTAACCAGCTGGGCATGTAGCCACGGGTGTTTCAGTTAGGGAGCCCCTGTGGGCTGGGAGGTGAGACAGTGCCGGCCCCTCCTCCTGTCCCTGCCAGACAGCGGGACCTTCCCGCCACTCTCTCTGCTCCCAGGTCCAGGAAGAGCGCATTCTACACCAGCAGGTGAAGTGCATCATCACGGAGGAGAAGGTGTGCATGGTGTGTAAGAAGAAGATTGGGAACAGGTGAGTCTCACCCATAGCTTGCTCAGGGTAGATTTCTGCCCCTTAACCCAAGAGGAAAGAGCAGCTGAGCGCTATCTGGGCCACTTTTAGTGCTTGAGCCTCCAGAGGGCAGGCCGTGTTTTCTGGTGTGTCTGTGGGGTGGGGGTGCTTTGAGAATTTAAAGGCCTGAAATGTGTAGTAGGGGGCTCTTGACTTGTTGCTCATAAAGCCCTTCTCCTCTGGTTGCTTAACGTTGACATGCACCACGGGGTGTTTGAGAGCTGTATGTGAGCAGGAGGTCCTTATCTTTTAAAGATACACCTCTGAAAGAAGAAAAAGGTCTTTCAGCCTGCTGCCTCCTGAGTAAAATCCTGAAGCAGCATCATTCTGTTTTAAGGCATATACTCTAGTTAGTGCTGCTTCCTTCAAGGAAGTGATTTGTCCTTTTACTTCTATGGCTGGAAGAATGCTTTCCTTCAGAAAGACCCACTGCCCTTTGTTAGAGTTAGCCCACAGTTTGTTCTGATGAGCAGCTGGCGCTCAGTAAGCCGCTGCTGAGCCAGGCTGGTGCATTGCTCTGTCTGGTTGTGTGTTACACTCTGCTGACAGTAGGAAATATCCCCTGCTACTAGAAGCTATCATACCAAGTGGAGTAAGTCAGAAGCAGAAAGACAAGTACCACTTCAGTGGGGAATCTAAAATCTGGCACAGATGAACTTATCTACAAGACAGAAATAGACCTACAGACATAGAGATCAGATTTGTGGTTACCAGAGGGCGGTGGGGGAGGGAGTGAGATGGACTGGGAGTTTAGGGTTGATAAATGCAAACTATTATATTTAGAATGGATAAACAAGGTCCTAGTGTATGGCACAGTGAGCTATATCCAATTTCCTGGCATAAACCATAATGGAAAAGAATATAAAAGAAGAAAGTGTATATGTGCATAGCTCAGTCACTTTGCTATACAGCAGAGATGGGTACATTATAAATCAACTATTTCAGTAAATTTTTTTTTATTTAATAAATTAAAAAAAAAAAATTCCCCATGCAATTGAATGGCGTGGACCTCATCCTCTGTTCGGATATGTGACCGAGATGGTGGCCACACTGCCCTTTATGGTTAGAGTAGGTAGCTTCTGGGGTGGCTCCTGGTAAGGTGCCTTTTCCAGTAAGAACTTGTCTTCTCTTAGAGGCAGTCCTCACTCCTAGGTCATTTTCCTTCCCTGCAGCGCATTTGCAAGATACCCCAATGGGGTGGTCGTGCATTACTTCTGCTCCAAAGAGGTCAACCCGGCTGACACCTGAGCCCAGCAGGCTGAGGACTGAGCGGCGGACAGCTCGGCCACCCCAGAGGGGAGAGCCCTGGCCTTGGGGATCGGGACTGCTGCCACCACCAGGTGTCTCCCCATTTGGACACTGGCTCCCTTGAGCCCTGGAACATTTCTGAATTATTCAGACTTGTGTTCTGACGTTGCCAGATTTTTGACAGAAAAAGAAATTAGTTACACCTTTTATACCATTATGTTGCAGGCAGTTTCAGAGAATTGGATACCTGCTTGGACAGAAAGAGATGGGAAGGGCACCATCCTGCCTTTGCATTCCAGTCACCCAAATATGGAAACTTATCTCAAGTGTTTGAAACCCTCCTGGGGGTTCTTTATTCAGTTTTCTATTAGGATGCACGTAGGACTTCACAGGAGCCTTCAGCTCGGCTGCCTGGAGTCCCTTGAACAGAGAAGCCCCGGAGCCCCTCTGACTGCAGAGGCCGGACGGGTCCGCCCTCTAGGTAACACTGGTCACTTCGTAGTTGCTGACCCTGCATCCCCTCACCCGTGTCCCCAATCAACTCTTGATTTTTCAGTCTCCTTCTCTTTCTATTTATTTTCTTCCTTTATCTCTCCCCTCACTGCTCCACCCGGGCTTTCTCTCCCATTTTCCTGACACCAGGAATTTTGAACAAGGTAAAATGAGAAGCAAGAGGAAGTCCTGATTTCTAGGAATACATTGATAACTGACTGTCACGTGTGTTGTAAATAGAATCTCCTTGGACCGTACACTCCATGCCCAGAAGCTTAGAAGAGCATCGTTCTCAGGGCCGAGTGTGACAGTAGCTCTCAGGGTGGGCTGCCCTGGGTTGTGACCTCTTGGCAGATGTCTGCAGAGGCTCCTGCTCCAGGTTCATCCTCCAGCCCCCCAGAGCAGGTTGGTTTAGGCTTGCTGAGCAGAGTGCTTCGTGCTTGGGGCGCCTTTCTCTTTCCAGCCCATGTCGTCCGCCCACTTTGGCCTGGCCATCGTTCTCCAGCTTTGTTTTGCAAGAATTGGAGAATTGCGCTGGGACATGGGTGATAGGGGGATCCCTGCTGCACACGGGAAATGATCAGATCAGAAATTGACAATGACGATGTTAGGTGTGCTTGTGCGGGGCTCGGGGACAGCCGAGAATGCTGCTGGGGCGCAGGAGTCGTGACAAAACTCACCACCAAACTTGGGGGAGCCCTTGTTCAGGGGAGATCCCATCTCCCATAGGGCCCCAGAACCCATAGGCGGAGTCCCCAGCACTGCATGCTGAAGACACACAGGGAGAGCGCCCTGTATCCTGTCCTCCCTGGGGGCTTTCAGATTCACCGTGACCCCAGAGTCTGACAGCTTTGAGGGTAGGTTTCAGCGCCCGATACTGACACTGCTCTGGTGGCCTGTCCTTGACATGCCGAGATCCTTTTTAAACCGCAGCATCGTGCTGTTTGGGGCCTGTGTTGTAGCCTGACTTGCTGGTGATGTACACGAGGCTCCTCCCAGGCACACCCGCCATGGAGGGTTTGAAGGGTCTGAAGGGACAAAAGTAAGAGCCATCAACATTGTTCACAGAGATGGGGGACCCTGCTCAGGTTTGGGAGGCCGAACAGCGCATCACAAGATCCACATCCCACTGGCCATGCCCCTGCTAAGAAGCAGGGTCGCCCTGGGCCCCATTTGCACCAGTTCTGAGCACCAGGCTGAGTTTCCTTTGGAGCAGCAGCCGAAACTGGCCCCAGCCCACACGCCCTGCCTTCCTGGCCTCCATGTGTGCACCTCCCGTTCCCACCACCTGTGTGGCACACGTGTTTGAAGCAATAGAATAAAAAATGTGTGTTTCCTTCCCTGCTGGAATGTATAAACGACCCAGTTTTCCCAAACTCCATTCTCCTGCCCTAGACTCTCTGCCCTCCACGGAGGTGTGGCGAAGGCTGGAGATGAACGCACTATGGTGAGGACTGGCAAAGCTCTCATAATAAACATCATGAAGTAAGAAACTAAGCCTGTCTGGGTCTCTTTTTTTTTCCCCCCTCTTTCCTGTGGAATTTGGTAAAAATAACAATGAGATGCCAATTTAAGAATCAAGATCTTGGTGGTCCAGTAGTTAAGAACCTGCCTGCCAATGCAAGGAACACAGGTTTTATCTCTGGTCCAGGAAGATCCCACATGCTGTGGAGCATGAAACTAAGCCCATGTGCCAAAACTGCTGAGCCCACGCGCTGCAACTACTGAAGCCTGAGCGTCGCAACAAGAGAAGCCCACACACCACAACTAGAGAGTAGCAGTGAAGACCCAGTGCAGCCATAAATAAATAATTTTTTAAATTAAAAACTATAGCTTAAAAAATTATTTTAAAAAGAATTGAAAAGACTAATCCAATTAGTGACTAAGGAAAAAAAAATCATTATAACACTGTCTTGATCTGTGTTGTCCAGTTCAGCTAGTGTGTAGCTGCTGTATTGACAGTACACATGGAGAACATCTCATCGCAAAGTGTCAGTAGGCACACTGCAGCTCTAGCTGATCCAGACTGTTTCCCCTTCACATGTTAGGGCCTCGTGCCTCTTCCTGCAGCTGAGAGTGACCGGGAGGCGCATGGTGGGTGTGGAATTGGTGGGAGTAAGGAACTGAGGGATGTTTGAGAAGTGAAGAAATGTGGGTCCACTTTGGCCAGCTCCAAGACAGCGGTCTGTTCTTTCTGTGTCTTTCTCAAGAGCCATCTCTGGCCATCCTGAGTTCTCTCTGGAAATGAAAAACATATGGGACTAAGAGGTTTGACTTTGTTGAGGCATGGGACCGATGGCTTCCAGGAGAGGGTGAGGTACAGCCTAGAAAACAATCTGTCAGGAGCCCTGGACGCCAGGCCTGGCTGGCTCTGCCCCCAGCTAGCTCCGTGCCCCTGCCCCCTTCCATCTCCCCTGCTGTGTACAGATCACCAAGAGGGTGGGACACCATTTCTGAGATCCTAGCATAGGTTCTTGACCTCATGCTCCAAATTGAGCAAAAACAGGCACTCCCCTTTGGGGCCTGGCCAACAGCAGTTCTGGGAGTTTCTGGTCTGCACTTGCTTGTGGGTTTCATTTTGGAGTTGAATCACTTCATTTGGAATGTCATTTTTTCAGTCTCCAACTTGAGCCACAGGAAAGAGAGTGGAGATGACTGGGTCTTGGCTGAGGAAAAGAAATGTGTCTCTCAACTCACTGCCTTAGAGATCCTTTCTTCCAGGAACAGTGCCTATCTTGGACACGTGTGGTCCACGGAAAGGGGGACATCACACACCATCTGCAGCCTCAGGCTCATGATGGTCAGAGGGGACTCTGAAGCCTTTATCTCCAGTAGCTTAAGGACAAGAGGACTGGTTTTGGCCTGCCCTTACCCATACCACCTGGCCATATGCCTACGTCTGTCCCTGGACCATCCAGGCATTTCCACTGATTCAAGAAGGGCCCCTGGGCAGAAGCCATGGGCAATCAGGAGTCTGAATTTCTTCAGGATGACGTTGGGCCCTCTTCACATTTGGACCAGGGCCTAGGGCAGTGCTCCCTCAGGGTTTGAAGAACAAGAACCTCTCAAGGTATCTTGAGAAATTAGAAATACCTTTGAGTTCGGATGAAACACTGGACACCAGGGATTTCCAAGTTTCTGCTTAAGAGCCGTGGAGAAGGTGGGACTTGAAAGGTGTTGGTTTTAGGATTTTCTGGTAGTTTGGGGGAGACTAGGCCCCTAATGCTGCACTTTCTGGCTGCTCTTCCCTGGACCACATGTGTTGGCATCATCTCAAAGGCTTGTTGGAAATACAAACACCTGGGTTCTATCCATACCCACTAAATCAAATCATCTGGGGCTAGGGCTCAGGCGTCTATTTTCCATAAGCAGCCCCCTGATAACCAGGGGCTGGGGCTGGGAACCAGAGTGCCCATTCTGCATTGTCTTGGAAAGGGTCTGAAGTCCCTCCTGACAGAGGAAACGGCTCCAGGAACTTCCTGGAGCATGTCAAACCCCACCTCCAGCCCCAGTTGAGAGTGCTCAGTGGAGCGGCCAGCTCCACCCTCCCCACCCCAGTTACCTGTCAGACCTGAGCCAGCAGTCAGTGTGGCCAGAGTGCAGGCAGGGTTTCCTGCCAGGAATTGGGCTGCCTGGCCATGCTCTGGGCGCTCTGGCCCAGGTGGCTGGCAAGCAAGGGGCTGCCCCTCCTGGGTGTGGTGCAGCTACAGAAGCGAGAGAAGAGGGGACCTCAGTGGAGGCAGTGGCGGGTAAAGTACCTGATCTTCCCCGGGGGTGTGGACAGGAGAAGTTCTGGGAGCGGGAGCCCATTCCGCTGTGGAGACTGGGGCCAACCCTGGAAATGCATTTGGATCTGGGCCAGGACCAATTCGCTCCAGATTACCTGGTAGAGTTTAGAGAATCTGGCCAAACAATAATCTTGAAAATAATCCCACCCAGTTAGGAAGTGGAGGGAGAGGTGATGTGACACTTGCAGCTGGTTGGGTTAGCCTGGTGGTAGAGTTGGGGGGTTGGTGGTTGAGGGGGTGGTGAGAGTGAGGGGCTCGCTGGGGTCTGGAGGAGACAGTCTCACCCCTGGGAGGCTGCAGTCTGCTCTCCTGAGCCCAAGCTGCTGTCTCCTTAGCGACTTGTCAGACCAGTACCAGCTGCATGACTCTAGGTTTCCCTTCACCTCCCTGCTCCGTCTTGGGCCATCTTTTAGCCTTTGTCAGGAGCTGGTGGGTGCAGCTCATCACAGTTTTCTCTTTTGATAATCTCCTAAACACCTTACTTGAGGTTTCACTTTAGCTGTTCAGCTATAGCAGCGGTACTATAGTCAGGGGAGCTGCACGTTTGTGGTACACAATAAACATAATTACTAAACATAATTAGTTAATGTATTAAGTACTTATGCTGGGCACTTTGTATGATTTCTCATTTAAAACTCACTATAACCCTGTGAGATTATCATCTTAACACCCACCTTAGAGACAGGGAAATGAAGTTACTTGCCCAAGGTCATTTAGCTAGTCCACGGTGCAGCTTTGATTTGATCCTGGCCCGACTGATTTCAAGGTCACATTCATCACCAATGTGCTCAGCTCCCAGTGCTTCACCTGCCAAGGCCTCCTGGGTTCCTGGGGCAGGGACATCAGTGACCCTGGGCCAGGCTGCCTGACACTCTGTAATGTGATGAGGAAAACCCAAGGTGGGCCCCACGGCAGGGAGGTCAGGCCCCACAGCTGGCTTCCTGGAACTGAGTCTTTCTGTCCTTTCAGCGGGAGACCCACCCCTACTATGACCTCCAGGTGAAGGTGCTGAGAGCCAAAAATATCCAGGGCACAGACCTGCGTGAGTCACCCCTAATGCCACGCTTTCTCCCTTCCTCTTCCTGGGGCCTCCCCAGAGCTCAACAGGGGCTGGTCAGAAGTGCACATGTGTATTTAGAGTCTAGTGTATGGAGGTCTGTCTGGTGAGGGAGCCCAAGGGCCAGGCAGGCAGGAGCTGGAGGCGAGGGGAATATACAGACCACTGACTCCTTCCTGAGTCTGGCACATGGAGCAGTGCCAGCCTGGGTGAGTGCATGAGGCCTACCACTGCCAGAAGTCACTGTCTGATCTCTAGGGGTTTCCATCGCAAGGCTAACACTGGGTGAGAGCTTGGAGCTCATTCTCTGGATCAGGCTGTTTCTGGGAATTACCCCATGGGCTGTGCTGTCATATAATCTCTTCAACTGGTCACCACAGAATTTCCATCCTTTTCAATGGGAGGAGTCTCCCTGGTGGAGATGGACTCAAAGTCGAAGACATGGGCTCTCCCCATCTCCCTACCCCTGCCTGCTCCATGGGCAGCCTCCCCTCCCCTCTCTGCCCTTCCCACCCAACCCCAACTTCTTCCAGGCAACCTTTCCAGTCATAAGCTAGAGGCTGAGGACCTGTCCATCCTACCTACAGTGTCCAAACCTGACTGCTATGTGCAACTGTGGCTGCCCTCAGCATCCCCCAGCCCCGCCCGGACCAGGGTGGTGGCCAACCGCAGGGACCCCGAGTGGAACGAGACCTTCCACTACCGGATCCATGGTGCCGTGAAGGTGGGGGCTGGACTGCGGAGGGGGAGGTCTCTCCCCAGATGCTTGCCCTCTGCCCCGTCTCAGGTCCCCCCTTTCGACACTGTCCCCAGAATGTCCTGGAGCTCACCCTCTATGACAAGGACATCCTGGAGAATGACCAGCTCTCCCTGCTGCTGTTTGATCTGAGGAGCCTCAAGCCAGGCCAACCACACAGACACACCTTCCCCCTCAGCCAGCAGGTGAGCCGTCCCACCTGCGCCGGCAGTGGGCTCAGCCCGAGGAGACGAGGCAGTGGGCACAGGGCTCTCCCGGTCAGCATGGGCCAGACCTCCAGGACAAATGTCCTCCATCCTGCAGCCCTGGTCCCACAAAGCTTTCCTGCAAACAGGCCTTCCCTGAGCGAAGCCGACACGTGGGCTTCTTGAGGGCGGGGGCTCTGTGTCTCTGTCAGTCATTAATCCTCAGTGCCTAGAACATACCTGCCCACAGCCTTAAATGGATGGAGCTCCTGGTGGCGATGCCACTACCCCATCCTCGGCCCATGAGCAGCCACGACAGTGGTCTCCCTTCTAGTCCCTGGAGTTGAGTGGAATCGGGGGTGGGGGGAAGGTCCTGAAACTCGGGGAGTACTTCAAAAACTGGTGCTCCCTTGCTCCCTCCATGTAGGATTCACACGAGCTGCAGGTGGAATTTGTTTTGGAGAAGAGGTGAGTTCCAGTGGAGCCCGTACCCTCCCATTTACGCTGGGATCCTACCAGCTCCCAATCACTAGGTCCTGCGCTGACCTGGTCTGAGAGGGGAGGTCCTGATCCTGACACCCACTCCAACACCAAACCTGCCCTGCTCCCCAAGTTCTTCAACTGCTTTGGTTACATTATTATAATAACAGCCATCTTGAGGGATTCATGTGTCCCTTGCAGCCAGGTGCCTGCATCTGAAGTCATCACTAATGGGGTACTGGTGGTGAGTAGGGGAGACCAGTTGGGGGATCTTCAGGGCTTGGGGGGGGGATTTGAGGAGTCCAGACTGAGCCCATCATGCCCACTTGCCTGAAGGGCACTCAAGGGGAGACATGCGGGGGATGCATCTCCAGGGACAAGGGGGCAACTTGCCTCCACCTGAGGGAATAGCCCAGAAGCCAGCCTTCCCTCCTGGGCACAGCACTCTGCTCACTGAGGCCCCTGGGTTCTGAGACTGCCAAGGAGCCACTGGCCAGGACCCCTTCTCCCCTCCCCCTTTCCTTCCAGGGGACACTGCCTCTGAGTCCTGGGAGGGGTCTGTGACAGAAAACTCTTGCTCATAAAGGCACAGGCCCTGGGAAGGATGTCAGCTCAACCTTTCCCCAGAGAGCCCTCCCCTCATCTCTCCTGGTTCAGGCCCTGTTCAGGGCCCCAAGGATGCCCTGGCTCCCACAGCCTTCTGCTTTCCTCAGGTTCAGCCATGTTTGAGAATCCAGGGCACCCTCGGGGGCGATGGGACAGCCCCACGTCTAGAGCACAGTGAGTCTGGCCAGGGGCCTGGGGTCTTGCCTTCTCTCCTGGGGGGTTGGAGGCTGCTGGTTTCAAGAAGATGGGTCTTAGACAGAAAATTCTTAATTTTTCACTGCTTAAAGCTGACTAAGGATGAAATGGATTACCTCTGAAAGTAGTGAATTTCTGTCTCTGGAAGTATTCAAGCATAGCGGCTGTATCAGTTCAACTACTGATGTACAAGAAATACCCACAAAATCTTAGTGGCAGACACATCTGGATGTCAGCTGGGACAGGAGTGATCTAGGCTGGGCTTGGTGGGGTGACCTGGCTTGGCTCCCATGTCCCTCGTCTACTTGCTGTGACCAGCGGACAAGCCCGGGCATGTCTTGAAGACACCTGCAGAGGTGCAAGAGAGCAAGTCCAGATGAGCAAGAGCTTTTCGAGTCTTTGGTTACATCACCGCCACTCACTAACATTTTGTTAGCCAAAACAAGCACAAGGCTGACTCTAAGTTGGAGGGTGAGGAATACAGCGGCTTCTTTAGTGGGAGGAATTGAGGTCATGTGGCAAAGAGTGAGACCTCCAGAAGTGCAGAACTGGGGCCATTGTGGTCTGTCGCAAAGGCAGGCACTCAGGAGGGGGCCCAGGTGTGGGAGGGGAGTGGAAGCTGTGTGGCAGCTAAGGTCACTCTGATACTGGGAGTCTGGGCCTCCGGGCCAAGTGCTACCCAGGTAACATCGGGCACTTTCTTTGAGTCAGGCACTGGGCTAAGCATTTTATAGTGTTTTATTTTTGAATCCTCAGAACAACCTCGTAAAATAGGTACAGTCATTACTCTCTTTTAATTCATGAGATGGAGCCTCAAAGAAGAAGTTTGCTTAAAGTCACATAATCAATAAGTGATGGAGCAGATCTAGGCCCAGGTCTGTGATACCCAGACCTGTTTGCTTCCCCCACCACAGCTTTTATTGTTTCTTTCTATGAATAGTCCATATTAGTCTCAGCCTGAAAACTGTGGTGTAAGTAGAAGTATTACTTATTTTTAAATTTCCTTCCAACCCTGCTCATGTCAAGTCTCAGGTCTCATTTTGTGCCAAAGAAGGCATATAGGGAAAGGGATTCCATTTGGACCTCTGCTCCTGAGTGTTTGGGATCTGGGGCTCTTTTGTGGGTCTGTCTGGTCCCCTCTTTGTGGGTGTCATTTGTAGCTCTTTCCGTCTGGGGTCTTGCTTACTCTCCAGAAAGCTGCAGAGTCAAGGGCAGGCCCTGCTGCTCCTGGGCCCCCAGGCCTCTTCCTGCCTCCTCCCAGGCTGGCCTCACCCAGGCAGGGCCAGCTCTCCTCGGCTTCCCCAAGCCTGTCCTCTCTGTGCCACGAATCCACGTCCTCCTTCTACCTCCCCTGCAAACCCTCTCTGTTCTCACAAGGTCTTATGCTTCGGAAACAATGTGCAGCTTACTTGCTTTCTCTCTGGCCACAAACCTGCCCCAAGGCAACCAGCACAGGGCTTGAATAGGGCACCAGAGGGGAAGTACCTGTTGAAAACTGGTAATTAATATAATAATTAATATAGGATCATTATAATATACGGAGAAGGCAATGGCAACCCACTCCAGTACTCTTGCCTGGAGAATCCCAGGGACGGTGGAGCCTGGTGGGCTGCCGTCTATGGAGTCACACAGAGTCGGACATGACTGAAGCAACTTGGCAGCGGCATTATAATATGATCTTGTATATATATTTAAAAAATACATGTTTTATACCAGGCTTCCGAGGTGGCACTAGTGGTAAAGAAGTCACCTGCCAATGCAGGACACAGAAGAGACCTGGGTTCAATCCCTGAGCCAGGAAGATTCCTCGGAGGAGGAATTGGCAACCCACTCCAGTATCCTTTCCTGGAGAAATCCATGGAGAGAGGAGTCTGGTGGGCTATAGTCCATGAGGTTGCAAAAGAGTCGGACACGACTGAAATAACTTAGCATGCGCTCGTGTTATATACTTAATACAATAATCTCAAAATCATCAGCCCCATAAACCCTGAGCAGGAGCTCTTCGCTCAAAAACAGCTCCCAGTTCTGACCAGGACAGGTTATAGGACTCTGAGTGTCTTTTGTGATGCCTTGCCTGTGGGACACGGTGTCAGAGAGTGAGCAGGGTGACGAGCTGACATTTCCAAGGGGAAGAAAAGGGGAGTTGCTGCTGGGGTGCTACCATCATGAGCCACACACACCCCACGCTCACCCCCTCGCCCGGCACTCACCTGGGCGCTCTGCTCTCAGGCCCTAGGCAGATTCAGCTGGCAGTGCCTGGAGCCTACGAGAAGCCCCAGCTCTTGCCCTTGCAGCCTCCCACGGAGACGGGCGTCCCAGCCACGTTCACCTTCCACGTGAACCCAGTACTCAGCTCCAGGCTGGAGGTGGACCCAGGAGAGAAGCTCATGGTCCAGGTGAGTGATGTGGCCTGGGAAGGAGCGAATGACAGAATCAGTCCAGTCTGGACGAGGCCCCTTTCCCTCTGAGTGTTTTCTTCTCTGCAGGGCGATTCGAGGGCCAAGGAGGAGGCCCAGACCAGCAAGCCTGGCATCCTGCTCTCCTCTCTGGCCCTAGGCCAGGAGCAGCAGTGCGTCATGGCCCTGGGGGAGGTAAGGCCCTGTCTAGGTGCCTGAGGGATCCCTGCCTGCTCTGTCACCACCAAAAAGGGTCAGGGGGAGGAGGTCAAGATAAGGCCAGCCGAGAGCTCAGGCACAGGGTCCACATCCGGGCCAGAGTCACCAGAGCATCCAGTGCTGTGAGACCCACTCGGTGCCCTGGTGATGGGCTGTTCTCTCTTCCAGGGCCAGGAGGTGGCCATGAGGGTGAAGGCAGAGATGAGGTGAGGCAGTGGGGGTGTTATTCTGCTGACTCAGCTCAGCTGGGGGTTGGGGGTGTCTGGTTCCCATGGGGTCTTCCTGAAGGGTCCCCTGGAGTGTGCATCTGTCTGCTCCTCTGAAAATGGGTTTGGCTGGAGGCTCTGCTCCAGTGAACCGTCACCCAGTACCCCACCCCCAACCTCATCTGAGGCAGCTCTGGGGACCTTGACCTGCGTCTCGGCTTCGACCTCTGTGATGGGGAGAAGGAGTTTCTGGAGAAGAGGAAGCGGCTCGTGTCCAAGGCCCTTCAGCAGGCTTTGGGGTTGAGCCAGGCTCCCGACAGTAGCCAGGTATGGAACGGAGGAGCTGGGCCCCAGAGTGGCTGGGACCAAATCCAACTTCTTCCTTGAGAGACTGACTGTGTGGCTAGGAGGTGACAGGAAGTGTTGAGGAAGCGTGGGGACCAGTGGAGGAAGGCAGCCAGCCTGTTTGCCTGAGCTGACAGGCATGCTCGGGAGAGTCAGGACCCCATACATAATGGGGGCTGAGCAGCCTCGGCCTAGGGGGGCTCTATTAGTCTGCTCCGGCTGCTATAACAGCACACCCCAGACTGGTGGCTCAAAAAATGGACATTTATTATCTAGCCTGGAGGCTGGAAGTTCCAGATCAAGGAGCCATCAGGGTTAGCATCTGATGAGGCTGC